ATCTTTTAGCTCAGGACCTGTCCTTACATTGCAGAGTCCTCCCCCACTGCCTCTTTAAGATCCCAGCTGCCCCTGCTGAAGATCTCAGCTTTAACTTTATGTCCTCAGAAGGCCTCGCCTTGACCAGTTTGGCTCCTTGTGAAGTTAAATTCCTCCACGGGACCCTGGACGCCCCCAGTGTGACCCTTCTCACATAATAAGTTTTTGTGAATGTGAAAATAAAGGATTCTCTAGTTATTAAATTAATCTGTGCAAGGAAAAATGGAAACAAAGCCTTTGTAAATAGGGAGGGGTTGAGGGGTTGAAAGGAGGCAGGGAAATGGGGAAAAAATGAGAACCAAGATATATCACATAAAGATTCCCAATGATGAATGTAACTGTGTTGTATACCTAAAATGCACCAACAAACAATGAAAAAGAAAAAGTTAATCTGTGAACTGAGTCTCACTAACAGCCTGTTTTCTAGAAGGCAAGGCTTGGAAGTTCTATAATTATATATTATATATGCTCTGAGCATGTCTTTCTTTCCCCGATGGTCATTGTAGTAGGACAGAAAAAGCCTCACGCACCACAAACCTTGCATGTTACCAAGAATGTGTGATGTGGAAAACGCCACTCTGGCTGTCACTTCCACTGTGACATTTGCCCACCTACCTCACGTGCTTACTCGGGGTGAACATCCCCTGGGGGCTGCAGCTGTGAAAGATTACATGGGCAAGGGATACCACACACTGGCTTTTCACCTTATTGAGGTATTGTATAGCACAACCTTAGCTTTTCCGTGTGGTTTCAGAAATTATCTCCTCAGTCTTTAAAAGGCAGGTTATTCAAGCGTAATGTTTCATAGTTAATATTACAGTTCACTGTCTTTGAATTGATCTGTCCCAGGGAGGATCCCTCAGGGTGTGTGTGTGTGTGTGTGTGTGTGTGTGTGTGTGTGTGTGTATGTGTATGCGCACACACACACATACCCTTGTGTATTTGTTCACAGTGGTTAACTTCCTTCTGCAGACCTGGAGCCACATGTCTTATGATGTGGTTAACACTCTGTGTTCTGTGGTAATTGGAAAATTCTTGACTTGGTTTCCATAAGTACTGATTGATTTCACCAAGCCATTTTACCTTTCTTCATCCCTTCCTCTTGTGACTTTTAGAAACTAACAGTTAAATCTCTATCCAGGTATCTCAAAATGTCTTAATTGACAACTGTTCCATGTCAGGAGCAGCTGGTATTTCTGTGTCTTTTCCAGATGGGAGTCAGTGAAGATAACTGACTTATCTGATTCTCTTAATTTCCTTGAGGAATTAGGTTTTCCTTTTTCTTCTGTGCACCAGGCCTGGTGACTTTCCTAGCCTGACATTTACACAACCACACTTTTCCCATATGTTTGTGACTTCTTAGTAACATTCTGTACATCCTCCTGTTCAGACCTGGTTAAGATGGAAGTTGGGGCTTAGGAGTGGGACCAGGCAGAGTAGGATGGAAGGTGGCTGGCTGTAATTGTGTTTTCTTGGTCATGATTTTGTGATGTTGCTTTCCATTGTGGAATCTTAAAAGTTTCACATTTGTACTGCTTCTTACTCTGTCAAGAACAGAAAGTTTCTTCCCAGCATTGGCAAACATAAAGCTACTGTGAGCTTTGGGCAAGGGTCCAGGCCTTTCCAGAAAGCCTCCCTCCCTGGCATGCTCAGAAACACTTTGCCGATTAGGAAGCAGGGGTCTGCCTTGCATTTTTTCATGCTGCTTGTGTATGTCTTTCCCTTCTTTTGTTTTTTCTTCCTCCTCTTTTGTGGTGATGAATGCTTTTTCTGGCAAATTCAGTATGTGGGTTTGCAGTGAATTTTCAAAGCCTCCTTAGGTTGAGTCATTGTCACAGAGGGCAAACTGAGATTACCAGAGCTAGTTGAAAGCGTCAGACTCAGGAGGAAAGAGCATGTGCCTATAGGCAGGTCTGACTGGGACCACAGTTCTTCTGAACTCCCTCAGGCCTCCAAGGCTGCAGCTTTCCATGGGTGTGGATTCTACAAAATGTGCCCTGCAGAACTCACAGACAGACAGAGATGTAAACATGGATGCACTTTGTATACTTGTAATTGTGAGAACCTGAACATTACCTAAATATCTGCCTACTGGGAGAATAATTGAAATTAATTATGATACATCCATGCCATGAAACACTGTAGTCAGGAGAAACTGTGAGGTAGATCTAGAAGTAAGTGGAGAAGTGTTTATAACATCCTGCTCGAGAAAAAACCATGTCAATTTATATACCTGTTATTTTTGTGGTGTCACGGATTGAACCCAAGGTCTCCTTACTGAGTTACCTCCTCAGCCCTTCTGTTTTTTATTTTTTATCTTGCTTAATTCCCCATACCAGGGCCAGGGATTTAGCTCAGTGGTTCTGCTGCTTGCCTGGCAAGTGCAAGGTCCTGAGTTCAATTCCTGATCCCCCCTCCAAGAACAAATTCCCCATGCTGGGCTTGAACTTGGTTTCTTCATGCTTTGGCCTCCCACAGTGCTGGGATTACAGATGTGTGCCACCATGCTTGTCTTTTATATAGATTATGTATAGTCAAATATGTGTCTAGAAAGGATGTACTCTCTGTCTAGAAAAGTCTAGAAGGATATGCTCCAAGCTATTAATAACAGGTCATGGGAATGGGAATGGCATTAGAATAAAGGGTTACTTGTTAGATTTACTATTTTAGTAATAATGACTTTTGAAACTTCAAAATTAATAATTATGAGCAATTAAGAAGTAAATGATATATTAATATCACCGATTTTTATGTATACTTTGAATTTCAGTGTGAGAATTCTTTTAAGTTATGAAACCTGTAAGGGTCATTAGGTTGTCTAATTGTTAGACCAATGATCCTTTTTACTTGTATTGTATAATGTGAATTACTGCCACTCCAAATTTGTGATTTCACAGTATCATTGGAAAAGATCTTTTCACTGACATTCTCAGTGAGTGCTAGGAATTAAATAACTCAATTCGTCCTTCTTTTGACAAGTGCACATGTGCTCACTGGTAGGAATCAGCCTGATGTGTGAAAATACGAGGTTCCCCCATGTTCTGGTTGTCTGTACTCTGTCACCCATTTAGGCATCTATCATAGTTCTCAGCTCACTGCTGATTAGAAAGAAGGAAATTGTTCACAGAAAATATCATAATCCTTGTAAAAATGAAGTCTTAGAACAACATTTTCTTTAATTCACAATATTTGGTTTTGGTGAAGAAAAGAAAAATAATGAATACAATTATTTTACCTGTGTTTTCAATTAATCTCACAGCCCAGATTACTTTCTTCAAGCTTTCTGTAAATAAATGAATTTTTTTTTTTTTTTTTTTTTTTTTTTTAGGTCTCACTGTATAGTTGAGACTGACCTGGAACTCACTATGTAGTCCAGACTGGTCTTGAACTCACAGCGATCCTCCTGCCTCAGTTTCCCAAGTGCTGGGATTACAGGCGTGCGCCACCATGCCTGGCTAAGAAATGAAATATTTTTAATAATTTTATTTAATCTGGATAAAAATTTCAAGTATTGAATTATTTCTGTGACTTTTATTTGATGGTCTTATGTCATCTACTTTTGATCTAGATAATTGAATCCCCAATGTCTTCTAGTCCACCATCAGTGAAAGAATTACGTATATAGTCAGGAAGACATTTGACCCATCGATTTTCTGTTTGCATTTTGATTCCAAAAGTTAAGTGTTGAATGGGCTTTAGTCATATTTATTTATGCTCTGACTGTAGTTCAGCTTTTTGGCGTGAATGTCATATATACCTATGAAAGCCCGAGCTGCAGTTTCATATATATGAATAAAATTGACTTAGTCTAGTTATAGCTAATTGTAGTACAGTTAGATAATAATGGTAATTTAAAAACTTGCAAAAATCTTCTTGACTGAAAAAGTTTGGTCAGATAGATCTGTAGCTGACACAGTATTGCCTGTCAACAATAGATGCACGGATTAGTGTGCAGCCCCTGCCACCATCAGTGAATGTGTCTTGGCTGTGCAGGTACTGATTGTCAGGGAGGCAAAATATCTGTTCTTCTCTGTGGAACGCAACCCATCATGTGCTTGACTCAGAAGTGTCAGGGAGTCTTTGAGTATGAAGTCTAGGACAATAGCACTCAAGCTGTTGTGTCCTTGTTGTCATTCCTGCCTCTTCCCATAAGTGAGGGGCTGCCCCATACCTGGAGATGACACCCCTGTGATTGGGCACCGTCTAGAGGAGGCTGTGCACACACTATGACCCTGTTCGTGCTCTGGAAACTTGTTTTGCTCCAAGTGGACCCTGCATGGAGCCTGTGACCCAAGGAGCTTGAGAGGAAATCATCTTCACAGTGGTTCTCCTTATCAAAATTTTCTCCAGTAGCTTTCAAAGATTTAACTTCTCTACCCTACTATTTCTCCCATTTGAAACATTCTCTTCGTAATTTGAGAAACAAAGGATAAACAAAAGGATAGGTGGACATTTCTGGTGCTCACGGTGAAGGTCTGGTGAGCTTTGTAAAATTAAATTTATGCATTTATCTTTTCTAAGCCTGGGTGACCTCCTGGTGCTCAGCTATCTCCTGAAGTATTAATGGAGTAGGTTTTGTGATCTTTGATTTCGGAGTCCAGAATTGGAAACCACGCAGTCCTATTATGTGTAGATTGCTTTGAACTCAGGGCTCACTATATCTTCTTCTGCCTGTCTTTTTGTGTGCTGAATGGGTTTTTCCAAAGTTTAGGTCTTTTGTTTTTTTTTTAACCTTATCAGTCTACACCATACCTCCCCTTCAGCCACTGCTGAAAATAATAAAGCTTGTTTTGAAATGCTTAAAATTCATTGATATTTCCAGGAACCCGTAGGGGAGTTATCTGTTGACTACCTAACCGTGTTTTCCCCAGTGTACACACCCAGAATAGGCCCCAAGTGCAGGGCTTGCTTTGAGCCCCACAGCCTGTTGGTTGTAGTGATTCTCCATTTCTCTTTCTCAGCGCCATCGCGTCAATCCTGAGGGCCTGGCTTGACCAATGTGCAGAAGACTTTCGAGAGCCACCTCACTTCCCTTGCTTACAAAAACTGCTGGATTATCTCAAAAGGATGATGCCAGGCTCTGACCCGGAAAGGAGAGCACAAAATCTTCTTGAGCAGTTTCAGAAACAAGAAATGGAAACTGACAGTGAGTACTTGTTGGTCACAAGGAAAAAGCTAGATTCTGATTCAGCACCACAAAGGTCCCCCCTATGCAGGCTGGACGAGGAACCCTAGGACTCAGGATGAACTGCTAGAAAATCAGTGTGAGTATAAAATTATTGAAGTGCTAATTTAGAGCTTTAAAGTTTTAGAACAAAAAAGGGGATGAGAGGGATTTTGAAGGCCGCCTGCTCTAGCGTCTTCATTTTATAGACAAAATTGAAACTGGTGCAGAGGAGTTATTTCCTAGGATTTCTTTTGTTAGCAAGAAGAGGGTTTCCTTTCTGATTCCCTTGTCAGGATGTGCCGTGCTCAACCTGAACTTGCTTTTTATTATCTGCCTAATGGTTCATCCTGCAATCAAATACAAACCCATCATAAACAACCACCCCTAACTAGCAGGCACGAAATTAAAAGCATGATTTATGCATGTTTGGAAATTTAACAGTGAATTCCATTGACCTGTACAATTAATATGTGTTAATAATTATAATAAGTGGTTTATCTTGAGAAAATTTAGCCCCCTCCTGTCCTTACAAAATGGTGGAAGGTATTTCTCCTTCATTGTAGAAAGCACCACTGTTATGTGTCCCCCAATACCACTGTCATTTAGCATCTCTAATGACCTCATCAAAGGAAGTTTCTGAGGCTGTTTTTTCCTATTTGAGGAACTGACCTTCTCTTTTCAAGGACAAAGGAAAGGCCCCCACTGTAGGTCATGGGGTGCTTGGAACTATCGGGCTTTGTCAAAAATAAAATTAAAGGAAGGGTTTGGTCAGGCTTAAAGCGTGATGTTTGATCCCTTTGCTGGAGAGCTGGGTGATGGTTGCCATGGTGGCTGACCCACTTGGAGCCTGGGACAGACATTTCCCAGAAGCAATGCCTGGTTTCCTCAGTGAGAGAAAGGAAACGAGTCCTCCACGCAGATAAAAGAAGCTGCCTGGATCCAAAGAAAATACAGTAACCGTAAATGTACACATTACCTGTTGCATTTTTTCTGTATGGGGGATCACAGGGTGGGGGAGAACGATTGCGTCATTAGAAGCTGCCCGCCAAAGGCTTTGTATGTCGGATGACCTCATCTGCCTGCAATGCTGGATACCAGGGGCATTTCTCCAGCTGCGGGCCTCAGTCCCCTCAGGGCCGCCCCTGGCTTTGTGCTCCAGTGGAAAATGCTGCTGGAGCCCAGCTCTACCCACTGGGACTGCCCCTGGCTCCATGCCTAATTGGGGAACCCGTGGGACCAGTCGTTCCTTGTCACCGACCCAGGGCCTGGAAGGCAGAGCCCCTTTGGCAGGCTGAGGCAGAGGAGGTGGAGACTGCCTGACTTCACCAAAACTTTCAGACGATGCTCAAGAATGAAGCTTTTTCTAAGATTGGAAAATTTTAATCAAGAAAGCACTAAACTCTGCTTATTAAGTACAGGAGTCATCATTGAAAAGGAGTTTTAGGAGTGTGCTTATTTTACCCACTCTCACTTGGGCAAAAGCAAGCTTTCCTCTATTTTCAAAAGTAAAATTGTGCTTTACTCTTTGGAAGACAGTTGGAAGCAGTGAAGGCATGGACTAAGCCGCAGAGAGAAAGGAATATCATGTCATCTTCACACACACCGGTATTCTACATGCATATTGTACTACTGTGGGTGTTTATTGAATGAATGAATGAGATGAAACCTTAGCACATGCACCTCTTGGCTAAAGTGGCCAGCCTCTGCATTGCTTTAAATATATTAGGATATATTTATATAGCAGCTGTCAAGAAAAGTGACAGGCACTTTTTGAACCTTTGTGTGGGACCCCAAGTTTCTTATTTCCCCACTGACCGAATGAGTTACCAGAGTTGTATGGAGGAAAACTGATGAAATCAGACTTTTTAACATCCTCCATATCGTGGGGTTTTTTGCCTGTCTTTATTAACTGGTACTTGCTTTGTATCCCAGACTCAAGGGACTCTCTGTATTTTCCAGTTGTAACTCAATCCCATTCACATCAAGACCTTCAACTCTGGGATCAGAGGCCAACCTTTACGTAACACCCCTACCACCAGAACAGGCTTGTACCATGTGGTATCCTAATAGGGAGGGTGTAAGGCCCATTCTCAATACCCCTGTCCCCTAGGAAACTTAGAAAAAGCCACACCAGCGTGATCCAAGATGTCTAAAAATGTCTTCCATTCTACAAAGAAAGCAAAAAAAAAAAAAAAAAAAAAAAAAAAAAAAAAAAAAAAAAAAAAAAAAAAAAAAAAAAAAAAAAAAAAAAAAAAAAAGCTTAAAACATTCTGGGGGAGTAGTGACACACGGATTTAAATTTCTGCCAGGATATAATTGAGTGCAACTAGAATTTCCCTGGGAACAGGTTGGGCAGGAAGGAGAGTGAGGAGTTAAGGGGCATGAGGTTGGAAAATGACCCAGGAATTGGGGAAAGGTTGCACGAAAGGGAGGCTGGGGATGCCAGTCTAATTTTGTTCATTTCTCATCTTTCCAAGTTGAGACTGGAGGGTCTGTTCCAGGTGCTGGGCTCTTCAGTTTTTTACTTGAAGTTCTAGGTAGTAATTTTCTCTCACCTTTTTTGTGTAATTTGCTTCTAGTTATGCTTATCTATAATAAGGCTCAGATGAATCTAGTTTAAATCTATTCTACTACTTCATGTATACCTCAGGTGAAAGCTAAAAATACCTGAATTTTTTTGAGAATGCTAAACATTTTTGAGAATTCTGAGGGCTTTGTCAGCATTTCTGATGCTTAAATGTCCCACCCCACCTGTTCGAGGCCTGGGCTGCTTTCATGCCCAATCCTCCAGGCTTCTGGCTCTAGGTGATCCAACAGCTAAAAATGCGTGGTTGGCATGTAGGAATTCGCTGGATTAGTGCTGTAGTCTGAGGGTGACGGACATGAGTTCTCCCCTTGAATGTGGGCCCAGCTTTGTTTCTCCAAACTTTACCTAAACTGTCCTAGAAATGGTTTGTTGAGTGACAACGTAAGGTCTAGGAAGTTAATAAAGAATTTGAGGACTAGCAGAGACTGAGCCTCCCTTTCACTCGGACTCGTTGTGTTTGCTCCCTGTCCCTGTGGGTTTCCTGCAGGGTTAGCCCTCTTGTTCTGATGTGAAAGGAGTCCAGTTTGACTCTGTAAGAAAAATCATGCCTGGCGCACCCAGTTACTGATTTCTTCTCTCCGTATGTGAACAGATGGGCTTCCCAGCACCATCTCCTTCAGCCTGGAAGAGGAAGAGGAAGCAGAAGGTGGAGGGCCAGCAGAATTCACTTGCTTCTCAGAAGATCTTGTGGCAGAGCAGCTGACGTACATGGACGCAGTAGGTTTTCTTCATCACTTTTTATTTTTTATTAGTACGTGTTTACAGTACATAATGATTACATTCCTCGTGGGGAATTGATCACATATATAACACATCTTAATTCTTTTTTTTAAATCCCCTTTCCTTTTCCTCTCCCTCCTGATCCCCTTCCCATTTGAAAAAGATCTATGTCCTTGTTTCCTTTTATCTTTTATTTTGCTCCTTTAGATTTAAGCTTGTCTGACTTATTTCACTTAACACCTGATCTCAAGGTGCATCCATTTTCCTACAGATGCCTCGAGCTCATCCTTCTTTATGGCTGAGTAGTACACCACTGTGTGTAAATACGTTTTCTTTCTCCATCCATCTGTTGGTGGACATGTAGACTGCTTTCAAGGTTTAGCTGTTGTGAATTGTGCGGCTATAAACATAGGTATGCATGGATCCCTGCAATGTGGTGTTTTGAACTCTTTTGTGAAGTTAGAAGAAGAATAGCTGGGCCAAATGGAATTTGTAGTTTGAGTTTTTTGGGGGGAATCTCGATACTGATGTCCACAACTTTGTTTGTTGGTTTGTTTATTGCTGTTTTGAGATGGGGTTTCACTATGTAGTCTAGACTGGTTCTGAACTCACTATATAGCCCCAGCTGTCCTGGAACTTGTCATCTTCCTGCCTCAGCCTCCTGACTGCTGGGATTACAAGAATGTGCGTCCATGAGCTGAAAGCAGCACCTCTTCTCCTTTTTCCTATGTGCTTCCGCTTAAAATGGGGGGTGCTGACAATACTAGTGTCCCAGAAAGGGCAGTGGGATAATGCAATTGGAGCCTTCTTAAATACTGGAGACAGGCTGTGCCTCTGAATGCAGCGTTAAGACATTACTCGAATCAATTCTCTGAATAATTCAGGCCTAAGCTCTTCTTGCAACTTTGAGTGAAGACGCATTTGGCTTGGCGCTCATGTCACAGAGGGAAATAAGAATTCTAATCCTAGTGAAACAAAATCTGCCCTGTTCCATGGGTATTTCTTTCCCTTTAGACTCGTAAATATTTCAAGAGCTCAACTGTTTATTTGGAGGATTGTACAGGGTCAGAGTATGAGTTAGGGTAAAATAAATTCATTGAATCCACATGTGACTGTGTCTGGCAGCTCATTTCCCTGTGTGTTTCCTGTACTTTTGAAGTTTGAATATTGTTGTTAGCTGTACATATTTGATTATGTCAGTCACATCTCATAGCTCGATATTACCTGGTAAATATTGTTAAAGGGACTATTACGTATTAGGAATTACCACAGTGGTTGTAGTGCTTCTGTGCTTATTTTTTCTTTTCTTTTTTGTGGTACTGGGGATTAAACCTGGGAGTGCTGAGCTACGTCTCAGCCCTTTTAAAAATTCTTATTATTGTGAGACAGGGTCTCCCTAAGTTGCCTAGGATGGCTCTGAACCTGCAGTCCTCCTGCCCTAGCCTTCACTGTAGCTGATATTACAGGTGTGGGTCACTGTGTCCAGCTGCATTGGCTTACTTATGAGAAAACAGTATTGAAAGTGGCAGTTTCCATCTAATGAACATGAAAATAAGTATTAGAAGCAAATTGGTAGTCTGTGTAAGTAAATTCTAGTGTTTTCCCTTCTATGTCCCATGTTGGATTGTTATAGAAATGAAAATTTGATTAAGAAACATATTTTTGGTTGTTGTTTGCATGATTGATAGATAATAGGTATGAGGAAAAGAGATAACTTTTTATTATAATTTTAAGGGAAAGTCCTGGGAACCAGGTTTCAAATCCCTCTTTCTTTCTTTTACTGTGTGTTGTTGAGCACTTTTTCCTTTTGTATGCTTCTTTCTTTATTTATTTTAAAGAATGGGAAGCAATGACCCTGATGGGGTCAGTTTTCAAGTGGTCAGAGACATCTGTTTGCCTCCTAGACAGTTCATGATTGCAAGTACACAGGACATCCTAGATATGATTTTGAGGTCAAAATAACCTTAAGCACTTTTTTTGGAACAAGAGATATTGTTTGATTTTCCTTGCAAGACAGGTAAGTCAAAATATTTTGGGTCATTTAAAGTTTCATTTGGTCATTGTGTTCTGTTTGCTCAGTTGAGTAGAGTTAAACAGTTCATGTAGGCTTTTCTGACCTATGAATATATTAATTATTGACCTTTGTCTATTGAAATGAGCACTGCAAGGCAAATTAACTAGAAAAGGATTATTCATCTATTCACAAAATACCGATTTCCAGATGACCTCGCTGATATGCTTTGCCATATGAAATGTGCGTGTTGTCGTTAACGTCAGTTCCTCTTTTGTTCCAGCAACTATTCAAGAAAGTTGTGCCTCACCATTGCTTGGGCTGCATTTGGTCTCAGAGGGATAAGAAGGAGAACAAACATTTGGCTCCTACAATCCGTGCTACCATTTCTCAGTTCAATACCCTCACTAAATGTGTGGTCAGCACCATCCTGGGCAGCAAAGAACTCAAGACCCAGCAGAGAGCCAGAATCATTGAGAAGTGGATTAACATTGCTCATGTAATTATCTTTCTAAAGATAGTTTTTGCATTTAGCAGGCATTGGAGACCATGCCATCACTCTGTTTAAATGGTTTAGCTGTTTGGTTGAAAGGTAGTGAGAAGACCATATATGCAAGCCTAATGGGTTCTGTTGTTGTTGGTCTAAACTAAGAAAACAAGTTGTCTTTTCACCTTGAGGGCTTATGTATTTCTCCTCTTAAAAACAAAAAAAACCCCGAAAACTGGTCTCTTCACTTCTTCCCACCTACGGTCCCTACACTGCTGCTTCTCCGGGAAGACACTCCATCTGCTTTTTCCTTTCTATCCACCCCTGACTCCATGTCTGCCCCATGTTCAGTAAATATAAATTCCTGGTCTGTGTGTCCAGTAAACTGCTCTCCATCCCAGAATGATCACCCATACATGTCGGTAGCACTGGGATGCGTTTCATATTCTGTAGATTTGCACAGATGGTCCTTCCTCACAACCCTCTCTTTTCTAGTGGACTGAGATATCTCCACAGATCTCACACTAATCTGTGGACTTTCCGAGGGCCTCACAGTCAGAGGGGAGTAGTCTATTCTTAGACCTGGGTTACATTCTGCTGAGGGTCAGAGTCTACTCCCTTGGATTAATTGCTTACATGCCAGACAACCCTCCCTTATCAGCACTGTATGTCATGACTGAGAAAATGACAGCATTCAGTTAATTGATCATATATTTTTTACATAAACTATTATATATAGACTATAATAGTATGTATTTTAAAGATATAACAGTCTAGAACAGAATTGACTTGGAACTACAGGAGCAACCCTTAATGGAATTACCTCAGCCTGGGCAGTAGTGGTGTTGACTATCTTAAGTGCTGGATAAGTGGAGAAAAGAGAAGTCATTTCTGATCAGGGTGTCAAAGAAGAAATGAGGTGATGTTTGAATTTGGTTCTGAATGATACGATTTTTGAAACTTGAGGATCAAAGGTTTTTATAATTTTTTTTCTATATAAGAGATTACATCAGCAAAAATTCTGAAAAATAATTATTATGTAAATATTCTATTAGTTTGTGTTCTGGACTATTTGGGTCAACCCTTAATCAAGAGGTATTTTGCTTTATATCCCCTTAGCTATATTTTTCATTAAGCCTCTCTCTTGGGCACAATGCCTAAGTTTTTCACATTCTCTTGTTGTTTTTGATTAAACATAATTATGCCAAAGAATTTGCCTCATTTTGAGTATTTAAGTGATGTATTATTATAGACTTTTTTGTATATAAAAAAGTGAAAAAGAGTAAAAGTTGCATAAACAACTTACATTTCTCCTATTCTAAATAGAGCTTGTTTTCCATCAAGTGGCTCCAAAGAAATTCTAATGGAATGTAATAGTAGAATAGAATTTCTCTTTCTTTTTCAAGTAATAAGAAAGTATTTTTTCAGTAAATACCACCACGTTTAGAGCTCTGTGCCTTGAAAGCATATGGCTTATCCACCCCAAGTCTATTTGACTACATCTGTGCATATGACAAAGTGTGGCTCAAACAATGACTTGATCCAAGTTAAATATAGGATGTGCATTTAGATAATAATGAGAAATATACAATTTGAATAACTGGACGTATACTCCAGTTCCTATAGTATTCGTAACAAAGCCAAGAGTTCTCACCTTTGGTGATAATAGTTTTTAATATTGAATATGTTGTGTCTTGAAATTGTACAGGGTGACTTAAGAAAATAATGAAACCCTAAAAAAATAAAATGAAATAGTGAAACCCTAAGTGTTCCTGCCAAGATTTATTTTACTATTTGCATTTGTCACAGTTGGATCTATTGAATAGATGTTTGAAAAATGATAATAATTTTACATGGAGAAAATATTTCTGACCTAATAAGGGTATATTTTCTTGGACTGGCCGTACTGCTGCATTTTTACTTTTGCATCATATCTTCTGGAAGCTGCCTCCTTTTCTAGAAGTGGGACCAGATGCCTTTTGTACTCCTTGAAACCCTTCATTTAAACCTTTCTAAATGATGAGTTCCCTATGTTTATTACAATTGGCACGATGTATCTGTGCCTGAGTCCATTTAATTATTGCAGGTTCCTGATGTTTAGCACATAACTCTGGGTTCTGAACCTTTGTCGAACCGTTCCAGCTGGGTTCTCTTTCTCACCCTCCCTCCCTCCTGTCCTCCTCCTCTCCCTCCCTCTCCCCTTCCCCTTCTCGTTTCTTTGCCCCTCTCCGCTCTCTCCCTTCCTTCTCCTCTTCCTTTCCCTCTATCCCTCTTTCCTTCTTCCTCTCTCCTCTTCCACCCTCCTTCCCCTCCTTCTTTCCTTCCAAATGAGGAGAGCCTTGGGGCATTTTAAAGAGATGGGCGTGGCTTTTATAAAATACATTGGCATTTGCTCTAAAGAAAGTGATTGAAGGATTCCTTGGCATAGTTTCTCGTATCCAGATTTTGGCACGCTAAATTAGAGAATGCTGTGTTTCCTTTCTAGTCCGGATGAGTACGACTTCATGAAATGAACCTTGAACTGATTTGCATTTATGCCCAGCCACTCTGGGACATCTTGCCCCAGATGTTCTCCCTGAAGCCCAGTGCGTACTCACTCAGTGTGCTCAATAGTAATTTGTGGGTGTGTTGCACTGCCATATGCCTGTGTGGGAAGCGTCTCCTTTGACACAGGAATAGTCTGCTTGCCTCGTGTCGCTCCATGCCAGCCAAGAATAGGACCCTCTCCCTGACTCTTGCTGTCCTTGCTATTCTTTGGGCAGGACTTTAACTCCAAGGTCACTGACTGCTGATACTATGGCCTTGATTCTTATAGTAGCGTAAGTGTAAGTAGGGAGCCTCTGTCCTTAACCAGAATGTTTCCTGTTCTCTTTCCATTTTGTTTTTAAATACTGTCAAAATGAATCTTAATTTAAAAGCCCTAGTTATTTTGGAAGCATTGAAGTACCAAGGTGTTTCTGAATGTTTATGAGTGCGGTACAAGCCAATTTGAAACTAAATGAATGTGTATAAAAATATTCCCCCTTGGCTAAGAGCATAAAAGCCAAAGTTCAACTTGTGGTGAATTTTTACTGCCAAGTTACATACACCTCCCAGGACAAGGATTGGTCATGAGATGTTTGATACCATTGGAACTCGAAGTGGCTGTTGCCCAGTTCCGTTGTGGGTCTAAGGATACAGTGATCTTTCATGTGTATTTTTAGGGCATGTGTGTGCTTTCCACAGAAGAAAGCTGCTTTCTCTAGCCTCTCTCTAGGCTCACCTCCATTCATGTTTTTACGGGGAAAGCTGGAAACTATAAAACTGTAACAACAGCGCAAAAATATCTTAAAGGGAGAAAAACAAACACATGGTGCCAAAATCTATAAAGTGTTTGGGTGACTGGGGTGGGAGGAAGGAGCCACTTTTTGATGTCCAGTATTTATTCAGCTGCCTATTTAGTGGTAAGAATTCATAGCAGCTGTGATACCTCTAAAACAGGAAACAACCGACTCACTGTAATATTGATATTTAAATGCCTTTTATGTCCCAATCACTCCCCGTACAGGAATGTAGAATCCTGAAGAACTTTTCCTCCTTGAGGGCCATCGTTTCAGCACTGCAGTCTAATTCCATCTATCGCTTGAAAAAGACCTGGGCTGCCGTCCCAAAGTAAGTTTGCAAAGTGTCTGAGTGATTCATCGCCACATCAGTGCTATGGGTCCTCATTATCATGTGATGGGAGAGGCATAGTCAAAGCCCTCTCATTGTTTCAGGTGATGTGCATCTTACACATAATCATCAGTGAGTTTTGAGCAAGGGTGCTGCAGAAGTTAACCCCATTCTCAAAGTGCCAAGCCAAGATTGATTGGTTTTGGGGGATGATTTGAAGGATGTGCTTATTGCTTGCGTTTTGAGGGATGAAGGACTGCAGTTTGCCATGACTTCTGGTTGTTGTTCAGCCTCATTCCAAAGCCCGAGGCCATTCCAGAAGGTGAGGCATCACCCGCACAGCTGTGGCATTAGTGCTGGATGTGCAGCAAGAAACTGTTCAGTCCCTTTGTGCCTCCGTGTATTAGAAGCTAGTTTAGAAATTATATTAAAACTACATGATCTTATATTAAAAGTTTCTTAGTGATGTTAAAAACCCTTGAATGTTCCTTCCATTCTAGGCAACTGATAAGAAATTGTTCACTGGCCATGTTCTGGGCTGTTTTTCTTCATGTTTCTTGTTGCAGCCTTTAGAACCATTGGCAATTTATTGTCCTTATGATCGCTGTCTTCCACTTCTAGAACTTCGTTTGTAGACCAGAGACCTTTTTGCACAGGAAGGGAAAGAGGAAGCAGGCTTAGTACCACTCAGAACAGATTTAGAGGCTGGGGCTTGTGTCACAGATACCAAGTAGGCTGGCTGCGTCCAAGTCTCCCTGGCTGTGAGGCTATATCAGGGGAGGGAGTGTCAGTGTCTGTCAGGGGAGAAGCTAGTTTACTCCCCAGCCAAGGCTGTTGGGTGGAAACAGTGAATTTGTCCTCAGAGTGGAAGGCCTAGGAATTCAGTTTCATCAGTTCATTTGTTAACCCCTAAGGGATTGACGCTCCTCACACTTGCATGAGACCCACACTGGCAAACAAGAGTCTCATAAATGTGTGCTGGAGAATGAGTGCCAGACTATCCTAGCTTACTGATGTATTCAAGGGATAGTCTATTTCAGAGGGGCCACATTATTTCTGGAGAGTTCTTTGACAAGTTAAAAAAGGAAAAACAGTGGATGATCTTAATACTTCATGTGACAAAAGCCACAGCCACTTGGATTCCAAAGCTCATACTTTGTTTATGACACCATTATCTACAGGAAAAACCTGGCAGATAGGCTTTTCAAAGCTCAGTGCAATTTTCTTGATTATCACTCTTTTCTTGGGTCCTAAGGTGACTCTGTGTGAAAGAGATTAGTTGATTCTCCTCTAGACACATATCTTATAAAAGATACGGGTTGTATACAATCCCTCGATAATAGTCCCTGGGAAATACAATGGGACAATCAGAAGCATAGAGTGTCCTCCTTCTTTACAGTCACATCTCCTCTCCTCTCCATTCATCACCGCTTCCCCACCCAACAGTGGTATCAAAAGTATGGGAGTAGTCGGGTGGTACAATTTCAACCTTATCTCATTGCACTGACAGGCAATCTGATCTCATTTTTTGGGTGGTTATTAGTCAGTTAGTGTCTTCTTTCGACAGTCACCTACCCTGCCGAAGACTTCTTTTCTTTTACAGCAAGTTTGGGGCCCAAAGACAAGTAAAGATAGTAACAAGGCGATGGATCTTTTGTAAATGGGAAAAGGACCAAGAGAAGGAGGGAAGGGAGAAGGAGATGTAAAAATATTTGAAGGGTGTGATGTACACGTGCCAACTCCCGGTGATGAGTGTAATCGTTGTGTACTGCAAACGTGTCCATACTAATACACATTTTTAAAAATGTGAACAAAATGATGAACCTATATTTTAGTCTCTGTGGTTGCCATATAAGAAGGTCCATTCTTCCAGCTGACCTTTTAAGTTAGCGTTTAAAAACTTCTGTTCATCACGTCTGGTTTGATTCTTAGCTCATTGGCTAGTTTATATTTTAGCAAGGATGCTGCTGTGTCCCAGCTCCTTAGAGAAGACACCCGTCAGCTTTCTATGCTCTCCATTGCTAAGTTTTAGGCACAGGGTCACGATATCTTATTTGGTTTTAATTTCCCCTATAATCTTTTACATTTCAGCTTTCAGTAGACAGAGAAAATACCTAAGTTATTTCTCAACTTAGAACTACATGTAATTAAGTTCCTAACGATTTTCTGTAAAATATAAGCAGCTTTAATGGTCTTCTTTATTATAAGAGCAATCTCCTCATTGTAATGCAAGTAAGTCCTTTAGGAATGGCTTTTTCATGATGATGAGAATATTGCACATATAAGGCTCTGGCCCCTAATGATTCTTTGCCTTCGGCATCATCCACTCTGTAGCCTGGGAAGGGTGTGTGGAGGCCAGCAAGAAGCTCACGGAGATAGAGGGGGATACAGTGAGTGCAGGACACTGGGTGCTTCGCCCATGGCATGCTTCTTACCTTCACAGCAGTCCTCCGAGGGTGTGATAGCGTCCATTGTGCAGATGAGAAAATGGACGCTCAGGGAAGTTGAGCAACTTGTCTGAGATCGCTGAGGAAGTGAGTGGCAGAGCGGAGATCTGTCCCTGACCTCCACCTTCACCCTCAGCTGCAGAGCCCATTCTGATTCCACAGTTCTCTGACTCAGGGTGAGAAGCTGGACAAAACTGGGGATGCTATCTCTGAGACGCTCAGAAGTTTCTGGTGAAAATTTGGGCAAACCCTTGGCCTTGGCAGCTTCCTGTGTAAAATTAGGGGCCCGGCCAAGATGACCTCTTAGTTCCCATTTGGCTCTGTATTTGTTGCTAAGGTTAAAATAAAAACAAAAACAAAAAACAACTCACTGAAGAAAGCATGTCCCAGTTGAATAACTTAATGTCACAATTGATGCTTTTTTATGATATCATGCATTGTTAGAAAACATTTCTCTTTATACAGATAGCCATGTTTACCTTTTGAAAAAGCATATTTGGGGGGAATAAAAGCCAATTCTGACAGCAAAACATTCTTCCATTGCTGTAGGAACTGAAAACAGCTACCCCGAAGATGTCTGAATTTTACTCTCTCCTTGTTGTTAATATTTCCTTAATCCTTCTTCATAGGGACCGAATGCTAATGTTTGAAGAACTTTCAGATATCTTCTCAGACCATAATAACCATTTGACCAGCCGGGAACTACTGATGAAGGTGAGGCCCAGGGTGAGAGAACCGGGGGCACTGCTGATAGCTTCGAATTCCATCCCAGGGAGGAGTAGCTCAGGGCTCCCTAAGAGCCTTCTGTTCTGCAAGAAAGCAGAATTTTCTTCTTTTCTGCATAATCTAGGATACATGGGGTTGAGAACATTCAAAGTCCATTTGAGTTCTCACCTTCTAACCTCTGTAGCTTCCCTATTAAACAACCAGATTGTGAACTTGTGTTCATGTGTGTGCTTTCTTAGCATGCTACTTTGCAGATACCAAGAGCTGGCAGCTAGGTGGGTAAGGGTCCCAGAAGTACCCTTCTCAGCAAAAAACTAGAATAAGAGGCCAGGCCTGCAATGCCACATCCTTTATTTAGACCAGGTCGCACAATCTTGTAGTCAGAACATTTACTGAACAATCAAGTGAGTGGTGATTTCTGACCTGTACGCTAGGCAAAAGTCTAGCTTGGCTCATTTTTCCAAAAAACATGTTAAATGTCTTATGTTTATAAAGGTTTGAACTTGCCTCTAGAAATACGAAGATAGATCCTTTTAGGAGTTCTTCCGTAGTTGGTGGCTAGAGACACTAAACAATAAGTAGTATTAAGGAAAAAAAAAAAAAAAAAGCCAAAAAAACAGACTGAGCAATCACCAGAAGGGAGTTAACATAGACCAGGCACTATCTTCTATACAGTAAGTTTTAAATTCTTGTTTTGCAAATAATCCAGACTCTCAGAAGGAAGCATTACACCTAGTAGAGGGTAAACTAAAATGTAAATCCAACCTGATGGGACTCTAAAACCTATGCTTTTGTTATTTAGGGATTAAACTGTTTCTTTTGACACCTTGGGAGTAAAGGGCATGGTAGATGGGGTCCAACTTCATAGAGGAGGGAAATGGATAAATTGATAATTTAGCATATATTGGTTGTACACTTCTTATATGTTAGATATTGAAATATAACCATATTGATCTACAGCTCTCTGATAATAAGGGGATTACAGCCTTATGGGAAGGCAGAAAAGTAGACAATTATAAAATAGTATGATATGCTCTAGCATAGGGGAATCCCTGAACTGGTAATTTGAAGATTTGGTCCTTGTCTTTAGTCTCCATTTCTGCAGCTTGGAGGCAGTAATGGCAATGGGTCTATTGCCTCACAGAATTGGTTTGAAGAATGATTGCAGTAAAATACGTGAAAGTGCTATATAAATGTAAGTGATTTGTAGTATTTGGTAAGCTATATACATGTAAAAATAAAGTGTGCATAACAAGTGAAAATGAATAAATTATAAGCTTCACATTTGAGCTTTGGGACACTTGAGGTAGGAACAAAGGTCAAGTGGAGGTGGGGTTATTAGGAAAAGGCATCCATTTGATGACTTGTCAGACTCCAGTGTCTAAAACTCGTAGGTTAGTCAGTCCTGTGAAGGTGCCTATTATAGTTTTCATGACTGTTTTCCTAAGTTCTGCCCATCCTTCACGTCTTTGTGTGGACTCCTGTTTTTTCTTCCTCAACACTAAGTGTCCCCCCGTTTGGACAAGGAGAAGCTCACCATTCCTTCGTCCTGGCACTTACCACGTGCTCTATGGGAATTGCCTGTGGACTTGACCTGTCTCCCTGCAGACCTGTAAGCTTTTTGCAGGCAGGCACTGGATATATCTTTTGTTTCTTTTGTATCCTTAATGCCTAATAGAGTGCCTGGCTTGTAGTGTGTGTTCAGAAACTATTGTTTGACTGTGTGAATTGATGGATCTTATCGCTCACGTGATTTTAACAGTGTACCCACTGTCCATCTTTCTTGGAGTGAATGATACGAGCAGGTCAGTTTATGCTGATGTCTGACTTTGGACTGGGCTCCTGAGTAACTGCACATTTAAAGATTGCTGAGATCATATTATTCCTTGCTTCACGTCCCTCTGGATTTGCAGACTTTAAATGGAAACCCAGCTGGCTGGAAGGAGATGGCTCAGTGATCTCCCTATTTGCAGTAGAAAGCTAGACTAGCTGGAGCCACACATTCAAATCCCAGTAGTCCCCAGTCATCCTTCCAAGGTAGATAAATTGAATGCTGTGCAGATCATTGCCTGGTGGCAGTCTTTTGGCTGAAGCCTTAGAAACAAAGCTATTTCTGGACATTAAAGATCCCATAAACCTTTTTTAAAATATAAGAATTTACCTCAGTACTCTAAGTGAAATTTCTTATATATGGCTCAAATCCCAAAGAAATGAAAAACTTGGCTATGATTTCATGTGGTCTGTACATTATCATTAATGGTAGTAAAATGATTTGGGCAGACCACATGTACAAGCAAGTCCCTTTCCTGTCATCTTTGTTGATCATTCTTCATGTAAAGTGTATAATCCTGTGTGTAAATTAACAGCACAGCTGTAAAAAAATTGAAATCAAAGCATTTAAGTTCTCAAAAGAACCACTGGCGGGGGGAACTACTGACTGGGCTCTGTTTCTAATATGTTACTTTGAGACTTCTACTGATGTGTTGTTAGGTACTCTCAGTTTTAAATGATCTCTCTTCTACATCTGGGTAAATTTTTTTTGTTTGTTTTTGTTTTTTTGTACCAGGGATCGAACTTGGGTCCTTGCGCTTGTGAGGCAGGTGGCAGAACCACTGAGCTAAATCCCCAGCCCAACATGTAAATTTAACAAGCTGATTCTATAATATGGTGGCCCAGACAAGATAATAATTAGCAAAAATCTGTGGTTTGCCTTTTAACTGTTGGAAAAATATTTTTATTTCTTCTCAAAGATTACCTAAAACCTGTTATATCCTTTTGATTTTGGAAACTTAGCTAATTCTGAGAAGGCGAATTTCCCATGGATTTCAAAACAACAGGAAAGAAGACTGTCACCAAATTGTCTTGGTTCTTATGATTCCTGGTGAGAACTCTCCCTGGTTGAATTGATATAAAGAACTGCTAGAATACCTCTCCAGTGGAGATGTTCATTTAGTGATGCTCCTTAACATAGCATGGAAGTTGGAGCAGCAGACCATTAGAACTGTGAAGAACTATCAAATTAAAAATCGCCAGTAGCTTCTGAGGTATAATTTAATCAATATTTATTAAACTGGATCTTGCCTCATAGACAAGGTCCTTCTGTACCTAGTAGCAGAGATTCTTCTGAAGCGCAGGAAAAAACATGAGCGAAGGCAGTTGGACTCCACTAAAGACGGAGATAGAGAGAGGTGAGCCTCAGATGAGAAATTTGCACTATAGAGAAAGAAGTGGAGTCAACAGAGGAGAGGAAAGCAATGGGAGAGCACTGGAGGGAGAGGGAGAGATTTAGAATTCATCCAGACAAAGGTGATTGGGTGGCTATTTCTATTGACCTGAGTGTCTGAAAAGCAAGATGATTTGAGCAGAAAGTGGAGTCACTTAAAGGAGTCTGAGTGTGAGTGGCGAAGGAGGCAGGAGGAAAGAACTGTGAAAAACTTCAAGAAGGTGCAAGGGGTTGGTGTTGTAAGAAAGTACAGAGTAAGGAATTTGGGGTCAAGGAAGGGAAAAACTAAAACCACTGCATGTAGCAAAGAAGTAGATTTTCAGTCAACACCTCTTTGGAAGAACTGGCACGAGTCAGCCTTTTTAGTGTTACAGCCAGGCATAGAATCTCTTTCACAGTGAAGTCACGAATCAACATGTCTTTCAGCTCCCATCTCAGATCTTTTTCCTGCTACCAATGGGGTGATATTGGGGCTTCTCTAGATCCTTCCCACCTGTGCTGTTTTGTGGTGTGTAGCTTTCTAACTTCTCAGAGATCCTCACTAAGAATTCTAGATATATGCAGTAACCCCCTATGTTACCCTCTACCTATGATTGAAAGCCTGGAAGGACCTACATGCTGGACAGAGGGGACACATCCTCATGCCGAGAGAATCGATTTCTCACTCCAAGTGAATTGTTTTTTGTTTTTTGGTTTTTTTTTTTGGTACTGGGGTTCAAACTCAGGTCCCTGTGCTTGCAAGGCAGGAAGCAGAACCACCTAGCTAAATCCCTGGCTCCAAGTGAATTCTTAAGGATTGTGAAGACTTGCAAGGCAGGTGGCGGAACCACTGAGTTACAAACCCAGCCCTAGATCTGACACTAGAGGTTCCATTTGACCCAGCCATCCCCCTGCTGGGTGTCTTTCTAAAAGAATTAAAAGAATCATATCACAGTGATATATGTGCACCTATGTTTATAGTGGCACAGTTTGTAATAGCTAAAACTTGGAAACAGCCCATTTGCCCATCAGTTGGAAACTGGATGGAGAAGATGGGGTTTTTCTATAAAATGGAGCACTACTCAGGCATAAAGAATGAGAAATTAGATTCATTCATAGGAAAATGGATACATATTGAGGATATACTCCTAAGTGAAATAAGTCACACATGTGTAAATACCGAATAGTTTCTCTGGTGTGAATAAGTTATAATAATACATAAGATCCTAATGAGATAATTGACCATGTGAAATAGGAAGAAAAGGGCTAAATGGAGCACTACTCAGGCATAAAGAATGAGAAATTAGATTCATTCATAGGAAAATGGATACATATTGAGGATATACTCCTAAGTGAAATAAGTCACACATGTGTAAATACCGAATAGTTTCTCTGGTGTGAATAAGTTATAATAATACATAAGATCCTAATGAGATAATTGACCATGTGAAATAGGAAGAAAAGGGCTAAAGGTGTACGGGAAGTGGGAAGGGTAGGGGAAAACTAAAAAGGGAAAAGAAAAAATATGAGAAAATGAAAAAATGGAAATGAAGTGTTTGTAAAGGGGGAGGGGAGGCAGGGGCGAAGGGAGGGGAGGAACAAGGGAAAAAATGAGAACCAAGAACTGTCATGTAAAGGTACAAGATCCCAATGATGAATGTAACTGTATTGTATACCTGAAATGTACCAATAAACTCAATGAGGGGGAAAAAAAAGAAGAATTGCAAGGACTTAGAAGACCCCAGTGTAGGAAGAGGCACCTTTTAGGCTGCCACCGTGCATGTCCAGGAGAAGCTGTCCTTATTATCCTTCGTAGGAGAACCGAAACAGATGAGGAGTCCTGGGGTGGGGGTGGGGCTCTGGACCTGGACCTGGGTCAAAGGTGGGTAGTGACAGAATGTACTTATGCTTTATCGCATCAGCAAGGCCGTGTCACTGAGAAGGAATTGTCCTGCATTATACAGTAGTGAAAAGTCATATGCTAAGGCAACATAATAAACCCAGGGAAACCTGACTGTGGAAAATCTTTTAGGGGTTACGCGAGAATGAATTGTGAAATTTGCCTCCCATTCATGCAGTTCCTGGAAAATGGGAACTTAACAAGCCCCTGAAACCACAAAACCAAAACACTTTATATGAAGTCAGCAACTTGTGATTAGTCATTATGTAGAAGAGTTTGTTGTTACAGTAGCCGAGAGGAGAGAAAGGGTAGCCATCTGCCCTCAGGTACCGAGAGGAAGGATAGATGTGTAATGATTCCAAACTGGGAAGGTAATTTAGAGGGGTTGATGGGAGAATAGGGGGAAATAAGTAAGGGTGTAGTTTTCACGAAGTGATCATGTACCATGACAGGGACTTCCTCAGAAAACTTCCGATCCAGCAGTTTCACTTGCCTAAGGAATACCCCAGAATTAGTCCCTTTTCTTTCACAGAATGCTAGCACACCTCTTTCATGCCAGGATCAAGATGTCACAAACTGTACAGGGGAAGACACCTTTGTTTCCAGGACTTAGGACCACTTTGAAATTCGGAATGTGTTAAAATGTCTCCTCTTCAGGGACTCGCCTGCCTTGCAGTGACGGTTGATTTTATAACCGAATCAGTCATCTTCCATAAAGACAAGAGGGAAGAGTTGGGATCATCAAAGACCACCAGGCCTCATACAGAGCCTGTGGCCATAGGATCGCCAAGCATTTACATAGAGTCCCTGAGAGCCTGCTGGAGGCCTCTTCATTTGCGTTCAGAGACCTGGGCAGAGGTTGCAGTTGTGTGCCATGTGGAGCTCATTCCCAGAGTGGCAGCCTCCGCCACTTTCCCTGTGTGTGCTCTGCTCCTTAGGAAGGAACCTCCAAGTTTGCAAACCTGGACAGCAGTGTGAAGGAAAACCAGAAGCGAACCCAGAGGCGGCTGCAGCTGCAGAAGGATATGGTATGTCCAGCTCGTGTTCCTCCCCGGGAGCTGTAGGACACCGGCCCTGCGTCATGACTAGGTAGCTGGGCTCTGTGACATCAGTGTTTGCAATCTTCAGGGCGCCCGTGCTTTCCCTCTCTTTACCGCACTGGTCCTCAGCAGTGCTGGGAGTCTTTAGGAAGGATACTTGCTGCATTTGACCTAGTAGGAGGTGAACACTGAGGGTTGCAAATCAGGTATTCAGGACTTTTTCTGGAATACATTTTATTTACTTCTTTTTTGATAATAAGGGAAAGTGAGCAGCAGGTCTCTCTGTCCCGCTCCCTGGCTCCTGCAGCCCTGCTTGTGCCGCTTCGCCTAAAAGGCCCCAGGACTTGCTGTCGTCCTCTGCTTCTGGCATTTGATGGCCAAGGGAAGAGTGCTGCTAGGAGGATTTGTCCTTTTCCTCACTTCGTTCGTTCTCAAGTCACCGCTAAGCTCTCCGTACTAATCCCTAGGACAATCAAATCTGTCTGGTTTTTCAACACTCAAAGGATGACCTCCTTTCTGAAGGCTGGTATTAGTTATTGTCTTTAGCTGTATTTTATTTTGTTATTTTATTATTCTTTTCTCTTTCTGTTCTTGTTTGTTTTTTGTTTTTTTTTGTTTTTTTGGAGGGTGGGTACTGGGGATCAAACTCAGGAACCTGAGCTTGCCAGGCAGGTACTGTGTTGCTCGGCTGCATCTCTGACCCCCTTCCTTTTTTTCCTTCCCTCCCTCCCTCCCTCCCTTCCTTCCTTCCTTATTTCTTTTGTGTGTTTTGTAGTTCAAGCTAGCCTTGAACTCACTATGTAGCCCAGACTAGCGCTGGACTCATGGTGATCCTCCTGTCTCAGCCTCCTGAGTACTAAGATTACAAGTGTGTGCCACCATGCCCAGCTTTTTAACTGTATTTTAAACTCCTAACTTAGCATACACGGTGAAAACCAGGAAGAGGAGATTAGAAACTGGCAAACTAAATATCCCTACCTTGAGAGGATTTTCTCCTTCTTTGGAAAGCCGGGTATAAATCAGAAATGTTTTTGATGCTGAAACATAAAACCTATAAAACTCACAGTATTTGAAACTTGTTTGGAGATTCAAGGACAAGTTATAAATAGTTGTTACGAATGGGGGACACTTACTTTAGTTCAGGGTGAGACCATGTACACATAATGGGGAAGGACAAGCTGCAGCTGACAGTGAGTTCCTGAGGGACAAAGCCCTCCCTGGTGTGACCTGGCTTAGGAAGCCGCCAGCCTCATGCCAAGCAGCCTGGCCTTGCCCTGGTTGAGACTGTGTTCCTGCCAGGATTTCTGTGCGTACCTTAATACATTTCGATACGGAGTCCGCAGAAGCCCTGTTTTACTTTTCTTGCAGCATGGTTAATACCCTGTGGCCTCATGGAGAACAGGGATGATTTTAGAGATTTGGTGGCGTGGACATAGACTATACCTGCAGCTGTGGTGACTCCTTCCACCTTAATTCCCAATGGGCAATTTAAAAACCTTTTTTATTTTAGAATAATTGTAGATTTACAGAAAAGTTGCAAAATTGGTAACATAGAATACTGTAAACGCCCAAATACCTGCACACCTCCCACCGTTCCTCCGTTGTTAATATCTCTAACCTTGGCACATCTGTCCGTACTGGCATCAGACTATGAGCTAGGATTCCCATCAGCATCTTTTCTGTGTCCCACGACCCGGTCCAGCATTCGCTCTGCATTTCGTTGCCTGGTCTTCCCAGTCCCTTCTGGCTCACAGCAGTTTCTCCGTCTTCCCTTGGTGTTTATGAGTCCCGTAGTCGGGGTTACATTTGTTATTCTAGGGGTGCGATTGAGGTTGTAGGTTCTTTGAAACTGTGCCATGGAGAAGAAGAGCTCTCTTTTTTCCTATCAAGGAGGGAATGTTAACAATATCTGTCGTCTGTGCTGTTGGAGCCACTGGTGATGTTGACCTTAATCGCTTGGTTAGAATTTGCCAGGCTTCACATTTGTGTGTGTGTGTGTGTGTGTGTGCGTGCACGCGCAGTGCTGGGGATTGAACCCAGGACCTCATGCATGCTAGGCAAGTGCTCTACCACTGAGCACATCCCCAGCCCTCAGTTTCCCTGTCTTCTCTTCCTTGGAAGTGAGTCACTAGGCCCAGCCCAAGGGGCCATTTTAATAGTGATGCCCCGCACTCCTGTGGTGCGTACTTCTCCATCGTGCAGTGGCCCATGACTTTACTGATGGCGAGGCTGTTGCTGTCCAGGGCTATCGCAGACCACCAGAAGTGTTCACATACTCTGAGAGCGACCAGATGGCCCACTGACCTGAGCACAAGTGAAGTACAAACCCTCGTGAATGCATCTGAATGTATGTGTATGATCTACTGGGTTTTAGGCATGGATTTCATGACTTTGAAAGTCAGACATTTTGAGTTCCTATCCTGTTTGTCAGGGTTTTTAAAATAATAGTCACAGAGGTTAGTACTTGTGGCTCCAAAATAGTCCTTGAATGGGTCCATTTTTTCCCGTGTGGAGGTTCCTGAAACCCTTAAAGTTTTCAGTAACAATAAAGACAGTTTTACTCTGATTGCTCTTCAGGGTGTGATGCAGGGAACTGTACCCTACCTGGGTACCTTCCTGACCGACCTGACCATGCTGGACACTGCCCTTCAGGACTACATTGAGGTGAGCGGTGTGTGAGTAATGTAACTAGGCCCGCAGCCCTCCCATGGGATTCTCAGCAGAGAAATTCACTTCTATCAGTATCAGTTGAGAGCCAGTTATAAATAAGCATGCTACTGTGCTGGATTCTAAGAAGAATACAGAGTAACAAGTAAGAAGTGGCTCCAAAGCCAATGGGAGGAATAATATAGCAGAGTAGGCAGTGATATTCAAACAGAAAGGCCATGAGACAACATGAGCGGATGTAATGAAAAGGCCTCTTGAAACAGTGGGTATAAGCAAGACTTTGATGTTGAGTAGAACGTTACAGGTGGAATGGAAGGAATAATATGTCCTAACATTTGACCTAGGGAGAGGAGTGAGTCAAGTCTGTGAATTTTCAAGTAACCCCCCCTACCCCTTTTTGTATTGCTTCTTGTTCTGAGATATGTACTCACTCGCTGTCTCTCTCTTGGGATGGGGAAAGAGGTAATACTTGTAGGTAACAGTAATAAAGCAGTAAGTGGAAAGGAAATTTAATATCTGAAGTAAGATTTGAAGATTACTTGTATATTTAAGTATATTGTACTTTGCTGGTCATCACGCACAATTAGCCTGCTTTTATTGTACATAACTGGAAAGAATAGAAGTTACTTTGCTTATAGCACAACTATAAGCAGGTTTGCCACGAGTATCACAGACGTGTTCATTCATCTTGCATTTCCTGAGCTCTGTGTCTTCTCACATCCTCTGTCCCAGCTTATCTCAGGAAACACCCATCAGTGCTGGGGAATTTTGGGGGAGGGATCACAGATTTAGAAGTTAAATTCAGCCTACTGAGAATAGGAGTGAGACGGATGAAGAATTGAAACTTAACTTTTCACGATACTATATAGAAGCAACTTCCCTTTTGGTAAAGCATTGACAACTTGGTTTCTAGTATGAGTCAGTGACCATCTGTTTTTTGTTGTTTTTGGTCAAGGAAAAAAGTAGAATGGAATATTTATTCAATCATTTGTCTTTCCTGGCTCTGCAAGTAATTTGGGGTTCTGACTTGTAATTATTTCTCATCACTATTTTAGTTTATTTCAGACATTTTATTAGAAGGTTGTCTGCCTATCTTGCTCTATTATAAATGAAAGAATGCTTTTCTTAAAGTAAAAGATGGCTCCCTTCCTCTATAGTAGCCATAATTACAGGATCATTAATAATTATGACTTTATCATCCCTTTAAACTATTTTAATGTGATCTAGAAAAACACAAGGCTATGTTTCAAAGAAGCTTGGTTGGTCACTATATTTTTAAAATTTCTTTCAGGGAGGACTGATTAACTTTGAAAAAAGGAGAAGGGTAAGTCTATGATTTTCCACTTTTCTTCATCTAGGCATGAAAAAATTTTATAAAGTAGAAAATTAAGGGTTTTTTATCATAGAAGCAGGAAAAAAGAGAATGTTTGTTGAGCACTTACTCTGTGCCATTGTGCAGGGCACACTGCTGTGCATTAGCTCTCAAGAGCCCATGTGAGGCCAGTTTTATCATCCTTAGTTCAAAGGAAACCAGCACTTCAGAGGTTAAATAACCGGACCAGAGTTACCAGATCACAGAGCCAGCGTTCAGATCTTATCCTGCCACTCTGAGGCCTATTAAGAAATTAAGTGTAATTTTTTTTCCTTTTCCCTTCCTCATTTCCTTTATAATTAGTTTCATCAAAAACAGGTCCATCCTACTTAATAACAATGTATTTGTGTACTTAAAAATTGCTATGAGTAGATTTTAAGTCTTTTCCTCATAAATAGGTACTGTGTGGGAGATAATTTATATGTGAATTATCTTGATTCAGCCATTACACAATATATGCATATTTCAAAATTCCATGTTATATACACCATTAACGTGTATAATTTTTATTTTTCAATTAAAAAAAAAGGTCACACTATTAAGGAGAAAGAGTTTCCTAAGAGCAAATGATATAGAAGAATTTAAAAAGCTGGCTAACTTTTGTGTGTCTATTTGAGGGAGAGGAAAGGAAGTGCTCTTCACAGTTAAGGTAGAAGTAATTATTCCTTTCCTTTCCTATCAGTAATAGAAGGGGTGTTCAACATTAATTTGAATTTTTTTTTGTGTGTGTGTGGCTAGAATAGTTCTGAGTTATGATAAAAAAGGTAAAGCAAGTTTAAAATTTTGCTTTGGTTTTTGTGTCAAATTATATATTTAAATAGACATTTAAGTACTTCACAGGAAAATGAGTGAGCAAAATAATTTACCCATAGTAATCATATTTTTTTAGTAAATCATTTGCTCTTTCATCCTACAAACGGGGCGCTGGGGATGGCAACAGAGAAAAGCCAGAGCTCCCTGCCCTCATAAAATCACAGTCTAGGACAGAGAGAGACAAATAAATAGGGCTGGGGATTTAGCTCAGCGGTTTGGTGTCCTGCCTTGCAATCACAAAGACCCGAGTTCAATCCCTGGTACCAAAACAAACAAACAAGCAAACAAACAAAAAAAGACAAGTAAATAAAGGCTTATGAGTACAAGTAGTGGATCTCAGAGAATCACGCAGAAGGGGTGTCGACCCCCAATTTGTAGGGTCAGAAAAATGTGCAAGAAGAAATGACATTGGACTTAAACGTGAAAGGACACTGGAGGAGCTAACTGGGCTGAGCTCATCAGTAACAAGATACTAACTTCAATAAGTGCTAATTTTCTGCCCCTCGTGGAGTATGCTGTCTTCTTTACCCATGATAATAAATATTCCTCGATGACCCTGAGACCAAGACCTGCGGTTACTGGATGGAAATTTGAGACCCAGAGAACCTGCCAGCTCTTGAGTTACTTCTGCCACGTTCTATAATGATATACTTCAAAATTTTTCAGTTATGCCTCCTCAGTAACCTTCTTTGTTCTTTAACTTCAGAATAAGCCTGGATGGTAATTTCTTCCCTTGTAAGACTTAAGATGTTCAACATTCAGAAAGTTTATTATAAAACCTAAAGTTAAAGCTTATAGTCATTGCTGACTTTAAAATAATCTATTGAACCATCTAAAGAGATATAAATACTTTTGGACATAATTATGTACTTGCCTTTCTTGTGAGCTTTAGAAGATTTAGTTAAATGATTTACGGGAGTAGTAAAAACCTAAGGATTCAGGAAATCTAAACATTGAACTTTATGAGCCTCTGAACTGTTTAGATATACAATCCTACCAAAACTTATTTATTGAGAGGGAGTAAGGGTTAAAAAAGTTGATGGGGAACTTGGGGGGGTTCTAGACTTAAAGTTTTTGATGTGTTTATCTTTAAAGAAATAGTAATAGGAAAATTTCACATATTTTATGAAGTATGTACTTAAAACCTTAAAAAAAATAACTTTTGCATTCTAGAATGAAAATGGGAAAGAGAGAAAGGACATTGTGACTTTTGGTAGTGACTGGTTTGGATGACTTTGGTAGCTTGTTTTATTTATATGAATTTTTTTTCAAGGAGAAGAGGTTTAAAAATCAAAGCATATGAGGACTTTAGAGATTCAGAGTTAGATCTCTTCCAGCTGAGGATTAAACCCAGGGCTTTGCGTATTCCAGGCAAGCCCTCTACCACTGAGCTTTCATCTCCACCCTCAGAGTTAGAATTTGTAAGAGTTCTCGAGCTATTTTATCTCTATGGAAGAATATTTCCGGGTTCTTGGATGGTTCTCCTAATTTTACCCTAAGATGCTATACTTTCATGTTGGAAAGATCTGTATTTGGTTGGCCATATGAGTCACACTTTCTTCCCGGTGCTCTGTCTGCTGTAGGAATTTGAAGTGATCGCCCAGATAAAGCTCTTACAGTCTGCTTGCAACAGCTATTGCATGACCCCCGACCCCAGGTTCATCCAGTGGTTCCAGCGGCAGCAGCTCCTCACAGAGGAGGAGAGGTAGGGCCCGCCTGTCGTTGTCAGGGTGGAGCTGGGGTGTGGGCGAGGGGAGTCCGGTACCTCAATGTGTCACTCACTCAACAGCTGTTTGGTGGCAGCTACTTTGGTTTTCCAAGGAGTGTGGTGTAGAGTTGAATTGATAACATCAGAACATTCACTTTGCGTGTTGTTCTGCTGTGCACTTATCTTTGTAGCCCGGAACAAGCCTTTTATTCTTCCCTGTGTTTTAGGATGCTCGCCTGTAAAATGTTTTGAGGCTTAAGTCGACTCATATTTGGGAAAACATTGTTGGAATGCAGGTCATGCTCATTACTGTCACCGCCACACTCATTGTCAGCATCACCTTGTTTGTCTCTAGTGTTAAGGGTGTTAGCTGTCAGGGAGCTTTCAGTCTAGGGATAGAGACAGACTCATGAAGAACTGAAACATGGGTAAATAAAGTGCTACCGAATCAACAGGCAAGAGCAGTTCATTTAGCCAGGGGTCAGGAGGCGGGTAGGGAAGATTTATAGCCATTTCCATGGAAGCTGGATCTCACTGGAGAAGAACGTTCCAGCAGAGAACACAAGCAAAGGCCTGCTGGCCTGACAGACTTGGCATTTGGAGAAACAGTGGTAACTGGTGAGGGTGGGCCACGGGGCACAGGGCTGATGAGCACAGACAGGCACATTAACTCTAGTGCTTTGAATGTCGGCCCAGTGGGGATTCATGCCTTTCCTATAGTCTGATGGATGTCAGATTAGTCTGTAGGCTGTATGCGGCCCACTGCCTGTTTTTGCATTTCTTTAAGTGATTAAGGAAAAAAGAAGAATATGACATGGGATATTATTTGAAATTAAAATTTCAGAATCTATAAATAAAGTTTTATTGGAACACAGCCCATTCTTTATCTATGGTTGCTTTTATGCTTTAAAGACAGAGTTGAGTAGCTGCAACAGAGAGCATATGGCCCATAAACCTAAAATACTTACTGTCTGCTCTTTTGCAGAAAATGTTTGCTGTTCTTTGCTGTAGACCAGGGAATTTCTTTGAAAGTTTGTCATAAGAGAGAGTGAACTTGACGGCGAAATAAGTATTGCTGGTGGTAGGCTGGGGTTTGGAGGAGTATTATAATTAGTCAGTGGCAGTGTTTGGATCCCTACTCAGGTCTGCCCTTCTCCACAACCTCAGCTCTCAAGGTGACTGTGTAGTGCTGGGCGCCTTCCCCATCTGCCCTGTAACCATGTACATCTGCAGCCTGAGCTACAGTCTTTCAAAAAAAGGCATTTCAGTCAGGAGTAAATCCTTCTCCCACTTGTGGCAGTTATGTCTTCCTGTCATACAGATGTCTGAATGTAGGAGTCTTTAGTTTAGGAAGTTTTGGGAACTAGGAATCATAGTTATAATCATATTTATTTATTTTTATAAATAATGTAATTTTGTCTATCCCCTGCAGGTTAGTTATTATATAAAAATCCCCTTTCGTTACCCTTATTTTATTTTGTATTTTTGCAGTACTGGGGATCGAACTCAGGACCTTGCACTTGCAAGGCAGGTGGTGGCACCACTGAGCTAAATCCTTGGCCCTCATTTCCCTTAGACTGAAGTGAGTCATGAATATGTGTGCGTCTGCACAGACATAACACGTACTCACTCACACATACACGAAGCACTAGGCAGGAGATAGTAGAGAAGAAATAGGAGACGGATGACAGAGGAAGACTCTTCCCCTGGCGTAGCAGTGGATGAGAAAGGAGTCAGCTCTTGCTGCTGCAAAGTGCATGTGTCCCTGTATTTGAGGCATAAGAAGTAAACAGCCTCAGCCCCTGTGCAGAAGAGGTGCATAGCGTGAATTTATAAAATCTGACCGTCAAGCAAGTACTTTCTGAGATTCATGTCAGGACAACTGAGTATGGGTCTTCATTTTGAATAAGCAGAGCCTTCCTCTGAAATGGACCAGCAAATGATGTGCATTTAAATCTGTGCCTCAGTTCTCAGACTTCGACCTCTCTCTCTCCCAGCTATGCCCTCTCCTGTGAGATTGAAGCAGCAGCTGAAGCCAGCACCACTTCGCCCAAGCCTCGGAAGAGCATGGTGAAGAGGCTCAGCCTGTGAGTGCACCCCCCACCCCCGGGGTCCTCGGCCAGCAGAGCAGGGAGAGCAGACGTACTCACCGGGGTCCCCGGGCCGAGCAGAAGAACGTACTCTTAGGGAGTTTATCTTTCTGTCGTGAGCTGGAAACGTTTGTTAAATTCATTCATTCTCCTCCTGTCCTTCCTCTGCGTGAGCTGTGGTCACCTCCTTCCTGGACCATGAAAGAAATGGCCTTGCTGTCTGTGTCCTGGCTGCTCCTTGGTCCCAGCAATCCATTCTCCTCTGAAGAACCTGGTGACCTTCTGAGTACTAGATGGTGTCAGCGCCTTTCTTAAAACCCCTAATGGTTTTCTTTTAATATAAAACTTAAACTCCTAATGTGTCCTAATCCCCCTCCCTCACAACACTCCACTTGTCACTGCCCTTTGACCACAGTCTGTCCCTGCTTCGGGGCCTTTGCCTCAGTTGTTCCGATGACCTGGGCTGCTCTCATTTCGTGAATAACTTCCTCAGTTGTTGACAAAAATGTTACCTCCTGAGAGAGAACCCTGGCTGATGACGCTGTCTACCCAGTCACTCCTGCTGGCTCTTTCCTTCAGGGCAGTGCGCACAGCCTGAAAACAGGAACCTGCCCTGCTCACTGTGCTCCATGCCTAGCTGAGGGCCGGGCAGACGAGAGGCCTCTTGCAGCCGACTTCACAAGCTCAGTCTCCCTTTGAATAACATCCGAGTGTTTAGCAGTAGAAGAGTTGTTTAACCATTCTAAGTTCTCATTTAAATCAACTACATTTTTCACTTAGAAGTGAAACATTTTTTTCAAATTATCTTGTTCTTTTGTCAGAATGTCTCGCTCTGAAGTCCCGTTTTTAATTTTTCTCATATGTCTTTAACATTTTTAAACATGCTTATTTTAATAGCATGGCTTATGGTGGGCATGCAAATATTTGTTGAATGAGTGAACAAATTACTAGTTTCTTCTCGACAGTTCTCACACCTGACGTCCTGAGGAATCTAAACCTGCTGTTACGCCTGTTGACTCTCTGAGTGGAATGTTCTCTTGTGTGTATCTGTGTAGTGTAGTATTGTAAGCTCATCTTTATGAGGGAATTCTTTGCAGCCCAAGTTGAAGGTATAACCCTCCAGAAAGATCCTCCCCTCCCTCCCTACTTTCTTTTGCCCTCCCTTTATTCTTCTCTCCTTCCATCCCTCGCTCCCTTCTCCCTCATGTGTCACTGGCCCTGAGGTCCCGTAACTTTAAGACCATATGGGTAGCAAATCAGAGTGACATACTGGCCAAGCTTACGTATGATGTCAAGGGATATATTTTTCTTCCAACAAAATAGGCCAAGACAGCTAAGTTTCCCTGTTGTCCTCCTGTGCAACCAGGACATATTTTTACTGAGCGTACAGCTCTTTGAGGGCCCCGGCCATCTATAAGGGGTTTTGTTTTCCACCTTTTGTAAAGGAAGCCCTCATCTCTCAGTCCTGTGTACATACTAAAAGCCATGATCAGTGCATGGTTTATGCATAGATGGAAATAGTCAATACAATTAACGTGTGGTAATAAAAACATTTTTAGGCCCTTTTCCAAGATCCGCCAATTCCCCAAACGAAGCAGCTGTAGAAATAGCTTATGTGCTTCTAGTTTTCAGTTCCCTTTTCTTTCATGGCCTCTAGGGATTTCCCGTAGCATTCTGCAAGTTCAACTGAAAGGAGTTGTTATATTTCTTACCTAGTTGTTTTATAGAGGAGGGGTTTGGGTTATTGCCGTTTACCAGATGGTTTGGAAGTAGAAGTCCTCCTCCTCAGTTTCTTAATCAAACCACGACAGCTGTGGGAAGTTCATTTCTCAGCCATGTGAAGTTCATTTTATGGTAGAAAGCTACGGGAGTGCGGTGGTGATATTTTGATCCTGTCAAAGTGGTCTGTAGACTATTAAAAATGGAGGAGCATTGACCTAGAAAGATCCCACATTCGGAGCTAAACAATCACATGCTCTCTGAAGTTGGAATAACCTTTGGGACAAGATATTTGCCACTGTTTGTTAGAAATGTGATTTTGTAAAATGCTAATAGTGATACTAACTCACACAAGACTGAGAAGCCACCGAAGACTTACTCGGCAGAAAGTATTTGCTTAACCATGGATTCCAGATCTGTCCCCGCCTGCCTGAGTGCCTGACGTTTTGTTTTCTGCAGCCTGTTTCTGGGGTCTGACGTTATCCCCAGCAGCACCCCGACCAAAGAGCAGCCCAAGTCCACAGCCAGCGGGAGCTCTGGTGAGAGCATGGACTCGGTCAGCGTGTCGTCCTGCGAGTCGAACCACTCCGAGGCGGAGGAGGGCTCCACCACCCCCATGGACACCCCCGACGAGCCCCAGAAAAAGGTGCACGTGTGACCCCTTTCGTCTTTCCTCGCCAGGCCCCTGACAAGGCTTCTGCCACCCAAGGAGCATCTGCTTGCAAGTTCATTGCGATACGTTTTCAAAGTCAGGGCTTTAAGAGGTATCAAAAGCAGGGTTCAGTGTGGGGACCTATTCCTTAGAAAACAAGTGTAAAAGCGGCAATCTGATTTGTTCTTCGGCCTTTCAAATATTATTCAGTACTCACATGTAAAGGAACCACAGAACTGCCTAATAATGTAAGCTGTACAGTACTTGATTCCGGGGAAGCGGCATTTCTTGGAAGGAGTGAAAAAGTCAGAGCTGTTGTGTCCCCTTCCCGGTGTCAGAGCTTGGCTTCACCAGGCTTTTACCATTGTATTTGCACAGCAAACTGCTCCTCGGGTGCAGAGTCCCCACACATGCCCTAGAATGGCTCAGTGACTTAGAAGGACAACCATTCATTCTCTCTCATGCATCTCAGGGGTTGGCTGATTTGATTTAGGCTTCGTCCTAGGCTAATTTTGGTTCAGATCTGTTCTACCTACCTCTCATTGTTTTGGGAGTACTAGGCTACCAAAAACATGCTGTTAGCAGGCTAAGCCACATGAAGAAGAGGGAAAGCCCAACCCTGTAAGCATGTAGAAAGCCTTTCCTTGGTTCATATCTACTAATGTTCCACTGGCTAAAGTGATCGTGTGGTCAAAGCCCATACAAACAAAGCAGGGAAATATGCTCCATTTTTAGTGAGAGGAACTGTGAGATAAATCACGGGGCAAAGGGCACGGGCACAGGGAGGGTGAGGAATTGGCAGTGATGATACAATCTACCATGTCTGAAGCAAATGGTAGTGATAAGTGATAAAAAAATTCTCACAGAAGGTTTCCATTTATCGTGGCTGCATAAACAAATGAAAAGAAAACAAAATATCACTCTTAATCTTATATACACATCCACTTCAATCTAGTGGACAGGGAGCTTGGATCAGAGAGGTCAACTTTGCTATGCCTAGAACTTGCACCAGGGGAGATCTTTGGCCACAGCACCTGCCCCATAGTGACTTCTGGCCTCTTTAGCTCGTGCACGGGTCAGTGAGGTAGGTAGAGTGTCGGTAACACACTAACGTCCCATCACTTTGAGTCTGCTGCGCTGCAGGGGGACCTGTGTGTTGCTTCACGTGGTGTTATTAGCAGCACTGGCAATCTTGGAACTCTCCAGTGACTTTGTCACAAAGGAGCCAACCCAGGAGAGGCCTCCTATTCAGGGCACATCAGTTGGAGATGGTGCCATGTGCCCCAGTTGGATCGCTCACATTTTTCTTGGGAGTCCGGGGGATACAATGCTTTATGCTCTGAATGTTAAAGAAAAAGCTCTGCAAATCCCTGTGGACTGGCTGTTCTCTCAAAAGACTCATTTCCTAAACCCGGAATGTAATCATTCTCCAAAGCTTGACAGTTAGTTCTGGACTTGTCAAAATCCAGAAAGGAGCCTCATTCACTTTTGAACAGGCTGTTGTACTTGGTAGGCCCTGTATCTGATGATGAATAGTGCATGAAGGTGACCACTGAGGTATTACCCACATCTTTGGGGGTTTCTCTCTGTTTAGAAAGGAAGAGGAAGTGTCCCTCGGTTGAGATCAGCCCTTTTAAGTCATGCAGGAGCCCGATGTGCTGTTCTTTGCAGGTCCCTTGCTTCATGTTATTTGCCTCAACCCATACCCTACTGTTTGATTCTTGCACAAGTCATGTCCTTTTATTCTTTGGATTAATCTCAGAGTCATGACTGTCTGGAGATTTAAAGATGAGTGCTTGGCTTGGATGCACAAAGAGTCCCTGCATGTTCCCTAGTAAGGCTCAGCCCTCCCGTTTAGTGCCTGGCTGGACCTGGTTGCCTACCGTGGTGTCTTTCGGCTGCAGCCCACCACCGTCCCACCCACAGGCTACACCGTGAGCTCGAAGTGTAATTCACATTCCCTTCTTCATTCGCCTGATCATAAATTCTGAACATTTATGTTCGCAGTTGCTGCTCACTACTTAAATTCTCAATAAGAATGGGGCCCAGGATCATCAGGTGGTCTGTTTGTAACCACAGTACCACAGCCACCCACTTGTAAATGCTAGAAACAGGAAAATCCAGTGAAAGAAAAAGTTTGTAGAGAAGAAAATAAAGGTTAAAAAGTGAATCAGTATTTGGAAGATCTAACTTGACCATGCTATTAAAATGATCCACCATCACCTCTCAAATTGAGCTGCTCAGTTGATTCTCTTGGGAAGATAAAAAAACAAAACCCAAAACAAAAAAAAGAAAACCATGTTCTGGTAGATAATTACTCCAACATCAGAATCGTCACATCAGTTTATTGGCTCTGGTTAAATAAAACATTCAGCAGAATTTAAGCAGCCTACAGGACATAAGGTAATGTAGACTTTATTTTACTTAGAAGCCAGATTATCAGAAAGCTAAACTTCTGTGCTCTGTTTCTGTGGAAGGGCAGACAAGTATGAAAGAATTTAATGTTGTTTATTTTTTAAAAAGACTTCCAGAATATTTAATAAGATTAGTATGGTATAACTTAGCCTAACTCATTCCAAGAGATTATAATTTTCTCTACAAGGACGGGATTTAAAATGGTTCAATTTAATGAGTTTTTAGGATGAAATCTCTTAATGAGTTTTAAGCATCCTCTTTCTTTGGTATTAGTATGCGTGAATGATAAATATTTGATGAATCAGAAAAGCACATTAATTGTAGCACCCTCTTTCTCAGTTGTCCTAGATATCTGGGGTGATAAAAAATACTGCATGGTGAATGCTTAAATTTAAAAAATTTATTACAGTAAGCGACACATTACCACCAATCCCTCTCGAAATACTCAAAATCTTCCTCTTCACTTTGAATGTGTATTGTGTTTTGGGCAATATGTCTTACTGTAATTTTTTTTTTTTTTTTTTTTTTTTGGTACCAGGGATTGAACTCAGGCCTTGTGCTTGCAAGGCAGGCCACCGAACCGATGAGCTAAATCCCCAGCTTGTAATTTTAAAAAAATTAAATATTCAACATAGTTTTCGATCATCCTGGTGTAGACTGAACACGTGTACAGCTGGTTCTAAAGCAAACTGTGGCAGAGCCAGTCCGAGGCTGTGTTCCCTTGGTCAAGTGCTTGATTTCTCTGAATCTTACTGTCTTCATCTTTGAAATGCTCCGCTTTTTGTTCACCTGACAGTTGTGAGATCTAAACGACATAAAATTCATGAAAGCTTATAGTGACCTCAGGGTGCTAAACACCCCAAGGTAACAACACGTCGGGTTAATTCACCCAGTAGCAGACGGAGTGCTGGCTGTTGTTCGCTTGCTCCGTGAGCGACGGTTAGTGAAGGAACAGGGACGCTCATCCTGCTGGAACTGTCACCTGGCCGCGTGAACCCGCGGGCCTGGGTCCTTGCGGAGTCCCTGACTCCTGGGCATTAGAAAGGGAGTAGGGCCAGGGGATCTCCCAGCAGGGCCTTCCCTGAACTAACATTCCACGCCGAGGTACACGGTCTGTGGTCCTTAGAAACTTCCCAAAATGCAGCCATTTGTTTCCTACTACAAAATCTGACTGTGGAGTCCGGACAGAATGATCTCCATGGCCACTCTGAAAACCGCCGCAGCTTAAGGCAGTGAGACTGATATCTTTTGGGAAGCTCCTCCACCTCCATCCCTGGAAGCTGATTGACTTCAGGGCCTATATTGCCTCTAATCTGTGGCAATGCTGCCACCTGCTGGTTAAATTCCATAAGAACAGCTAAAAACTAGGGAAATTAGCCTCTTTTTGTCATGTGTGGATATAATGTGTTACACTGAATTACTGAAAGGCATCTACCATAGGGGTTAAGTTCATATTAGCAGCAAGATATGTATGGGCTGAAGTTTAGTGGTCTTGGTAAAATGGGCATCTGTTGCCCAGATGCTGATAGTTTTCTTCTGGGATGTGTTTACTCTTGCAGCTCTCTGAGTCTTCCTCATCGTGTTCCTCTATCCACTCTATGGACACAAACTCCTCAGGGATGTCGACCTTACTCAACCCCCTCTCTTCCCCGCCATCCTGCAACAACAACCCTAAAATCCACAAGCGCTCTGTCTCTGTGACGTCCATCACCTCCACCGTGCTGCCCCCTGTGTACAACCAACAGAACGAAGACACCTGCATCATTCGCATCAGCGTGGAAGACAACAATGGCAACATGTACAAGAGTATCATGGTAAGGAGCTCACCCGCCGAGGCCGCTTCTCCGAGTCTGTCTGTCGGCCCCTCAGGGTCTCACCATGTAGTTGAGACTGACCTGGAACTCACTGTGTAGCCCAAGTTGGTCTCCAACTCACAGCAATCCTCCTGCCTCAGCCTCCTGAGTGCTGGGATTACAGGTGTGCGCCACCATGTCCGGCACCTGTTTGTTTCTTCTTTGTAAGAGAGAGTCTTTTTTTGTCTGCCTTGTACTTTGAGTGCCTACTTGGAAGATAATGATACACCGTATATTGACCATTGTTATTCTCCTATTATTTTGTTAGGAAATTTTGCTTTATTTTTTCATAAAATAAAAAAAGAAGACTAAGAAAAATGTATGTGCAGGTACCAAAATCTCCACAGGTATTAATTAATGGTATATTTATATAAAAATATATCTGCCAACAGTGCATATAAGGATGTAATTTTTACATTTTAAAAATTGCTAACACTTATTCATCCAGATCAGTGTCACCTTTTTCAAATTGTTCAAATTGGAGTTGGAAAACGGAGGGGTATTTTAATGCCTTTTCAGATAAATATAGGTGTGCCTCTTCATTAGATTAGATAAAACTGCTAGCTTTTACCACTTTCCCAGGGACATTCTCAAGTGAAACTGGCTTGTTCTTGTTCTTCTACTGTGCATACAGTTACTGACCACTACAGTAATATTAGTATAGCCCCGCACTGGTTTGTGCCGCGGTGACAGTGGCTCACCCACCATCACTTTTGCAATAACAGTGCATATACCAACACAAGCAGAGAGACACACAGCATCTCAGCGCTGTTACGAAGACAATTTTGGATCTGCTTAGAGGTCTCAGGGACTACAGCAGCCCTGCATTTTCCATTGAGAACTGCTGGCCTCAAGAACTTGCTTTGTAGGAGCTGCTTGCGCCCCCTAGCGTATGTTCTTCCGTAGAAAGTGGCCCTCGTCTCCCCACTGACCATGGTCAGTGTCTTGTGCCATCTGCCGTCCCCGTCATCCTTTTAAACCATCATTCTCCCCATTACGCCAGGCACAGAGGCCGAGTCCTGAGGGCCTCTCAGGCCTCACGGACGCGGGAGGGCGCGCGGTGGATCCCTCAGCATTGCTCTCTGCTGTGCCGACAGCCGCATATCGCAGCTGAGCATTCGGAATGGGAGCGTGGGGAGGGCTGTGAGTGGCGCTGTACACCAGGTTTCAAAGACAGTGTAAAAACAGCTGAATCTCACTACCGACTTTTGTTATACAAAAGTAATGATATTTTGGATATATTACATTAAATAAAAGATATTATTAAAATTAATTTTGTTTTCAGAACATTGTTTAGATGTGGCCATGAGACAGAACTGGGCGTGTGGCTCACATCACGGATCTGCTGGGCAGTGCTCAGTGCACCAGCCTGAGGAGCTGGTCGTACAACTGTCACCATTCACACCCTGCATAGCTGTCATGGTACAGAGTAATAAACACCTCGTTTTATCACCTGGATTTCCTCTGAAATGGTTTAACAACTTAGCCTAATACTCACCCCCAAGTGGTATCCTATCTTCCTTTGCTTTATTAACCCAGTTTGGGGAGAATGTCTTTTAGCCTATCAAAAATGCTTTTCTCCTTTTTTTGTGTGCACCCATTTTTCCCTTGTAAATGGAGGTGCCAGATGTTTTGCTAATAGAAAAATGAACAGGGTCTTTATTGTGTACAAGGACCCGATTGTAATCCATGCTGTTTATTGAATCATGCTGTCGAGATCAGAAGGAGGCATCCAAGTCACTGCCATCCTTGATTCACAGTGACAGTTTCTGGGTGTAAATGTGTGTGTGTGTGTGTGTGTGTGTGTGTCTGTTTGTCTGTCTCTGTCTGTCTTTGTCTTTCTCTCTGTGGTCCTCTTTCCTCTTGGTGAAAACAACTTGATTTTTAAGAATAAGATGAGTTTTTCTTTGCTTCTTTTGCATTGAAGAAATCACACACAGAGTGCACATAGGCCAGCCCTGAGCCCTTACCAATGCCTTGCTAGTGGATGGAGATGAAGATAGTCAAGCCAATTTTTACTGAAGAATGACTTACATACAGTTATATGCATAAATCTTACATATTCAGTTCTTTGAGTTTTTTTTTTTGTTTTTTTTTTTTTTGGTACTGGGGATTGAACTCAGGACCTTGTGCTTATAAGGTAGGCGGCAGAACCACTGAGCTAAATCCCCGGCCCTCTCTGACTTGAAATAACAATATACATCTGTGTAACTGCCACCCCAGATCCAGATAAGAGCATTTCTGTCCCCCCAAATTTCCAGTCCCCCTTATACTTGAAATTGGTTTTCTAATACCACATATTACTTTTTGTTCTGCTTTTGAAAGAAGAGACTCCAACAGTATATAATGTCCTGTCCTTTGCTGGACAGGAGTTTTTGAGATTTGTCTACATTGTTACACAGGCCAGTCTTGGGGCTCAGATGTATTCTGTAGCGAATATCTTATCATTTCTCTGTAGGTCCTCCTGTGCTCCTGTTGATGATTCTGGTGTTTTGCTATTACAAATAAGTATGCTATGAAGACTTGTATGCATGTCCCCTGGACTTTCATTTGCAATCCTTTTAGGAGTGGGATTACTGGGTCATAGGGTTGCTTGTAATTTTGAAATGATGAAAGGGCAGAACTGGGCCCTTTCCATCCCACTGGCTGTAAGCAGTGTCGGAGCAGCAGGTCAACTTGTGAGTGTCATCTTGGCCCGGGACCGATGATGCTTTGCATTTTTCACAATCTCCTATATATATTTCTTGTCGGAACCTTGACCAGGGTGGGGGCAATAGGCAATGCAGGTGTTGCCATTTGAACAGGGCCGGACATCGTGACTCCAAGAAATCAGGTGACTCTCCCGTCATCTTTTGGACATAAAGGTGGAGCCAGGATGAGCATTCAGGAGTCCTGGCTCTTGGTCCTCTTCACATACCTTTAGTCCCTCCTTCTAGAGAGGCGTGCACAACACAAAGTAGCAAGGAAGAGAAGGTCAGGAGAACTCACTCTGGAAACACAAAGCTACATCGTTGACAGGTGCCTTCATTGTCTTTGCAGTTGACAAGCCAGGATAAAACCCCTGCTGTGATCCAGAGAGCAATGCTGAAGCACAATCTGGACTCAGACCCCGCCGAGGAGTACGAGCTCGTGCAAGTCATCTCGGAGGACAAAGGTGGGCATGCGTCCCTTCTGGTGGCGGGTGTCAGTAGCATGTCCGTACTACTCTCCAGTCGCCGAAGGCAGAAAAGGATTTACACTTTTAATCAGAACTTACTCGTGGTTTTTCATCGTTCAAGGGTGAAAAACCCATGCCATCCCCTCACTTGTAGAACTAAGTGTCTCCAGCTGCTTTCTCCCACCCACCTACTCTTGTTTTGCTACATGTTTGCTAAGAATTCTTCTGCCTGTTCCTTGTACGCTCCCCATTGAGCAATTTTCTAGGAAGAGGTCTTTCCGAGTGGCAGGAAGCAGGATACAGGCGGGGAGTCGGCTGAGCCTTCGCAGATGGCCACACACCTCCTTTATCTGTTAATGTGTTTCTCAGTCGTGCATGAACTTAAACGTTAACAGCCTGTGGAAGAATTTCTCATTATTTTAATTAATCGTTTGTGCGAGCCTTTGTTTTTATTTAGGATCACGCATATTTGCTTACAATATTTTGTGTGATGCATATTTATTTTGATCAACTTCTGCTTTGAAGTTTCTTTCCCTCTCTTACTGAAGCAAAGCCCTGATGCTGTGCAGTTCACCAGTACTCCCAGTAAACCAGTATTTGAAGAAATCCCTTTGACAAAGTCTCGGGGGACAAATGATCACCCCTAGAAATATTGATTTGCTAATTTGAATTAGGGTGGTTTTTTGAGAGGAGAAAACCGGCTGGTAAATAACTTCCTTGTCACATGGCAGACACTAAGTCAGAAAAGGTTTCTTTCCCAGGTGAAGAAGGAGCAGCACATATTGTTGACTGAAGCCAGCGCTGTGTGCCACAGGCCCGACCCGGACCACTGCATTTTAATGGAGAGTTCTGCTCCGGTCCCTAGGGAAAGGGAGGAGTAGGCTGTGGCAGGTGGGAAGTAACAGGACTCTACTGCGTTTGCGCGGCAGATCACCCAGGTCTAGGTCAGGCCAGAGGATAGTGGCTATAATTAGCACAGTGCCTTGTCCTAGAAGTAAAAGACACAGACTCTGAGAAAATCTTTTTTCAGTTACCCCCAGAAGTTTTCATTCATTTAGCTGAGCCTTAGGTTGTGGGACAAAACTTTCTCGGTTATAACTTTTTACTGAAGATACAGTTGAAAATTGGGCTTGTGAAAGCCTAGAAAGTAGTCTCTTGAGTTTTTTCGGGGGGACCGCCGTGGAGCCAGGGGTCTGAAGATGTGGGGTTCCTGAGGTGCAGCCCCGGCCCGCCGTGCCCATCAGCCATGTGATCTCAGGCAGGCTGTTGCCCTCACCGGGCTATCGTCCTGATCAGTTAGTTCGATGGAGACCCCTCGGATCCCGCGTATGTTCCCAGGAGACTCTGGCAGCAGGAACCAGTGCGCTGGAACTGCTCCGAGGAAGTGCTCAGGGACACAGGATGTGGAAGAATGTTACAGCCGCCCCAGGAGTGGTGGGCAGGAGCCGGGGACCCTCAGAGGAGTCCTCCTCTACGGCGCCTCTGTGGAGGGAGTGTACCAGGGCCACTTGGAACCTGACCCATCTGTCCTGCCGGAAGACCTCAGCGGGGCACACTTACTGAGGCTCACTTAACCCAGTTCCAAGGTCAGCTGCCTCTGCTGCTCACCTCTTGCACCCCACTGCTACAAAGCTAAACCTGCCCGTTTCCGTTGTTCATTCCGTTTTTAAAATATACCATGTAATACCATATGAGTGCTAAGTACTATACGCCTTCTCTTAGAAATAAAAATGAATTCAAATTCATTTAGACTGGTAATTCCATATCACACTGGGAGAAATCCGTGTTCAGAATCTACAGGTATCTAGCTGAGAATCGCTGAAGTTGTTATCAGATGTTCACTGTCTTATAAGCATGCTGTTTAATATTAAAGTGCACCAGCCACAGTGGCACACAACTGTAATCTCAGCACTTGGAAGGCTGAGGCAGGAGGATTGCCATAAATTGCAGAACAGCCTGGACTAGTGATTTCAAGGCCAGCCTAAACTGCATAGGACCATTATGTTCTACAAAGCTATTAATTAATTACATTCAATTAATTACATTCTTAATACAAATTGTATTAAGACAATAAACACTTAAACATAAAAAAAAACTTGTCTCAAAAGAAAAAACAACAGCAGTAAGTCACATGTGTAAATACCAAATAGTTTCTCTGGTGTGAATAAACTATAGTATTACATAAGATCCTAATGAGATAATTGATAATGTGAAATAGGAAGAAAAGGGCTAAAGGTGTAGGGAAAGTGGGAAGGGTAGGGGAAAGGTAATAAGGGAGAGGAAAAAAATAGGAGAAAATTTAACAATGGAAATAAAATGTTTGTAAATGGGAAAGGGGGTGAAGGGAGGGCAGGGACAAGGGGAAAAGATGAGAACCAAGACCTGCCATGTAAAGGTACAAGAGCCCAATGATGAATGTAAGTGTACTGTGTACCTAAAAGGTACCAATAAACTCATGAGGAAAAAAAAGAAACAAAAGCAATAAAAAAATTAAAATGTAAACTCTGAACAGATCAGCATCTCGATTAGAATAAATGGTTTGACTTGGGATTAGTTCAAAAAGATTTTCAGTGTTCCAAGTAATGCGATCTAGAAAATGCTGTATGTAGACTTTCTATTTTTTTTCCCGTGTCACCGGATTCCCCTGGTCTTTGAGAAATCTGTGCACTCAGTAGGAAACAGACTACAGGAAGAAGGAAGCCTTTTGTTTCCCTGTGCACTTTCTCTTGGTTTTTACATTCTGTACTTGAACATCAGATTCATAGTGGGGAGGATTTCTAAATCCTTGCATTTAGCTTTTAGCAGGTAATTGATTTGTTGTTGGGACCAATTTGGGGCAAAGTAGATGCTGTCTGGTTCAGATCACATCCCAGAAATGAGGGGCTCTGGTCCTGGCCCCGTGTTTTGGTGAGCTGCTCACATCAGAGCTACACTGCCCTACTCAAGCTGACTGCCTTCTCTTTACTTTGCTTTTTCAGAACTTGTGATTCCAGACTCAGCGAATGTCTTTTACGCCATGAACAGCCAAGTGAACTTCGATTTCATTTTACGCAAAAAGAACTCAATGGAAGAACCAGTGAAACTGCGTAGCCGCACCAGCTTGACATTGCCCAGGACAGCCAAACGGGCCTGCTGGAGTAACAGGCACAGCAAGATCACCCTCTGAGCAGGGGCCTCAGGGACCCAGGGCTCGCCCAGAGCAGAGTCGGGGGAGAACCAGCCTGGGGATTGCCACTACCATCCAGTGTTAGCAGGTCATCGGTGAAGTCAACAGGTATTTACTGAGTACCTGTGGTGCGCAGAGCACTGTGTAGGGAAATTGGAAATGACGCCGACATGAAAAGAAAGAATGATTTACTGATCTATCCTCTTTGACTTTTTTTGAGACTGAAATACAAAATTATCCACATTTTATATATATATGCACACATATTTAGTATATATATATATGTATACAATATATACAATATATGTATACAATATACATATATATATATATACACACACAATATATGAGAGAGACTTTATGGGATGTTCAGAACTATGGAAAGACAAATTTGCACAATGGCCTGGGAAGTTGAGGTCACTTTTTACAGGGAAATAGAAGGAACTGAGAACCTAATCTTGTACTTCCCAAGTAAGTAGAGTCAATCAGCCCTAGGAGTTCAGAGTATCCTTTGTGCCAGTATTACAAGAAGTCCAAGCTTTATTTTTGTAAAGGGAGAGGATTACTTTCTCGATCAAGTGCCACCACACGGAACCACTGCAGAGGCTGGAACTGTCACAGGCTGAATGAAAGGCCACTTTGGGAAGGGTTTGGATAAGTCGGTGGCTTCCGGCCTCTGCATCTACCGATTTCCACTCCCAGGGAGGGCCAGGAAGAGCTCCGAGGCCCCAACACCCCACTGGCTGCCATCACACACTTTGAGTCACGGCCTTACCACCCTGAGCGTGCCCAATCTCATCTGGAGTCAACACAAGCCCCTTTGATTTCTGGCACCCGTTGTTTCTGTTTTATCTCCTAAAGAACGTATCATCATCATTGCACAAAAGCCATGCTTTCTGATAACTCATCAGCCAGAAGAGAAAACACAAAAGAATGGTGACTCATTTGGACTCTCATCTCTCTTGAATGCCACTACTTCATGGCCTTTTCTGATTGCCTTTTGCATGTAAAAATGTCTGGAGTTTTTGCCATCTGGATCCTAGTACCTCTGTATTATGTGCAATTTGTTCCTCAGGTGTAGACAATTTCAACTGCGATTGACTACATTTGATCAGTTTGAGCCTGTGAAAGATTTCCGAGTAGTGATTCCCCTGTCACTGGCCCCACAGAAGATGTTCCTTGCTGATTTCATCATCTATTTTACTTGTACAGTGTTCCTATGCCTCATCACAGGGAAAGAAACAGGAGTGCTTATTTTGTCTCAGTCCTTTCTCAAAGGGGTACGTTCTTCCAGATGGAATCAGTAGTATTTTCAGGCCCCCACATTTGCTATCATGGTGTCACTGCTAAGTGACATATCTGTCTCTAGTAACACCATCATACTCTTTCTTCCAAATCTGAGCTATGCTGGTGTTTGAACTAAAAAGCCATATGTAGGAAGTTGTCGTGTTAAAAGAAAAGCACTTTCAAATTGTTTTTTTTTTTTTTTTTTTTTTTTTTTTTTTAGGAAAAGAAATCCCCAAATACCAGTTATTCCAAAAATAAAGCAAATGAACCCAGAAAAAAGTGCAGATAATAACATGGAGCTCCCCACCCCCGATCTTGCAATACAGCTCCCAAAGTTTGTGTGGGATCTGTGTTATATAAATAGCCATACGAATTGTGCAAGAAACAGCACGAAACATTTAGAGATATATGGTGATGGACCAAAGAACGAGCCAGGAAGTCCTCAGAGTTCCATGGTCTTCGTAGGAGATTGGACTTTGTAGGAGAGTGACTGGGTTTCAGCTAGTCGAAAAGCACTTTCTTTCTGTTGGTGAGCCTCATTCGATTTGTGCTTCTATGGATGGAGAAGAGATGGACAGGGTCTCAGCCATCACGAAGATGGAAAGAATGTAGCCTCAGGCTGATTTTCATGGGGTGAAGGTCAAAAAGAAAATGTAAACCTATCAGTCTCACTTATGGTGTGGCTACCAAGACATACCTGTTTGTGCCCGTGTGCTCACCCTGTGTATTTATACTGTACATGTAGAGTCTAGATTTATATACTGCAATGTAAAAAAATATATATTTACCTTTTTTTAAGACAATGGAAATTCCAAGTAGATGAAACATGGCCTCACTTATTTAATGCCACTTTAATTGTCTTAGATTTGCTTCATGGCGGACAGCAGGGCAATGTTTCCAGATGCTTGCATGCTTGCCTTTCTCCAACCCCATCACCTGTTTACCTTTTGGTTAAACTAATAAACTGGTTTGGGACTTGGTCGGCGTGTGCTGCCAGACCCAAAGGGACCGTATCCAGAGTGTTCATCAGGTGGGCTGTGGGTTCCAGATAGGTCGGCAGGCTTTTGGAAGCCACTTGAGATCGGGTGGCATGAACAGCGGGAAAGCCAGTGGCAGAGTCAGAGAGGACGCTCCCACCAGCAAGTGTCGCAAGCATTTAGGGGGAAGGCCGACAGGAAATTCCAGCCAGACACGATGCCTTGCTGGGGTGCTGTTCTTTCTTAGTAGTCATGCAGTAGGGACACCTCATAAAATCCAGCTTAGAGTGAAGAGCTAAGATAGCACTCTGTCTTCTTTCTGAGCACTGTTCCCCTATTTGGCAAAAGCTGCCCATTCATGGTTCTCTAGAAGCTGGAGAGGTGTGAAACGTCTTCCCATAAGGCATTCGGTGTGAATCTGACTTTAGTTAACACCTAGCATTGTCATTTTTCATATTGTTTCCAAAAGTTACCTCAAATTATTTTTTGATGGATTACTGAATGAACCCACATAATTATATTTTGTATTATATTTGGGGGATACTCATGGGAATTTAGAGAAAGGTGTTTTAATAGGAAATTGACACTGTGGGCTGGGGCAAAAAAGGAATTGTCTCTTCCAATAAGTCATTGTTTTTTGAAGGCCATTCTAGAAAACCATTTCCCTTATTTTGTCTCTATCCAGAAACTGGGCTTAGTGACTTTTGGCTGAAATAATAACTACTTAGATTTCCTTCTGTGGAGCATTTTCACATTCTTCATGCAGCACAAGACCATTAGAAAACTGACAGTGTTGTTAAACCTTTTCTATAGATTCTACAGTTCTTATGTTGTGTTTTTATTTTCCATCAGTTTCCCCTAGAATCTGTCTTAAAGTAAATACCTTTTGGAGGGATGTATTAGGTTAGGCTAGACCAGATTAAAGTAACAACCCAAGTAACTTAAACCAGGTTTTATTTTTTCATTAAAGTGGCAGTATACTTGATGTCAGGCTCATCTGTTTAGTGGCTTTCCTCTAATGATGGCTCAAGGGTCAGCCAGCTTTCATCTTGCAACTCTACCATCTCAGTTTTGTCTTACAAGTTACAGGTACAAAGAGCACGAACTCACAGCCATTCTGCCTTAGATGAAAGTGACACATTTCCTCCATTCACAGTCCATTGGCCAGCCCATGACCACAATCCAAGTTGAAGAGAGATAGGAAATTTAGAGCCCCTGGAGAAGTTGAAGGGCACTGTTGTCTTTGCAGTTCAAGCCCAGCCTGGGCAATTTAGTGACTTAGCTTCAGCCTCTTGGGGCTGGAGCAACTCCTGGGGTCTGTTGGCTCCATCTTCAGCTTTCCAGGTGTGTGAACTCACACAAGCTATTTTGGTCAGATGGGCATTTGGTTAGTTCTTAAAATCTCCAGGGAGGATTCTTCTGCTGGACAGAACACTGCTGCCTGTTTCCATGTCACTGATGAGGAAATGGCTGTTAAGATTAGGATTTTTGTGAATTACCTACCCCACCAGGATTTGAATCCTTTTCTGATCCACGGACTCAGTCAACTCAAAGGGGTAGGTGCACATGGCTCCTAGGAACAACACCAAGGGAGGAATCAGGTGCCGTCAGGAGAGCCAGTCCTAGGGCCTCTGCTCAGCCTCAGCCAGCCATTGCACTTTCCGTGCCCTAGCATAGGCTGCTCAGAGAAACCACTTTCTTCCCACCATCATTTGTTACCAAGTAGCACATGCTACTGGGCCAGTTACTTACACAAGAATTAAACAGGTGTTAGTACCTCAAATTTAAAAAAAAAATAGTGAAGCTGCATGTGGGGGCACACACCTGTAATCCTGACACTTTGGGAGGCGGAGACAGATCAAAAGTTTAAGCCCAGCCTCGGTGATTTAGTGGCTTCACAACACCCTGTGCGTGCGTGTGTGTGGTGGCAGAGGCTGGACATGTAGCTCAGTGCAAAGGCACTGGGTTCAACCCCTGGTACAGAGAGAGGACGGAAGTGACAGAGAGCAAGAGCAGAAGGGGGATGGGGGAGGAGCGAGAGAAGAAAAAAGACCGGAAGAGGAATAAAAAAGCAGCAGAACATGTTTGGAAATGGAAGCATTCCAAATGAGCCTGTTAGCTTTGCCAGACATCTACTCTCACCCACGTTTATGTACTGTCTCGTGGCCAGAACCCCCAGCGGAATTAAACCTGAGGCTTTGCAGTTTGATCAGCTGAATAATCAATGTATGAGATTACACAGGGGGGAAGTACACAGAAATTGAAGCTATAAACTCCTGCATATATGAGGCAGGCCGCGCGCGTGTGTGTGTGTGTGTGTGTGTGTGTGTGTGTGTGGAGGGAGAGATTAGTTGTTAGTGAGAAAACAGAAATGAGACAGATTGTCTGCCAGAAGCTTTGAAGTGGCTTCAGTTTTGGCCTAGGAATCAAACTCCCAAACCAAGAATTTAGGCAAATTCTATGACTTCACTGTTTCCTTATCTGAAAAGTAGGGATTAGTAGTAGTTCCTACCTCTTGAGGTTCGTGTAGTATTAAATGACAGCGCTTGGGTTTGGCCTAGGGAAGTCATGTCCTCAAGTCCCCAGCCTCCCTGCCTGGGTGAGCAGCCAATTGGTCCGGATGTGAGCTGTGAAACAGGTGGGGTTCCCACGTGTGGGACTGCAGAACCCTGGGAAAGTCTCAGCCTGCTGCTGCTTTGGGGAAACACTGACTCATGCAGGTGGAGCGCGCCCAGGGCTCCTGTAGTTTGTTCCACTGCTGTGGTCCGAAGAGGCTCCTGGAGACAGGCGTTTGGGCCCTTGCAGTCTCCCTGGCTGGCCTTTGGGCTTTGCAGTATAGATGGGTTTTTACTCAAGGATAACCACCGTGGAGCTGCCCGAGCAGGGCTCTACCTTCCTGAATGCTCTCACCAGAATCTGCAGTGGCCCTGGGACCTCCCTGCTCTACCCCTGCATCTTTACTGCAGGAAGGAGCTCTCGGCTCCCAAGTCCCCATCCAGGACAGCTCAGATGCATCATTCCTTTGCAGGGTGCTTGGCTGAACCTCACTCACAGCCTTCCTCCACTGCTGCGAGGTTAAAACCTTTCTCGCTTTAAGAACCAGGCTGTCTCCACTTCCGGTGTGAACCTCCTTTCCACCACTCTTCCCATTGGTTCCCTCTCCTCCTCTGGTCTGTGCACCTGCATTACCGTCTCCAGCAACCAGCCTGGATCTCTCTCGTCTCCCCTGCTCCCAGTATTTCTCTCCTCGACTCAGCTCTGGGCAGCAGAACGTTGCTCTGGAAGCTGCCACTGCCCTCATCTCTCAAATCCAACACCAGCAGCCCCGTCTTCTTACACACAACTCTGCAGAGACCTTCTGCCCCTGTGTGTAACCTGAGCAGACAGCGTCCCCTTCAGGTCTTCACAGCTCATGCTGGAGGTTTTCCAAAGCAGCTATGACTATTCAGACTACACGGTCCCCACTGGGAAGACTCCCATTTGGGAGTTAGCTTCAAACTTTGAATGCCCTTTTGAGAGAGGACTCCTCGTCGCTGTTTTCTAAGCTTCTCTGCAGAACAGAGAGGGTGGGTTTCTCACTCCAGCCTGAAAATCAAGTTCCCCCAAGGTTCAGAGTCTGGGAAAGGCCCAGTGCAGGCCTCTCTGGATCCACAGGAACTTTGAAGCAGGCACCCTACAGGCCCCAGAGTTGCTCAGAATGTCAGTTTTATTGAAATGCCCACTGCAGAGGAAGCCAAGCTAAGGAAACTAAAGGGAGGGGCATAAAACTATACACAGTAAATCAGAAATGAAGAGAAACCAATCCCCAGAGACAATTTTCATTCTTTCTACCCTTTCCACAGCAGATGGGAGGATGGATGGCTTTGGGCTGGGAGTAGCACAGCTGGTGTGACACGAACAACCCAAACAAGGATCATCTCAAATATTAACACATCTACAGGACAAAACAAAGCGAAAACAAAAGCACGAGGCCACTTTAGGTTAACTGACAGAGCAGAAAGGGAGCCATTCCCCTGCCCAGTGATGGAGTCACCCTCTCGCCTTGAGATTCCATTCAGTGTCTCATACTCCTGGCAATATAAATCCTCTTGTTCTGTCCTTGTCGGAAGAGTTACTATTTCCCATGTATTTTTTTCTAGTACTGGAGATTGAACCCAAGGACCTTGATACTGAGTTATATCTCAAACTCATTTTAAAAATTTTAAATTCTGAAACAGGATCATAGTTGGCCAGGCTGGGCTCAAATTTAGGATGTTCCTGACTCGGCCTCCTAGAGTGCTGGCATAGCAGGCACACGTCAATACACTCAGCTCCATGTCATCTTTTGTAACATAATGTGCTAAAACTTAACATCCTTTACTTCTCTTTCCCAAGCAGGCGAACAGAAAAGCTTGGCCAGAAGTGGTGTCCTCGTCTCAGCAGCCCTGCAGTGCCCTGGCAGCTCCCTCCACATGAATCAGAACATCGCTCTTCTGCAAGGATTCTCTCTGAAGTAACAAACCTCAGCACAAAGCGTAACCTGGGCCTGCTGATGGCTCCCAAGGCTGCTACCTCTTAGCTGACTATGTCGCTTGCTTCTTCCCAAATTATAACTCTCATTTTAACTTCGCTTTATCCTTAATGCATTAATTTTTTGTCAGTCATAGAGATCATTTCTTTTCCCTTCATCCCGGGGATGAGAATGTCCCCAAAGCACTTTGTGAAAACCGTCCTAGAAAGGGAGTTATCTTTAGAGTCATCAGTTGAAGGGATTTGCTCCAACCACAAATGAAAAATCATTAGATTTCTGAGTTTGCAGCTGAATGAGAACCTTTGTTTTTGAAACCATATGACTGAGAACTTCTGCATTATCTTTCAGGAAAGTAACCCAAGCTAGAATTCCCCCCGAAACAATGGCCACAGAAGGAAGGCAGCCAATTCACTTTGCCATCATTATCCGGTCTCGCTTGTTCCCCATCACCAGTCCATAGCTCTTCTCTCCTACCGAGTCCCCCATCATTTCCAGACAGATCTTTGCATAGTTGTCCTTTCTCTAAGCCCAAAAAGCTTCCTTACCACCAAGCCCAGCCCTCTTGCACCCTGTAGCTTCTCACACCCCTAGTTTAGTGCAAACCCAGAAACCCCAGCAGTGTTGGCCATTGACAAGTCAGTGTTTGAGCAACCAATGACCAATCATAACTTTGAGCTAAGTATTTTTTAATTTTTCACAAAGAGCTCTGACAGGCAAATATGTTATCAAGTTCACACCCTGAAATAGCACAGCAAGATGGACAAAGCAGGGCGTGGGACATCAGCTTCTGATCTCCAGGATTCCTGCAAAAGACCTGAGGAACCCAAAATAAGGCCCATCAGCAGGTCCTCTGCAAACTGCGGGTGATCAGACATGTGACAGCACCAACACTGCTAACGCCAGACTGAGCTGTCCAGAAGGTCCCACCTTGGATCCTGAGGGGGATCCAGATGGCTTTAACCTCTGAGGCAGAGGGAGCAGTTGCCAAGGCCAGGAGCAAAGGCTCTGTATTTATGGCCTTGTGTGAAACTACACAGGGAAGGTGTCTTGGTTTAAGACCAGAAGGGAAGCAGGACAAATAAAAAGGTCAGAGAAACTTTGGATTGAAAAAGAGATGATTGTGTAAAGAAATACTAGATCTGCAGTTTACAAAGTTCATAAAGAAAGAAAGAACATTCCTTGGGATGCAGACCTGAGTTGGGAAAAGCAAAGCCTGGGCTGACAGAGTCAGAGCTTTATTCACAGTAGAACAATCCTAGTCTAAAACTCTGGAATTTAAATCCAATGTATTTAAGGAATGAAAATTCTTAAACTCGTCAGACCAGCTGACAGGAAAAAGGGAAAAAAAAGTTCTCTACTAAACAAAACAACACAAAAAATCAACTCGGTCTCCCTCTACTTCCAATACCCCAGCCACTTCCCAGCCCATTAAAAAAAAAATTAAAACCAAGCACACTTGCACACACTCTAATATGCAAACAGAACACCAGCTACCCAAGGAAACCTTAGGAATCACCTAAGGATTTTTCACTAGCTCCCTAGGTGCTCTTCCTGTTTTTGTAGAAGAGCCAAGCTCTGACAATTCTGTCCAAGCAGTTAAAAACTGGAGTTGAGCAACACTCCTCTCCTCAGCCCACTGGCTTATTTAGTCAGTGGAGAAGAATATCAACAATAAGCCAGGGAGGAAGGTGATGGCTGAGGAGAACCATGATGCGATATCCTAGGACACCAGACAGTGGATCTGGCTGTGATCACATAGTCCAACCCTGAATTTTACAAAAAACCAATCTGCAAATGAAACAGAAAGGAATTTCAGGGGACATCTTTTGAGAAAGGGTGTCTGCTTAGGATTCTGGTTCCAAGAGCTCACTTCCCCTGTTGTTGGCCTAATCTGTGGTCTAGTCCATTGTTTCTGGCCAAAGTCTCTCTCTTTAAGTGCAGCATAATTTGTTTCCAGATGGTCAGAATCCCCAGACAGGCCTCTTTGCAAAAGCCAGGCGGGGAAATTCAGGAGACTCAAATGGTGGAACAAATGTGTTGACACTGGCCCCTCCCTGGGGTGCAACGAAAGCTTGTAACATCTGTTTCTTTGCCTCATCCTACCAAAAATGTTTCCCCCACATTTTGTAAAATAAATAATTTGAGACATAATGAACAACCAGGGAAGGGCAGTTGCTGGCCCGAAAATGTGCTCTGTCTCTCAACAGTAACTCATAAATCTCATACCTGCGGTTCGTTTTAGGCTGAGGGGTGGAGAGGTGCTACGGCCGCATGTGAACCCCAGGACAGGGCAGGACTCTCCCCTGCCCTTACTCGGTATATATTATATTTATCTTTATAAATACAGCATCCTGGCTCAAGTGGCCACAGTAAAAAAGGCCAAAGGTTGTTTTTTTTTTGTTTTTGCCTCAAATGTCTACACAAGCCCCTCAATATCTACGTACCATATTATAGTCACATGGAAAACTAGACACATCTTTATGAGAGCCCAGTTGCCATGCTGGTCAAGGATCATGCCTCACCCAGACCCGATTACCATCTCTACTGGGAAATGAGGCTTACCAAAAAAAAAAAGATCCACTTTATAATAAGGCTCATGACTGAATTCCTTCAAATAAAAAGCCCAATTAGTATAATTTTAAATGGTTTGATTCCTTCACTGAAAAAAACCAAAACTTGTTATATGCAGAAGTTTTCAAGGGCACATAAAATGGATCAACTAGACCAATGAATGTAGTCTTGTTGGCTTGGGCTTTTAAAGTCACATCTGTCACATAAAACAGGCGATCCAGACCATTAAATGTGGTCCAGTGGCTTGGCTGCTCTGACCACCCATTTACTGATGTGACAGCTTGGTGAATCTGTCTCTTGGACAAGATTCTAAGCCATGTTGCCACTCTAATGTGGGCAGTATTATTGGGTGGCCAGTGAGCCAAAGAATTGGGTATATGGACTGAAGTTTAACCTAGCAGTTCGCATTAGGACCTATCTTTGGGCCATAATAGAAAATTTGAGTTTAATTTCTCTATCCCCTGCCCCTGTCAAAAATATATTAATTTGATCAATCAGATCAGACCACTTTGGTTAGATGATTGTGACCACCAAAATACCCTGGAGCAAACAGATGAACAGCCCTTTAGAAAACCCAAACAGTGACGAACAAGGGAGGGCCCAGTTTCCGAAAACTGTTAGAGCTCGTCCCTTGAGGGTGCAGTGTCCAGGGAAGTTGGTGACGGCAGTGCCTCCGTATTCTTGGCATTTCTGTGGATGTGACCTTGCTTCCGTGACTTCCAGGAATGCGTCCTGTCCCAGTCAGTTGCCACTGTCTCGTTGTCCCAGATGGTTGAGGTCTCTGTATCACTCAAGTAGCCTGGCTGGCCTGTGTAGTGGGTGGGGTAGATGAGCAAGGGTTCTGCAGAGAAGGCTTTCAAGTCCCTGGATTCATAATACTCCTTGTACTCGGCTCTGGAAACAAGATGTACACAGGTGCATGAGTGGCGGGAGGCTTAGGGAACGGGTGAAAAGAGCAAAGGGCCTCTGCTTGTCATCTCTGAAACTGCCATGGATTTATTTCCTTAATTTTTAAGTTGTGTCCTTTGTGACAAACTTTAGGATGCAAACACAATAAAAGTTTGTTTAGAGCTTTCAGAAAATCTATGTGAACAACTAAAAAGGTTAGGATATTTCTCGTGCATTTGGATAGAATACTTTAATGGTTGAATGGAGCTTACTTTCAAAGATAATTAAGCTCGGTTGTATGATAATGATAAATAAACATGAACATTTTACAAAAAGTCCTTTGTTACTGGAGTAATGAATTAAGAAATCTGAGATAGCAGTGACATAGTGAAGGCTTGAAGAGACGCTGGTGTTTTGGCTCCTGTACATGTAAAGTAGAGGGATAAGTTGGCTTCCCTCCCAGGGCTCCTGTGTTGGCTACATCAGATGACATCCGTACCGTCCCTTGGACTGTGAGTGGAATATGTATTAATTCAATGGGTATTAATTTCCCCTTAGTCTTGAGGACAATGGTTTGTTTGACCTCTGGGTTTCTGTGAGGTACTGCTAAGGCCAGCTGAGGTAAAGTCAGTCTCTGAAATGTAGCATATAAGAGAGCAAGAAACTCTATTTTTACAAAGGACAGGAGTCAAGATACAACATGGCAAATCTCAAAGGCTAAGATGAAAGTTGTAGATCACCTAGCAACAGAGAAAGAGGAACCTAGTTTCCTACTCCATTCCTGAATCTAGGAATTACTGGTGGAATAGCTATTATGCGTAGTATTTGGACAAGGCTTTAAGGAGATACATATATGAGGCTGTTTCTGACACAAAGGGTTCATAGCATATTGGGGAAACTGCCACACAGTCATCAATTACCACATCTCTTGATAAGTGCTAGGCCAGTGTAAACTCCTGGCTATTAGATTCTGAGCATCCCAGTGCCTTCTTCCACAGATGCTCTGCCTGGCTCCCACCTCTGAATTTCTCATACATCTCTGTGACTGCAGGTATCACCATATATCACAATGATTTGTTCGTAAGTCAGTGCTGCAAACCTGGGCCCTGCAAGGGTGGTTACCACTGCCTAACCAACAATGTGCACAGGAAGTGAGCTGAATGAACCGAAAAATGAAGAGAATGACCTTCACCTTATGTTGTGTGAAGATATGTAAGAAGAGCAAAGATAAGAAGAGATCTGAGCAGATAATGTCCTACACTCTGAGAATCAAAGAAAACCACCGGACAAGACTCTTATCATCTCTGCTTTGTTTTCTCCATCTGTTGAAGGGAATAATCACTTGAATAAGCTTCTCTTAATCACAATTATGGAAAATTACTGAAGAAGCCACACAATTTTGGGAAATATCCAGTATTACCCAGAAAGTGTAATTCATGGACATGCTGTGCCCAAGGGACAGGTTGGCCATTAAAGGAGACTTACACAGGATGCTTGTTGTACATGATTGGCAGAAACTCATCCACTGGCAGCATCTTTCCAAAAGGATTAGCTCCAACTAGCTTCTGTGCTCCTTCCAGAGAGATGGCATAGCCCAAGGTCCAATAGGAATAGTCAGCTTCAACCAGATTTACTACATTGGGTACTGCTTTCTCTGGCTCTTTTACTTGCATCCTCTTCCTACCAATGTAACTACAAAGAAATAGGAGGAGGAGAAAAATTTCAACTTGAATATTAGTCATTAATGAGAATAAAGCAAAGCTTTGGTTTATACAGATGTCTTTGAAAGTGTGGACCAATTGTGTTTTATGTTAAAAGTATCACACCACAGAGCACATGAAATCACTCACCATGACTGTCATCTGGCACCACTCCAACTATTCCTGCCTAAGTGACTGTGTTTGAGATAGAAAATTAAGTTGTAAATAGTTCAAAAGATATGCATCTTTTGTGAAGATGGCATGGGATTTCCACTTGTGTTTACAGAAGTTGGAAAGAAACAAAAAAAGGTAAGATGTGGGAATCCTGAGTTTGCTCTTTTCACATCCCAGAGTTTCAATCTTGGATGTTTTCAGCACAGCTCTCCAAATGGTGGTAGAAAAAGCTGTGGGAAAGAAAGAGTCTGCAAAAGAGGACCTAGAGACTCAAGAGCAGCTCAAATGGTTCCTTCTGAGAATTAGGAATGACAGCTCCTGCAAAGCTTTCTTCCTTTGGCCCCCTTATAGCTTTTCACAGCTTCTTCCTGGGCACTCTACTCTGAGGAGGAGGGCATCTGCCTCATCCTTCACAAATAGCTTCTAGCACACAAAATACACCTTTGGCCATTTCTGTCCTGACACGGCCTACTCCCAGCTCTGTGAGCCATTACTTTTGTCTGGAACCTATTCAGTTTGGGCTTGACTGGAGTAAGCTGAGGGGTTTCTTGCCTGCTGGTAAAGCAGTACGTAGTTTATTTTGTGCTAAATGAGTCTCTTTCAACATTCGAGGGATTCTCCCCGGTCAACAAATCTCGGGATTTGTAGAAGAAGTCTAAGTGCCATCTTCATTTCTTCTGAGGATGTGAAACAAACGTCCTCTCAGCCAATGTAAGTCAACAAATCTCGGGATTTGTAGAAGTCTAAGTGCCATCTTCATTTCTTCTGAGGATGTGAAACAAACGTCCTCTCAGCCAATGTCTTCAGACTATAGAGTCTCATTTTCTCTACAATGTCACTGAATAGACAGATGAGAATCTGAATCCCTGAAATGTGGCTTGAGGGACTGATTTTATACTATTACTAATTCAAATTAATTTAAATTTAAAAGTTGAGGTTTGTAAAATTCTTTTTTCTTTCTGTGAGACAAGTTTATTATTTGGCAGAACTACAGTTTAACAGATGAAAATTTATCTTCTGGATTGATATGTGTTCCACATAGTAGTTTGAAACTTGGAATAAAACACCCCCATCTCATTAATAGTTTAAAAATATTAATTACATACTAAAATAGTAATATTTGGATATACTGGATTAAATGAAATTTATATATTAGAAGTTTATATAGTTATATATTGGGTTAAGTGAAAAGCATATTTCATCTAATTTTTTTTACCTTTTTGATGTGCTTACTAGAATATTAAAAACAACATATGTGGTTCACATTATATTTCTACTGAAGAGCACTCTCTATTTCCTTTTTCCAAAAAGATTTAATGTAGCAATCATGTACAGGTGATTAGTTTTCATGTTTTGTGTTTAAATGTATTTATTTCTTCTTCATTTTAGAAAGTGAAAGGTAAAAGTTGAAACTATTATACAGTAAGTCCCTTATTTACCAACTGAGTTCCATTCCAGGACAACATTCCTAAGTCAGATTTGATCGTAAGTAAAATGGGGGTATGGTACAGTGTAACTGTGAATATAAACTATTTTTAATCTTACAGTGAGCACACAGCAGCACAACTGTGACAATGTCTGGCAGATACGTGAGCTCCTTCCACTATCTGTTCACATCTACAAATGTTCATTTGTAATTTGAAGTCTGTTCCTATCTGAAAGTTTGCAGCTTGAATGTTTGTAAATTGGGGATTTACTGTACCTCTTTGAGGCTCTACAATGTATTTTAGTGGACTATTTTGATTTGATCAATCTGTGAAATTTAGAGTATGTTAGCCCTCATGTCCTTCTTAGGACAACCATCAATCCTCCTTGGGTCTGCTGGTACTTCGTCCTGAGCAATGCTGCAGTCATACTACACGTGAGGGGATTCTCAGCCTCAGGTTTCTGAAGTTGAATCTTTAACTCGAGTATGACCACGAGGTTTAAGGGAAAGTTGCCCATACTTGTTATGTGGGCATAAAATAGCTTGCAGGTACCAGACTGGTGGGGCCTCCTCTACTACAAGCTACTGAGCCAATGATTCAGACGGTCTAAGCACATCCATGTAAGGGCAGAACAGTGATCTCACAGGGCTGTGAATTCCAAACTAGGTCACATGACTGACTTGCGATCGGGAGCAGGTGAGGATTTGGAGGCCTATTTTTCATGAGTTAATTGAGCCTTTGCTGGGCTTCTTCTGATGCCCATTTTCTGAGAAAGCAAATATTCCACCCAGGTCCACAGTTAAGTTTCCCTCTGAGGATGGGAGGAGCAGGGGCAGCTCAGCTACTGCAGCTGCTCCAAAGGACCTGGCTCTGACTTTAACAAAATTTGCCTTTGACAAACAGCTGGGAACTGAACAAACTTCTTGGGAAATTTCTATTTCATTGGAGGAAAGTAGAAAGTATTGTTTTGAGAAAGAAAAGAGAAGATTTTAAAAGAAGAGAAGAGAAAAGAAGAATCTAATCCAATTCCTAGAGCTAGGAGACAGGGAGCATTAACTAAATGCCAGCACTTAGCCAGCACTGCCTCATTAGCCCGGTCTACCCGCAGCAGACTCAGACACTCCTTCCCCTTTCCTGTGCCCAGCTGTCACTGTTCTTCCCATCCCACAACCTCACATCTCCACAGGGGCTCTCTGCTGACTCTCCTAGGTTCTGTCCCACTAGGGGCTGCAGAAGTACCTGCTTTGCCGGACTGAGCTTCAAGTAGGATGGAGGACTCTTGCATGACTGCCTCGGCCTCTTCTTCCGGGAACCCCAGCCAGGTCCCCCTCTCTTCACAAGGGACAGTGTCACTGTGCATCCAAGTGGTGCTCAGAGCCACACCTCTGCTCTGTCAAAAGGTCCCTGAACAGCAGGCAGATTTGAGCCCCAAAGAATCGCCTATAGTTTTATACCCTGAAGAGTAAGCATATTCAGAAAAGAGTGGCTAATCCACTTTTATGGAAATATTTATGGAGTGAAAAGCAGCCCATGAAAGCCTGAGCTATATCTCCTGCCAGCTGGGGAGGTGGGGGTTTGCTGACCCTTGGAAAGAACTCAGTGCTTTTCACATTTTGTAATAACTTTGGTTTGTTACTCACATCAATTCCCAGTCCAGCTGAGCCTGGTCAATGTCATCCATCAGCTTCACCAGTTTCTTCTTGAACTGATGTTCAAAACGCACATCATCCTCAATCACAAGAGTCTTCTCCAGCTCTCGGTCAATTACCTGCAAAGGTCATCAGTGGGAAGAGCCCTATGAAAATTTCATTAGGTAAATAAGTATTTGGAAGTCAAGAGTACAGTAACATAATTTGTAATAGTTCATAACTGCAATCTAAGCAAAGGCCCATTCTCTGGAATGGATAAACTGTGGTCTATCCCAGTAATGTGAACGTAAAGTCTACGAATAAGTGCAACATGGCAGGTGAGGCAAAGCTACTCTGTGCTGTCAGAAGTCAGGACAGTGATCACCCTGGGCATTGGTGATCAGGGAGAAGCACAGAGAGGCACACACCAAAGATGTTGATAACCTGTTTCTTGCTCTGGGCAATAATGAACATGGTGGTGTTACTCAGTTTGAGAGATTTCAGTGAGCCGTGTGTTGTGGACCTAGACACTTTTATATATCTATCACATTTCATTTAAATTTTAAAGAAAAAAGAAAGGTATAAGCTGGACCATTAAATGAAAGAAGGTGTTCACAGGTTCTTTGAAGGGGGACTTTATCATTTTGTGTGGGAACTGAACCTTCCTAGGAACCCTGCCCTCCAATTCCACCTCCATCGATACCTTGATCTGTAAGGCATGGGGTCCAGTTCTGCCTCTGCTTTCTCTTACCTGGACAAGTTACTTAAAACTTTCCTCTTGGATTAAGGAGATCCATTCCCCTATTGTACCTCACAAGCCTGCTGAGTGATTTTTTCCTATGAATGTCTTAGATAAGTGACAACATGATAGATACATAGAAGGCAGGCCTGAGGAATGAAAATGAGCTAACAAGACCATGGCTCCTAGCAGATAGGTGTTTTCCCCTGTCACCACTCTAAATGGCACTAAACTACCCCCCTTGTCCCTTTGTTGCTGGCCTTGGGCCCAGGGAAGACACAGGCAGGAGCAACTCTCAAGCATATTTCCAGAACAGCCATGGGCTTACTTTGTGTCTGGACCTAATTCGCCTACAAAACCCCAGCTTCCTTTCTCTTCATTACAAAACTGCGTGATTTTTTTTTCCCTTTGCATTATTTACCTCTTTCCAGACAGAATAGTGACTAAGAAAGCAGCCAATTTCACCTCTGGTTAAAGGCCTGGAGGAGTAGGGATCTCGATAACCTGGCAGCATTTCAATGTTCAAGGCCTTCAGCTGGCTTGTGTTGAGTGCCCTGCATGACAGAGAATGTGTCTGAAAAGTACCAAAGTCAAGGTTTTAGGGTGGCCTTCTCCCTCCCCCACAGAGAGGAAGAAGAGAGAAAATATAGAGGGAAAGATTTCCCAGTTTCCTATTCTTTTTTTTTTTTTTTTTCCGTACCGGGAATGGAATGCAGGACCTAGCAATTGTGAGGCAGGCACAGAGCCATTGAGCTAAATCCAAAGCCCTCCCACTGTGCTTTAGGAGCTTTTTGGGGTTAATGTGTCATGGCAGCATTATGAACTTTGTCATAAAGACACATAAAGATGTGTCTTTATTTTTGTATGTCCCTCACAGTGCCCAACATAGTTCTAAGCATCCTAAATTTCCTGAAAACTCTGAAAGAGTAGCTGCCTGATGAAAGAAAGTGGCTCATAAGAACATTCAATACTAGAAGAGATGCGGACAGGAAGGAAAGTGGAAGAGAGATTATGTGAATGTTGAGGGTTCCTTTGTATCTAAAATTAAAACAAGATAAAAAATAAAAACAACAGAGACACATTTCCAGAGTGGTAAAGACCTCTGGATATCCTACTTTCCATAAAAGCATGAAGACATAGGCAAGGCAAAATGGTCAAAATTAGCAATTAGCATTTCAGAAATTAATTAAAAGGTTGCAATAATCAAAGGAGTTTTTAGGAAAAATAGTTGAGTATCTGTAAGCACAGTGAGCTCTGTGGATTTTATATCTGTACTAATCCCTTTCTCCTCAGCCCTATAGAAGCCTTAAAAACCAGCAGCCTCACAGATATGGCAGTTGTGCCAATCAGCCACCTGGCAGTCACTGGGAATGAAGGGGTGCAGTAGGATTCTTCTTAACTGTTGTCAAAAAAGCAGCCCCTATTCAATCTCTCTGGCAGTCCCTAAAAAGTTCCATTCTTAGAACTTCTCTTTATTTGACTTGACTCAGGCCTTATTCTCTGTGAATGTGGAGTATTTGTCAAAAACCATCAGTAGCAAATGTTTAACATCACAGCTATTTGGGCAGTGTTGCCAGTTACAGCTAATAAGAGGGTGACCAAATAACTTAAGAAAAAACTGAGAATAGCATGTCTTGTCTGTAAGGAGTTTTGCAAAGCTCCCCCACATTCCTGAGAATCTACAAGACTCAGGCATATTCAGGGCTGTGCACTTCCCCACAAGGGACCTGAGGAGACTCCAATTTCACATCTAACCTTGAAGAGCTGGGGAAAAACATAGTGGAAAGAGGAAGGATCTGGTAGAGGACGTGGGGTGGGGGGAAGCAAAATGGATTAAACATTGCATTCAAAAGCAGAGGTTGGCACAATAAGCTTAAAAACATCCAAGAGATGCTGTCTTCAAGAAACAGAATTTAGAGTTAAAAACACAAATACACTGAAAGAAAAAGGATGGGCAAAGATAAGTTATGTAACCAGTACCCACAATAATGTAGGAAGAGCTATATTAATATTAGACAAAGTAAACCTCCAGAAAAAATTTATACTAGAAAGCAAGGTGATAAAATATATCAGGAATACATAGCAATTATAAGTATATATATGCACCTAACAGCAGAACCCCCAAAATACGAGCAAAAATTAGCAGAATTGAAGGGAGAAATAGACAGATCCAACAGTAACAGTGGAATACTTTAATATTTTATTTTCAGCCATGGATAGAACAACTAGGCAGGAGAATAGCAAGGAAACAGGAGACTTAAATAACACTATAAAGCAACTAGACCTAACACACATCTGTAGAACACTCCATTCAACAGTAGTCAAATACACATTCTTTCAAGTATTCTTGAAACATTCTTTAAGAAAGGCCATATGTTAGATTATAAATAAAGCCTCAGTCTACTTAAAAGGATTGAAATTAAACAAGGAATACTCGCAAACCACAATGGAATGAAACTGAAAAATCAATAATGAGAAAACTTTTGCAATTAAAAATGTTTGCAAAAGTAACACATTCCTAAATGACTAATGGATTAAAAAGGGAAATTAGAAAATATTTTGAAATGAATGAAAATGCAGCACACCAAAACATATGGGACGCATCTAATACAGTACTGAGAGGTATAATTACAGCTGTGAATGTCTGTATTAAAAAAAGATTACCTAAAATATACCATCTAATCAACTAAGAAAATAGAAAAAAGAAAGTAAACTAAATTCAAAGCATGTGGGAAAAAGGAAATAATAAAGACTATAGTGGAAACAAATACACTAAAGAATAGAAAAATAGAGAGCATCAACAAAAAAAAAAAAATCACCATTTTTTGTTGCTTGATAAGATGAATAAACCTGACTATCCTTTACCACTGATGAATGAAAAGAGAAAATAGACTCAAATTATTACAATCAGGAATGAGAGTAAGGACTTTTCTATTGACATTATGGAATTGAAAAGGATTGTACTGTGAACAACTGTTTGCAAAAATTACATAACCTAGATTAAATGGAAAAATAGATCAAAAGACACAAAACTATTGAAATTAACTCAAGAAAAAAATAGAAATTCTGAATACACCTATAACAAGTAGAGAGGTTGAATTAAGAATCAAAAAATTTCCCACAAAGAGAAGTCCTAAGCCAGATGGCTCCAGTGGAGAATCTGCTAAATATTTAAAAAACAATTAATACTAATTCTTAACAAACTCTTCTAAAAAGTGAATTGAAGGAGAATATAGCCCAACTGATTTTATGGAGCCAGTATTATTCTGATACAGAATCAATAGTGTTACAAGAAAACTATAGACCAATATCCCTTAATAACATAGATGCAAAAATCTTCAAGAAAATCCTAGCAAGCAGAATACAACTGCATATATAAGGGATTATATGGCATGACCAGATGAAATGCATTCCAGGACTGCATTGTTTGGCTCAACATGTGAAAATCTATCAAAGTAATATACCATATCACTAGATAAAAGCCACATGATCATCTCAATAGACACAGAAAAAATTTTGACAAAATTCAACATCCTTTTATGATAATAATATGTAACAAAATATGAATAAAAGAAAATTGCCTCAACTCAATAGGGCCATCTATGAAAAACCACAGCTAAAATCATACCCAGATGGCGAAAGCCTAAAATGCTTTCTCCCTAAGATCATGAATAAGATAAGAATATCTGCTCTCATGACTTCTATTTAACATTGTATTTGAGAAACTAGTCAGGGTACTAAAGCAAGAAAAAGAAATAAACTGTATTTGGATTGAAAAAGAGGAAACAATACTATCTCTAATTGCAAATGAGATAGTCTTACCTACAGAAAAATCTTCTTTTTTTTTTTTTTTTTTTTTTTTAACCAGGGATTGAACTCAGGACCTTGCACTTGTGAGGCAGGCAAGTGCAATCCCCGGCCCCAGAAACCTTATGAATGAACACATACACTATTAGAACTGATAAATGAGTTAATCAAGGTAACAGGATATACAATCAATATATACAAATAAATTACGTTTCTATGTATTTAGCAATGAACATTCTGAAAATAATTAAGGACACAATTCCATCACCATAGTATCAAAAAAAGGAATAGACGTAACAGAGTAAGTATAAGATTTATAAACTGAAAGTGACAAAACATAATTTTATTTATAAAGAAAACCTAAAAAAATAAAATAATGTCAGGAGTATGAATAGAAGACTTGGACCTCTGTCTCATATTATATAAAAAAATTAGCTGAACATGAATCGAAGACCTAAAAGTAAGAAATACAACTATAGCCCAAAGCAAGAATAAATATTCATGGCATTGGGTTTGATGATGGGTACACAAAGCACAAGCAACAAGAACAACAAATATAAATTGGACTTCATCAATATAAATTTTTTTGTTTTAATGGATATCACTACCAAAATCTGACAATTCACAAAACGGGAGGAAATATTGGCAAAGTATATATCTGGTAAAGGACTTGTACCTGAAATACTGACAGAACTACCACAATTCAACTAGTTTCTTTGGTCCAACTGGCCTATGAGTGGGACTGGGGCTATGGTTGGTATTTGAAATGGTGGATCCCAAACTCTACTAGAACAAAGAATAGGGTGTCACATATAGCAGGTAAAAACACAGAACACACTCAATCATATTTAAACTTCAGATAAATAATGAACCTTTGTTGTTCTTTTAAATATAACTAAGACCCATGCAACATTTGGAGCAAAATTTTACTATATTTTATGTGGGACTCCTACACAAGAATCATTTTGAGGCTTCCTAAATGCAGTTCCTGGGCCCAACCCTAAAGATCATGACTCAGCAGGTCTGAGACAACAAGCAGGAAGCTGCCCCCTTAAGCACCCCTGGGGATTCAGATGTGGGCGTCAGTTTGAGAAGCTAAGGCAAGATTCTCTAAGGGAGCCACAGGAACTTCCTCAGTGGCTGCTAGCTACAGTCCTAGTAGATAATCAAAGAACAATGCCACTCATATTCTAGACTAGCACATAATGCTTTATAGAAATGTGTGCCTTGAAATGGCTTAAGGTGCCAAACAAAAGGTCAAAGCAAAGCAAAACAAAACAAAACAAAAAAATAACAACAACAAAATCTCTCAAAGGAACTGAACTAGGTTCCTTGTGTGATTTTCATGCCATATTCCCTGGAAAGGTGGCCACCGGGATTGGCCTAGGCAGACTGCAGCAGGCATTTCACACAACAGGACATGGAGACTTTATGTACTTTTCTGTGTATTTTCTTCAGGTCTGATGACAATTCCACACACAATGTTTCTGCTACCCCACAGAACGTGGCAACCAACAGTTATTGCAAGAATGGCCAGGGGACCAGGGACAATCACATCCAGTGAGTGTTGGCTGTAATAACAACCAAGGACCACCAGATCAGATGGGGAGTGGTTCTCAGACCTGAGCCCCAGGGTAACACTAACTTCACTGCTACTTTGGACATCTACACAATGAGTCCATTGTCTAGTGACCAAGAGACCCATGCAGCACTCTACGTCTGTCGGAGAAGGCAACCCCCTCTCCGACACATCTGCAGGAGGACAGGCAGGTCAACTCACTTCCCATCCACTGCCTCTACAATCTTGACCTCGATCTCCTGCTCGTAAAGTGTGCGCAGCATCCGGTCGCGCCTGTCCTTTCTGCGTTTGAGGTTAATCATGAAGATCTAATGTGGGAAGCAAAAGGGGGAGAGAAAAACCCTCATAAATGACTTAAGTCTTATTTTAGGCCTTTTGAAAAGCATAGCAGTGTCAAGATCAAAGTTTTAGGAAGGATAAAGAATGCAAAGCGAGGGGAAGAATGCGGTGAAGATTTGTTTATATTTTATATTGGGTTTACAGAGGACAAATGATACTTATCCAAACTGAACTTCTTTCTAAATGCAACTGTTTGCAGGGACTTAAGCCTTTCTTTGTTCCCCTGATACTCACTGATAAACATGTTCTCCCTGCTCTTTAGAAAAAAAAGTTCAAAAGGTTACTCTTTAAGAGGCCAAAGGTGAACTAAACCTAAAATGTACAGCACTGAGGAGAGGAAGCTGTTTGATAAGTGGTTAAATTTATCAGCAGATCTGTGTTTTAAATCCTGTCTGTTATTTACTGTTTGCCTTCAGCAAGTTCCTAAACCTCAGTTTCCTCACCTGGAAAACTGGGATGACAGTTGTCCTACTTCATGAATATTACATATTAGTACCATTATAATTTACATCCACTAGATAAACTCAAAGTCATTCAAAGCATAACGAAAATCTAAAGCCTTAATTTATTGCTGTTATTAGCAAAGGCTCCAAGGTGCATTATCGGGATTTCAATTTTAGCAGCTTCTCTGCCAGAACTCTCTAGCTCCCTTAGAAACAAGGACAAGAAGTACAGAAAAGAAGCCCTATCCTTGGAGGTGGCTTTTTGTTAAAGAGGGTGGGAGAAATGGAAAGACATTATTTCAGTGTTGAGTGGTTCCATGAGAAATGCTACTAAAAAGACAACTCCAGATCCGTGAACTAAAAAGCACGTACGCGCAAGCTTTTCCTCACGAGGGCTGTGCCCACCTATCGCTCCTCTCTGTTGCCCGTACACCCCTGATGGCTGCCCTAAATACACCCAACGTGAGGTCAATACCAAGGGTCACAGCCATATTATCTTGGGGTTCTCAGAGTTAAGGAACCACAGAATATCTAAAGCCTCATGAATGCTTTACAAGTTAGCGTTTGATAAGGTCCTCTGGCTACAAGGAAGAAGCCAGAGCAGGCTGACTTCATCCCGACCGGCCACATGGATGACTGCAGGGGATTCAACAGTTCTGGACCCCATTCTCTCAAATCCCCACATAGATGGAAACTTCTGTATGCTTTTTGCAATGATGAGAGAGAGAGAGAGAGAGAGAGAGAGAGAGAGAGAGAGAGAGAGAGAGAGAGAGAGAGAGAAAGAGAGAGAGAGAGAGGAGCTATGGAGCTATGTTTTATAACCAGCCTGGAGATCAAAATATATTACATTAAGTTTTTGTTCAGGAGTCATTTTGAATGTAACTGCAAATAATTTGTATGCTTTCCTCGGATCAAAAGGTACATAACTAAAACAACCTGCATTACAATATATTCTCACTTCTCATTTATAAGTTTCTAGGCAAAAAAACCGACAGGGGAGGAAAATGTCCTCTTTGAAAATTATCCATCTCCAAATCCCCAAAGCGGATTAAGTGCATAATGATTTTATTACTTTCTTTACTTAGCTGGATAATTACTACTTAAAAACATAATTTCTGTGGTGACTCTATTTGCCTTATTAATTGGGACTTATAATTTAACGGGTTGTCCTCCTTTATGTTCCATTATGTTCCATTTTCTCCCTATTTAGAACATTCTGTCATGGACGTGCTCCACCCCTCAACTTTACAGACACAGAAAGGAAAAAGCATTTCCTTATGTGCAAGTATGGAGCCACCTGGGGTAATTCCGGGAGAACAGAAACACAAAATAAAAAATAAACAAAACGCATCAAAACAGGCTCCTCAAACCAGAGACCTCTAGCCTGGGAGGCCTTTGGAAAACAACAGCCCAGTGCCAGTCCCTGCCAGGACAAGGGTAATAAAAATAGTAGCCACAAAGAAAAGCACAGACGGTTCGCTTGAACTTAGTGATGGTAAACACGAAAAGAGCTCAGAGCCAAGTGCAGCCCAGACACCACTGACAAGGTCACAGTGCTGGAAGACTGGAAAGCCTCTGAAAATCTCTTGCCACTACCTCATGATGATTCCCAGAGACAATTACCCCAGCCTCAGGAAAGCAGAGTCCTGCAGGGTGTCATTTCCAAGAGGAGGTTTTTTCCAGTACTCCAGGAGTGACACAGTCCCTGTACCACGTCCTGCCAAAAACATCCCAGACAGAGAAGATCCTGGCTGTTATGTTTTATTTGCTTTGGTTTGGTCCTCTCAGTAATGTGATTTTAGCAGGAAAAATGAGCATGTGTAAAATTGCCTCTCAGCCTAAAGAGGTAAGAGTTATGGGCAGGGAAAACTACAAGACTGCACTAAGAGGCTGCAGTGTGCTGGGTGGGCTGAGCTTTTTTGTAGCCTGGGGTATTTTTGAAAACTCTGTACGACCAAGTCTCTGTTCTACGTACTATGCTTACATTCAACTCTTTTATTCTGCCCTCTGTGGAAACAGCATAATAGCTGTTAACGCTTTCATATTTGATAGTCATGAAATATTCATGGACTCCCTCTCTGAATCAATTTTATAGAAGAAATTCCAATTCACTATTCCAGCAGCTCTTTAGGAGCACACAAGAGTATGTTACATCGTGATAAGGCATTTTCCTTCCAATAAGCAATGGCAATGAATACAATGCACAATGTTTGGCCTGTAACATATCCAGAATCCACAGAACTCTGACTCAGTTTATAGATTCCTGATGCACTGTCCCAGTTCCTAGATCACCAAGTTTCTCCTGAATGCTGATCATTACCTGCATAATGGACCCACGATGGGGAGAGGCACCTCTTTATATTTCTGCTTGTTTGCTTGCTTGCTTCCTTCCTTCCTCCCTTCTTTCCTTCCTTCTGCTCTCTCTCTTCCCACCTCTTTACTTCCCTCTCTTCACCATCTCTCTCTTCCTCTCTCCCTTCCTCTTGTTGGGGACTGGCCCTAGGACCTTGCATGTGCTAGGCAAGCACTCTATCACTGAGCTATGCTGAGCTACACATACCTCCAGCCCTGCTTCATTCTTCATACATTTAAAACAGCAAATAAATATGGCCTTTCAGATAGGCTGTTATGTTCTTGACTGTAGAAAGGCAGAAGTTTAAACCAAGATTTTTTTTTTCCTTTTCTTTATCCTCTCAACTCTCCCCTCCAACCTTTCTGTTCCTCCAACAGAAAGAAAATACAGCAGGGAGGATTCCAAAAAGTTTCCACTCATCTGTGGCTGAGTAAACTCTGTATCTTCCAATAGCTAAAACATGTATCTGCTTTACCTTACCCTTGAACTTCAATAAAAATGTTGGTAAAATATGGCAAATTCACTTTTACTACTAAATAATTCTGACTCAACAATTAACCCCCCTTTACCATGACCCTCTGCTTTTAAGATAAGAAAACTAAGGCACAAAAGGTGAATAGTTTTCCCAAGACCTTGGTGTTTCCTCAACAGCCAAACTCACCTTGCTGGCTTGCAGACATGCTAAGGGTTGTACTCCAATACAAATTTACAGGCATCTCCACAGACACACACACACACACACACACACACACACACACACGCACGCACACTTTCCTACCTCATCAAATCCCATTTTATCTGGATACTTAGGGACCACTGACACAAACTGGGAGGGTTCCATTGGAGGACGGTCAACTGGAAGACAGAAGAAACACAGAGTGCTTGTTAGTGAAGGGTCAGAAAACAGAATTCCATCTACATGCCTGCTCTCTAGGGCTGAGACCTGATCTGGATATCCCAGGCAGAGACCACTGCTCAGCTGTCCTTCAGAAAACACGATGATCAGGACACTGATTTCAACAGCAATTGTTTATATGCAAATGGAAATATTTGCTCCATTCCCTTTAAGACTGAAGAGTATTGGGAGGCGGTTTAGAGAAATAGTTAAGAGAGAGAGAGAGAAAGCTCTGAAGTCAGATATTATGGGTCTAATCTTTGGCCTAGAAGGCCTAGGAGAGTCATGGTGACTATTCTAAGCCTGTTTCTTCACACGTAAAAGTGATACAATAAATGTTTCTTACTGTGTTATAAAATTAAAATGAGACCTGCATGCAGCACACTCACTACATTAATGTAGCAAATACTCTTTTATTACTATGGTGATAAAGCTCAGAAATAGGTTGGATTTTGGTAACTTGATTTTCATTAAAGGGATAATGCAAAGAAAATTTAAAAAGGAGAGACTATCACAGTGTTTTTTAAACTGTTGACGATGACCATTATTACTGTCACTAGTATGCATTTTCCTGTTTTGCAGGCACATGAGAGGGATACACTTTTCTTGCCCTTAAAGTTAGTCATGGTCATATGATTTTTTTGAGTGGGGAGTTAAATTTCTGCTACCCAGATCTTCAAACCCTTCGTCCTACCCTGTCCCAGTACCATCACAATGATCACAGTAGCATGTGTTGATACAAAGACGCAAAGCTGGAGCAGCCTGGAATGTTGCACTAACATGTGCAGAACAGCTGCCCTGGAAAGACAACAGGACTGCAGACCTTGAATAGCAATAAACAAGCCAGTGCAGCATTAAGCCAATGAGATTTTGCCACTGTTTGAAATCCCAGCATAACTTCTCCATCCTGACAGAGATACCCTGTGCTGTCTGCATGGTATGATCTGTTTAACTTACCCTGCACTGAGACACTAAAGAAAAACTATGACCAGTTTTGCTTATGATCAAATAATGTCAAACTCTAGAAGGTAGTAAACGAGACAGGTTTCCTAAGCCAAACACAGAAGTTGACCTCATTGCTTCAAACCTGACCTTTATGGTCACATTTCTTCTTGTACAAGCATGTGTATTCTTTCCAGTAGCAGCCTAGAATATTTTGTTTCTTTCTGCTCCAGTAATTCTTATTAGTCTCTTTAAAACTAAATGTGGAGGGTCTACTATGTGCCATGTAAGGTTTCTAAGAGAAAGACACTTAATTTACAACTCCTTTCTGTGTGAGAAGCTGTCTTGCTCGTCCTCCTTGACTTTAGAAATGGAAAGGTGTGACATTTTAAGTTACCCTTTCTAGGCTGCTGGTCTCTGTTTGGTATTCAGATGGCCTGTGTGGGTTTAATATTTCAGCCAGAGACTGAATTTAGTCATTTTGCTTCCACCAAACACAGGCAGTCACTGCATTCATAGGACTAATGTTCTCAAAAAGCCACAAATGGCTGGCTTTTAAAAGTCACTGCTGAACAAAAATAACAAAGCATTTTGCCTAGGTTTTGCAGTACTAAGGTTAGATAATAGGATAAGACATAGTAAGTCAGATCTTACTATGGAAAGAAAGTTGATGTATCTTTGTTGACATCAGACTTGAAAGTTGGGAGATCCCAGTTTTGTTGTGGTCATTTCTGACTCCATCACTCATAATTTAATACGGTCTGTCATTGAATATCTTTCTATAAATGGCTCCTCCTGTACTCATCCTTTAAGACAGTGGGCTTCACTGGCTTCTGACTAGTTTCAAAATTTAGGACTAATAATTAAAGCTACTGTTACACAGCTCTTATTATTCATGGAACTCTAGTGGACATATATAAGAATAACACTTAATCTTCATATGTATGATTAAATGTCTCTATTTTACAGACAAGGAAACAAAAGCTTAACCAACTTGCTCAAGGTCAAAGCTTGAGCTCTTGACCTGCACTGTTCCTGTCCCCCAAAGTTAGTCCTTGGTATCTATTGGAGTAGGGCAGCTGGGCAGGGTTTGCAGTAGTTCATTTAGACCAGTCCTGCCTGGAAAAATTCTTTCTAACCAACCCTTCTTTCTAGTTCCTCCAGAACTTCTCCCATGGCTGCCTACCTAGCTCATGTCCTTCCTAGTTCATAGCCTTGCCTACCAGGCCTGGGCTATTTTTGTATTTTTTAAACATTCCCTTGCTCCTGCTATTCTAATGAATCATGTAAACAGTTGTCAAAATAATCTTCTACAAGTACTAATCTGTTCTTGGCTGTACCTGTAACTTGTGTTTTATAATGTAGGTATTTCCACTGCCACCACGTAATTTTATTTTCACTTTATGTTGTTATGGTTGTTTGTATAGATAAACAAACTGAGACCAACGCAGAGGTGGACTTACCCAAGGTCAAACAGTGAGTGCTTAGCAGTGGTGGAACTCAGTTTTTCTACCTTTCTCACTTCAAATCCAATAATCTTAGTGATCTTCATAGATGTTGCCTCAGAACGTTGACTGGTACTGAGAACAGGCACCCAAGATTTCCATTACTTTATGCTGTGATTTACAAGAGCAGTCTCCTCATGCTCCATAATTCATTCACATCTATCATCTCTGCAAGGTTCAGCCTCCTGTCAATCTACTCCCACAGGAAGCACTCCCTCTCTGCACAGCTCCTTTGGAACTGATTTTTTAATAAGTTATTATTATAACTCATTTTCATACTCCCCAAACGTCTTCACTCTGGACCTGAAACTCCAGTCTACAATTCATAAATTCCCCGATCATTACCCTTGTAAATATTCTTAATTCCCTCCCACTGATCATCCCTGATAAGACCCTGATCCTTTTAAAACCTGATTATCCACTTACTTGTCCCGGAAAGACTACTTCACGAGGAGCTCCACACAACTGTACCGAAAGTCACTCCAAACTTATATTATAACCAAAGAAGCCAAACTGGTAACTGACACCAGCAAGTGATGCAACTGTACTCCTACAGTAAATCTGCTCTCCCAGTCTCTGAGAGATCTACAGTGTGTGTGACTCCTGAAATCTCAGTTCATGGCTGGACTGCACACTTACCAAGAAAACACTCAGCATCCAATGAGATCCACATTTTCATACCACCCGAACTGCATGCGCACCTACACATTGTGCTTCCCCAAATCCGCCTAGGTGAAGGCTCGCTGTTTCACCCTAGCATGACTTCTCTGTGTTGGTCTGGACTACAACGCCTCTTGTTTGCTCAGTGACAGCCTTACAATTCTCTTCTACATCATCAAGTTCAGCTTAGATCTTGGATCCTTCTCATTAGCATACAAACGTGTTGTAATGTTATTCAAAAATAAATAATACCAAGAAACAAAACCAAACTAAAATTAAAAAAAAAAACTCTCTTATTCTCACACACCCTGGTAGCCTCATCCCATTTTCCTACTCCCATGCCATCAGGATTCCACTTTCTCATTCCTACAGTGTCTTTTGTTTGCTCCATTCCAACGGGCTTGTGTCTCTATCATCACATAGAAGCGGATCTTATCAAGGTCATCACAGAGCTCTATCCTGACAGAACAAATGATCAATTCTATTCTCATTTTACTTGACTCAGTAACATTTGGCTTTTTCTTGAAAAACTTCTCACGTTTTCTTCTCAGCTTTCTGCTTTCTGGCTGTTGTCTCCCCCAGGATTCATCTCTCTCTCTCTCTCTCTTTCTCTCTCTCTCTGTTCCTTGGTTTCAAATATCCTTTCCATGTTGATGATTATCAAATGTCTGTCTCTAGATGGAACCTCTTCTTGAACCCCAGATACACATAATCATCTCCAGACTTCCCTATTCAGATATCTAATACATATTTGAAACTTATATGACCAAAACTTCCCTCCACAAATCTTTTTTTTTTTTCCTGGTACTGAGGGTGGGGATCAAATTCAGGTCCTTGTGCTTGCAAGGCAGGCACAGTGCCACCGAGCTAAATCCCCAGCCCCAAAAATCTTTTCCTATGGCACTTTTCCATCTCAGTAAGTGTTAGAGCAGGCAAAGTCCTGGAGTTATTCCTAAATTCTTTCTTTCCTTTCTGGACTACATCCAGGCTTCTGTAAATCCTACAGGCTCCACCACCAAAACTTCTAAAATCTGTTTCTCATCATCTCACTATTACAGCTCAAATGTCAACTACCTACATCTCTCACCATGAGAGATGTATTGACCTCCTATGCATTAGTATCCACACCAGAACTGAAGTGATCTTTCTATATGTGTACTACATAAGGTCAGTCCATGTGGATTTCCATTACTCTTCGAATAAAATCCAAATTCCTTATCATGGCCAGAATATTCTACACTGTTGGCCTTTTGTCCCTGGGACATCCTCAAGATTTTCCTACCTAATGGCCTTTCCATGTGCTCTTCTTCCTGCTTGGAGCACTCTTCCCCCAAATGTTCACATGACTGCTTCCTTGACTGATGTGGCAGGATCTCTCTGACAAAAAACAAATCTTTTGTGGCAAAGTTTCTGTCAATTTGTTCACTCCTACATATTCAGCATCTTAAGCAGTTATGGAAAATAGTATGTGATGAATAAATACTTGCAGCCTGATCCTCTCTACTAAAACCTCCAGTAGTTCCCTGGGATGGGCATTATGTTTTACCTGGGCATACAAGGACCACAACAACTAAATTATTCCAACTTCTCAAACTTTATTTCTACTGCATTAAGTCAGTTCTCTTCCATGGTGGGAATGCTTTGTTTGCTCAGTCTATTTCCTCTGCCTGTAGTATCCTCACCGTATCTCTCCTCTTGTTTAAACTCTATGGTTCTACCCAAGTTTACCTTAAGAACCATCAGGACGTGACACTCTCCTGCATCACACAGATCATAACAACCTCTCTCTATTCCAAATTCCTATTACCTTTATGTCTGCTCTTTTAACAAATCACTGTGCTGATGTTTTGTATCAGTCCTGTCTCCTCAATTAAACTGAAAACTAAGAACAGATGATAAAAATTTTGACTCTCTAGTAACCTTCAGAGAATGACTCACACATTACAGACAGGATTTCATGTTTGGACATTAAAAACGCATGTCCAATGCCTCAATTAATATAATCTAATAGCAGCCATTTTTGTTAGCAGCCATTTTTTTTACTGCCTTTGAGTTCTAGGAACTATGAGAAGAGTTTCTAATATCTAGTTTAGCAGAGGACACCTGACAGATATGATTTCATTACTAATATTTTATTTATCCTACATAGATCTTTAGCCTGTATTTACGCATTATAACTATCAAAGTTTGATTTTTTTAATGTTTTATTACTCCAATTATGTTCTATTTTTTAAAATCCAGAAGTGAAATTTAACAAAACTATAACTCAAGAAGATAAATATAAAAATTAAGTGAAATGCCATTAAGTCAAATGCTTAGCTCGTGCAGGGCCATCATATAATTTATAGGTTCTTCTCATATGAATTTTATCCGGCTAGAAGAGAAGCTGTACATATTTATGATTTATAATCATAAAAATCTTTATTGATAATGTTTGCATTTCTGTGCACTGTTCTATGTGCCCAGTCATGTGGGAAGAAACAAGAGAACACAAAGTTTCAGCCAGCTGCTCTGAATGCATCTACATGAGAGACAAGGCTACAAGGATAGAGGGATGATAAGGAGCAGCACTTTCACTAAGTGCTAAATAGAGTCACGACAATAGCAACGCTTCACTGTTTTAAGAACTATATTGTCTTCATTTGCTGCGCTCCACTCTGCAAAGTCAATGTTATTATCTTTATTCTGCAGATAAAGGAACTGAAGCTTTCAGAAACTGACTCTTCCTTCATAAATGACAAAGCTTGGGTTTAAGTAGATTATTATGGCTGCAGACTTAGTGTGCTTGACAATACAGTATCATTCATTCATACATTCACTTATCTGATCATGCATTCATATTTAGTACCAATCATATACCTCACACCGTTGTAGGTGCCTGGGATACAAGGCCGTGAGTTACCACCCTTATCCTCTAACGCAGTGACGGTGAACCCATTACAACTCTCAATGATAACAAACAGCTGGCTGCAGCACATGTGCTCTAAATCCACCACCACTGCTCTAGTGTCTGAAGATAGGGAAAGAGGTAAAAATAACACAGTGAAGAAATTCACCGCAATATTCCTAAGGTCTGATTTAAGAAATACTGTCACAGCAAACCCATCCTTATTCTATCATTCATCCTTTCATCCATTCAGTCATTCAAGAAATATAAACTCAGTCTACTAGATGATGGCAACTTGCTAGGTCTTGAGACTAACATGGTAAAAAAGGAACTTATAGTCTGGACTGGGGGGATGGGAAATAAGCTATTCATAGGCAATGTGAGGGTCTAAAAGATAAACTCATGGATTTTTTTGGGGGGGTAATCTTTTTTATTCCAGGTGCCTTATTCCATTTAAAATTCCCAAAACCATCCCAGACACTCAAGTCAGAAATTGGGAGTCTTGCTCTGTCACCCTGTTGCTCATTCACCTATAGCCAATTCTTGACTAAATTCTTTCACATCTATGTCCTGAGTTTCTCTCTTCCTCACTCTTTATTCCCACAGCCACGGCTTCAACTCCTATCTTCACAATTTTTGTCTCGTTTCCATATAATTACAAAAATGATCTTTCTCCTGTGTCCTAAGACCAGCAGCATTCTCTGTCCACCCGTGTCGCATTTGTCACTTCTCTTACCCTAAAGTAAACTTAACCTTTTTTTTTTTTTTTTTTTTTTTTGTACAAGGGATTGAACTCAGGTCCTTGCGCTTGCAAGGCAGGCCACCAAACCACTGAGATAAATCCCCAGCCCTAAAGTAACCTTTTAAGTATAAATTTCAACCTTAAATTTCTGGGCTCAGAATTCTTTAAAAGCTCCTCTCCATTTAGGAAAAATCTGAACACCTAAATCATCAGAGGTCCCGGCTGGGTTCCTGCCCTCTTTCCAGTCTTATTTCCTGCTGTGCCCTCCACTGACCCCATGCATACTTCTATGCTTTACTGATACAACATAGAAAATACTCCCTCCTATGGGCAGCCACTTCTAACATCCTGCCCTGAGCTAGATGAACCAGCATAGTCCTTTCTCCTCTGGCTATCACTATACATTATTCAATGAGTTTAGTGACTGATCGTTAAACATCCCAATTAAAACATCATGCTAGGGCCGGGGATTTAGCTCAGCGGTTCGGTGGCCTGCCTCGCAAGGGCAAGGACCCGAGTTCGATCCCTGGTACCAAAACAAAACAAAAAAATCATGCCATTTTCAGAGACAATAATACTATAATTTATCATGTATATCATATCATGTATATGACATATATATATATATATATATATATGTATATGATATATTCTGCCTCAAACCCCAGAAGTTTTCATGACCTCTATTTTATAACTAAGGAGGTTACTTACCCAAAGTCATATGATACGAAAGCGGCCTAGTTAGGATTTTAATTCATACCACCAAACACTATTATAGCACTTACTACACTGTATGAAAAGTATCTGTGTACTCAGCTCTCCACTAGGACAGGATGCTCCCTGAAGACAAAGAACCTTATGGTATTTGTATTGCACAGAGGAAATGTTTTAAAATGAATGAATGAATGAATAAATGATGAATGGACAGCTACATTTCAACCAAGGCAAACTAACAGTCATGAATTTCCAGGCCTGGAGGAGGAGACATGTGGCTGGCTTGAGCCATTGCCCTGCACCTGGGCCACTCACTCATTGCTTCTATCTGCACGTGGATGAGGTTCTCGATGTCCTCCTGCAGCGTCTGGTGGGGCTTCAGGGGGATGGGCAGGTAGCCATAGTGATGTCTGTTGCAGAGGTACATCTGAATGCCTGAGAATCCAAGAGTACAAAAGTCAACCAATAAGAACACACACTTCTTAGTGACAGCTAAGGGAAAGGAGAACAAAGAGATCTCAAAAATGTTCTTCTATTTTTAAAAGAAAAACTCAGCATTGGGGGATCATGAAAAATCTGGGCTATTCTTCAGCCCAGAGGAAATTGATTTTTCTCTATAGCGAAATGGCATACTCTTGGCCTAAAGCGAAAACTGAGGGCATGAAGGGATCAGAAGGGAGGCAATGAATTCCCATTCAAGAGAGCAGAGTGGAACACTGTAATCTACTTACAGGAAATAAGGAGAAAATGAGGAATGAAATCCATATTTGATATAAAAGCAAACCAGAAAATCCTGTAAGGACAGATTATTAAAGCTAAATCTAGGCATATGCAGACTAAAAAATAAAAAATTATGAAGGAAATTTAAAATCCTCCATGATTCTTCTACATTTTATTTCTTCCCTTTACAAACATGGATTTGGAGTCAACTCAAGACGTAAAAACTTCAAAAAATTTTATAAAGGGGCAAAAGAAAGCCTGCATTTCAAGTCCTCTTAAGAACCTTCAATTTGACTCTCTCAACAATGCATCACATCCCATAATAAGTAAGACATAACAAAACAGACTGCTAGAAATATGGGGATCACGATGGTCTCCTATAGATCCAGCAGTAGAAAGTCCTAATTAAGGCTGCTGAGTGAAGAGTCTGCCAGTGTCTGGCACATGTACCTAAGACTGTGATTTGTTAATTGACGCAATCATCAATGTTTCCTGAGAAAGAATTATGTGTGTTGTGACTTCTCTATTTTATGCAGCTGAAATTTCCACCAGTCAGACTACACTACCTGACCAGTTAGGTGAAGCTGTCTTGTAGAATTAACAGATGAACAAAAAAGAAAAGGGTTTTTTTCTTCCACCTTTACTGAATCTAGCTTCTGTCTGGGCTGGGCTATCACCAGGACTGTCACTTCTCTTGCTTTCTTCCAATGAACTTATTAGCTCTGCTCTTTGCCAACATGAATGCTTATGGTGAACTTCAAACTCTAATGCATTTTCTTGAAAAACAGTGATAAATTCGTGAAGTAGAAGAAAAAGATTTAATATTTAGGATGGCTCTCTATCATAATTAGGTAAACTATTTTTAACTTCCCAAGCTTTCATAAAAGGGAATATGATATCCAGCCCAGCTAACCATCAAGTAACAGGAAACAGGAAAGGCATTTTCAGATATGTAAGATTATAAAATATTTACTTTCCATGACTGGATGATGTGGAAGGAGGATGAAGAGGAAAAGAAGGAAGAGGAGAAAGAGGAAGATAAAGAGAAGGATAAGGAAGAAGAAGGGAATTATAAATGTGTGAAAAAAAGTTTAGGACACAAGCAGAAGTCAATGCATGAGAGAAGAGAAATGAGACCCACGTTGATGGCTTTGACATTTCTTAGATTACAGGGTATCAGAAGACTTCCAAAGGGACATCTTCAAGACATGCAATAGGGTGCATCTGATGGATATGAGGATTTGGAGAGGAGTTCAAGAAAATTAATGATTACTTTGTTACTGTATTTGTAATAATAAAACTAAGCAAAAAGGGGAGTATAGTTATTTAGATAAGGGAAAACTAGTTAGAGTCTATAAGTGGCTGAGCTTGGAGTTAGGTTTATGTGATTATAACAACAAAAACACTATCCTAAATTATACTTAGAGGACAAGGTGAGGAGAAGAATTGTTTGCATGGGGTGGGAACAAAGGGCAGAGGGACAGCTAACTCTTCCTTTACTGAAGTGGAAAATCAACAGAAAAATGCCTAAAGTAAGCCAAAAACTAAGGAAGTAGCAACACAAGTGTGTTATTTAGAAAGCTATATAAATACTATATTAATACAGTCATCTAAAGAGGTAAAAGTGGTTATCTTGTGAAATGCTTTTGGAGTGATGTATAGGAAACTGTTCATCTTTTTTTTTTTCTTTAGCTGTTGCCAATGTGTTTTTATAATTAAATTTATTGGTACATTTTAGGTCTAAATAATGATCACATTCATCAGAGGGAATTTGTATCTGTACATCATATATCTTGATTCTTTTTTCCCCCATTCCTCATTCATCTTTAAATAGGCCCTTGGTAACTATTTGAACTCTTCAACTCATGGGTAATTTGATAAAAATAAAAAATTAAAAAGGAAATGGGTTGATAATTAGATAAAGTTTATGAAGAATCTGGTATACTCTGTGAAAGCTGCTTCTGTGAAAAGCAATTTTTCTCTGAAAAAGAGAATTGAATGACATAATTGACTTTGCCTTTGTTTTTAGATATCATTCTTACCTACTCATGTTAGCACCTTAATACCACAGATTAATATAATGATTTCTAACTATGATGATAAAAAATAATAAGTGTGGTTTGTCCAAGGCCTCACAGTAAGTCATTAAAGCCAAATCTTTGTCTCCGATGGCCAGTGCCAAGGGTTTTTACCCTTTCAGGATTCAGAAGCTTAACCTTGGGGCCATTAATCACTAGGAATTGTCCAAAGAGGAGATTCTTCTGATCATTACCAGTGAGGCCGTGGATGCAGAACTGCCTGCCATCTCCACATCGCTTTTGATTCCTGCCTCCTTTGAATCACAGCAGACATTTGAAAGACAATCGGATGGAGAGCATTCCTGTGGTGAAGACTCTGAGCCCTAATCACCAGCCACATGGGAGGTAACCTGGCCACCAGCTTCACTACAGCCACAGAGATTTGCTTATGACCTTGTGCTCTCTTCTTGGGTCAGATGGGCTACGAAGTCTAACACATCAAAAACTTGGATTGTCTCTCATTCATCACTTGTATGTTGTAATAGCAATAATCATTTTTTCCCAATTTTTATCTTTTAGTACTGCCCATATTTTTAGTACATAACTGATTACATTCCTAATGGGGAAGTTGGTACATGCACATAACACACCTTATTCCTTTTCTTCTCCTTCTCTCTCCATCACTTTCCCCTCCTTCCATCTCTTGGTTCCTTTACCTTTTGAAAAAGAGCTATCTCCCTATTTCCTATTATCTATCTTTCACTTTGCTCTTAATTTATATTGGAAGCTTCTCATATAAGAAAAACCATGCAACATTTAAGCTTGTGTGTCTGATTTATTTTACTTAACATTACAGTATCAAGGTACATCCATTTTCCTACAAATGACTCAAGTTTACCTTCTTTCTGGGTGAATGGTACTCTACTGTAAATAAATGCCACATCTAATCTATTCATTCATTGATGGACATATGGACCACTTTCAAGGTGTAGCAATATTGAACTTCTACAAACATGGGTATGCATGTATCACGGTGATAAGATATCTTTAAATCTTTCAGGAAGGTACCCAAAAGGAGAATAGCTGAGTCAAGTGGTTTTTCTAATTTTAGGTTTTTGAGGAATCTCCACACTAGTTTCCCTTGTGGTTGTACTAGTTTACACTCCCACCAACAATGTAGAAGGGTATCTTTTTCCCAGCAGCCTTGCCAGCATGTGTTATTATTTGATTTCTTGATGACAGCCATCTTTCTGGAGTAAGATGGAATCTTGATGTTGTTTTAATTTGCATTAACCTAATGGCCAGAAATGTTGAACATTTTTCACATATTTATTAGCCATTTGTACTTCTTCTTCTGAGAAATGTCTATTCATCTCAGCTGCCCATTTTTTGATTGAATCTTTTACTTTTGGCGGGCCTAGTATTTGAATTTTTAAAATATATTTAGATATTAGTCCACTGTCCAAGGAATAGATGGCAAAAAAAAACTTTTCCCCACTTTGTATATTCACTCTGTCGGTTGTTTTCTTTGTTGTTCAGAAGCTTTGTAATTTGATATGGTCTCATTTGTTGATTCTTGATGCTATTTCTGGTGTAATTAGGGTTCTGTTTAGAAAGCTCTTCCCTATGCTTCCATCTTCAAAAGTTTTATCTATTTTATCTTTCAGCAGATTGTTTCAATTTTAACATATATCTTTGGTACATTTTTTAAAAATTTAGTACACGGTGAGAGGATATCTTCTGTATATGGATAGTCAGTTTTCCCAGCACCATTTGTTAAAGAGGCTACCTTTCCTCCAGCATGTTTTTGGTCATGATTTGGTTCTTTTGTCAAAGATCAGACAGCTGGATGTGCTTGGGGCTGTTTCTGCATCCTCCATTCTGCTCCACTGATCCACACCTGTTTTGTGGTAAAGTAAAATCTGAGTGGAAGAAGTTGGACCAAAGTCTGGGGCTAAGATAGTCCCAGGCAGGTCCTTGGCTTCCTTCTGCATGTTTATACCGTGATGCGCTAATAGGTGATACACAGCTCGGGAATTTCAGAAAAGTGAGAATCAAAGAACACTAGTCACCTGTCATCCTCTTTCAAAAGCAAGGGAAGTGCTTTGCTTTGGACCCAAGGAAGGAAGAACCTCAAGACACATCGTGGGTGCCTCATTCTTGTTAGTCTTGAAAATACTTCGAGATCAGTGAAACACTACCTCAGAAATAGCTTTAATTTCCCCCAAATGACAGTGACTTGCAACCTGTCCAGTCTGTGACACCAATGTGGCCCTTGATAGTCACTATTATCGCTAATAGCTATTTTTTTCACTGTTCTAAACTCTACAACCAGAAGAGAAGCTAATACAATCCTAGGTTGAGAGACAGAGCTGGCTGGGTTGGTCTCTCCTCCTTTTCCACCTGTCCTCTCCCCAGATCGGGGCCTGGACCTCCATACCTGCTTTGGCCTGGGCCAAAGCTCTGGGCCTCCACACCTGCTTTTAATGTCCTGGAAAGACCTTTGGAAGGTGAGAGCATAAAGTCCTGGTGAACAGGCCAAGCAAATGACAGAGGTGAAACATTCCTATCCGGTCTATGCCACTTTTCCAGCTCAAATATCCGGGTATTGGTTTTCCAAAATATATCATCATAATTTAGGGCACCGGTCACAGTAATACTGTGTGCAGTGGCCATAAAAGAGGTCTCTGTTAGGCAGCGGCCATCGTTGTAACTGTTAATAGATCACTCACTTGGACCATCCTTGTTTTAAACTGAAGCAAAAGGACTGGCACAACTTGAAGGGACAGAAAGGCCTTGATTCTGCTTCCCATCCTGGAGAAGTCAGAGCAAATCATGAAATAAGCCTTTCCATTAACATCGACACAAGAACCTTCATGGAAACACCAGTCCACCTGAGGATTGCTTTGTCCCTCAAAAATGTATGCCTAAAAAATGCCTATACCTGGCAAATCGCTGTAAATTGTTCTGGCAACCAAGAGGAAAAAAAAAATCAGCTTTACACATTTCTACCAAATACTTATTTTTCTAACAAATACAACACTGACAAATGGGGCACCTAGGTAGGGTCTAATGTATGAGTTGCAGATTGAATTTGCATTAACATCGGCCAACAATATCCCAGTGCTTGGGGTCTTCACAAAAATCTGTCTTGCCCTGATTTACACGGCCGCAGTGAGTTTATTTTATCATCATTTTGGCTTCAAAACCAATTTTTGCTAGTGGTTAAGGGGTACAATTCTGGCACATAGATAATGGTCCTTGACCTCTGTTGGGAAGGTTTTAATTAGTCTAATAAAGTTGTACTTTAGTAATGCCATCTATCTTTCTGTTAAACTGTTTTTGTGAGTTTGTATCCTCCCTGACTTCATGTGAAGGTTAAAAAACAAAAAACAAAAACTTTCCCTTTCTCTTGCTTGTCTTTCTCAAGAAATATATAGATTCCACTGGAAATATTTTTTCAGTGATTCACAAAGACTCAAGTCCAGCTTCCTTTCCTTTCATGGGGATGGAGGCAGGAATTTCTACCTGCCTTTGATACCTGTCCTGTCTTTTCCTCTGGAGTGAGAGAACTGGGTCCCATGACCTCATAGAATAAAGATGACATTCTGAGCCTCCCTCCCAGTGAGTGTTGTCCTCTTCCCAAGTTCTGGCTGAGGGAATGAGTATAGAAGTGCTGGGTTCAGTCTCCGGATCATAAACCCTTGTAGGGATGGAGCAAGTCCTCCCTCCGTTCCTGCCTTGATGGTCGTAAGGCAACCTAAATCTGACCATTAAGAATCTGACCATTGAGGGTAGAATGACAAGGAAGGAGTCTGGTTCTCCAAAAACTTAGTGGAACAAAGCCATGACAGCAGCTCAGATTTGTAAAAGAAGAAAGAAACTTTCACTTTTAAAATCTGAGGACTTTGCTAGTGTTGTTCTGGGTCTCTATCACCATTTTCTAATGAATAAAGGGACTCCTATAGTCAACAATAGCAATGCATTTAGTACCATAGAGAACAATCAAATTCCTACAACTCCCAGAGTCATCCCTGCTGCCTCCGCCTCAACTCAGTCCCCCAAAAGAAAATGGATTCTGAGGGCAGGGCAGTCTTGGCTCTTGGTCATCAGTGGTCACAGGGAAAAGCACACTGAGGGTTCCTGTATGGTTACTATAGACAATTCAGGCCTCTGACTCTACCTGAAAAGGAAGTAGCTTTTTGCTGGATGGGAAATGATTAACTGATTGTGGTCCTGGGATTGAACCCAGGGCCTTTTCACTGAGCCACATTAACCCCTCCCCCTTATTTTTTAAAAATTTGAGACAAGGTCTTGCTGCCCAGGTTAGGCTCGAACTTGCAATCCTCTTGCTTCAGCCTCCCAGAGTTCTGGGATTACAGGCATGTCCCACTGCACCCTGTTGGGATTTTTTTTTTTAATAAGAAGCACAAAACAAGGGAGCTAATCATTTTGAGTGTTTCCATGGCGGCAGTACAGCCAAACACAAACAATACCTGCTTGCCTGCTGGAGAAGGCAAAGACGATGATGTCATCAAAAGTCCAGGTGTAGTCCTGGTGTGGCGGGTAGAAGGTCAGCTTGTCAGAGGCCTCCTTCCTGAGGTCAATCAGGAAGGTGGAGTGGACCATGGGGACAGGAAAGCAGCCCATCCTCTTCCATTCTCTAATCTGAAGGTAGTCTGGGGTCCGTTTGTAGAAGCCCTGGAAAAGAGCAAATAGGTGGGCTGTGTTCTCTGATCCGTTGACTTCATCCTTCTCAGTCACCAGCTGGACTGATTCCTCCAATTCATCATCAGTTAGGAGAAGTCTCCAGAGTCACACTTACTCCTCTGATCTTGGCCTAAGCATTTCTAAATGAGCTTAAGAAATGCAATCTCCATATAAAACAATACCTAAAGGGTCTTTGTATCGGAAATAACTTTGATGCCAGCATATCTCCTGGTTTAATAATTTCACAAAGGTGTATTATGTTGCCTTAGGATTATATGTGAAGTATGAGTATTAGGAGGTGGTAGAGCAGATCTGTGGAGAGCACAGTTCTAGAGTCAGACTGGCTGAGGTCACATCCACCTCGGCTCCTTACTGTCTGTAGCTGTAGGCCAGATGACACTGCCTTGCTCTGCCTACTGTTTCTCTCAAACCGGGATGATGCTAGCAACTTCCCCACAGGGTTTTCTGCAAAAACTTGTGAGTGAAACTGTGATGTACTTGAAATAATCCCTAGCATCAAGAAAGCATCAACAAATACTGGCTAGTATTAAAATGACTACATTACTCTGTGTAAAATATTTTAATCAAAGACATTAATTAGATATGAAAATGAGAGCCTCTTTCAGTGCACTTATTTATTTGATACTCTGGTGGAGCTGCGATGGATCCATATTTTTCAGAGATTCGCCTTTTGAAATTGCTACCTGTACAGTAACACAGGACAACCAGTCTTCTTCCTTTGTGATGTCAAACACACTGGTTTTGAACAACTTAGGTATCATACAGCCTGTTTCTCCTGCAAACCCGACTGTTCATTCAACAAATACCCACTGACTACCTGCTATAATCCAGGCACTATGGGAAATTGTGGGGATTTAATTTAAAAAGACAGCCCCAGGCTTAGCTTTCACAGGGTAAAGAATCTAGTACAGGAGCTTACACTCCAGGGACACTGCTTCTGACCTATGAACAAAGCTCAGTTCTTTCCAGAAAAGATGAAGATGCATCTCAACAAATCATGCCTAAAAGTATGTGAAAGCTTAAAGGACATTTTAAAAGTGGGGTAGTTGATAGAAGACTCAGTGGACTAAATGCCAAATCTGACAAGGGCACAACACTCCTTGGACACATAAGGCCCTGTGTAATCTTTAATCACACATAATCCTTTCTCGGGTGCATTCCTAGCATGATGTTGGCAACTCCACATTGGCACTCAGCCTCTTGTGCCTCTGTGACTGTCCATGACGGTCAGCATTAACACTAACCATGGCACAAGGCAGAGGGATGACAGATGAAAACTGAGATGATGTTAGTCTTAGAGTCAATCTTGTGGTCTTCTAGTTGCTGATCTCAGTCCGTACTTAAGCTCTTTAGTTCCCTCCTAATGCTTCAGCTGATGAGCATTCCTCCACAGGATAAAGGGACCTCTGAATCTGCCAAGGGCTGCCTGAGGACCGATGTCAATGCAGAGCTCTAGACTTCTTATGAACAATGTTCTCAGAATGAGAAACTTGAAAAATTAATGACAGTAATGAATTACTGAGTATCCTGGGCATGAGGATGGTGGGGAAGGAAGCAGAGAAAGAAAGAGAGAAAAGGAAAGTAATTATGACTCCTACAGAGAGGCAGAATGATGGCTGTGACTTTTTTCCACATAAATTTAATTTTATTAATAATAATTCCTGTTCATTGGGCAGACATCACCAAGGTAATTTTGTTTTGAATGTGTTTAAAGGCTCTGGAAATGAGACCCTGCCTTGAGCTTATGATGTCACTGACCATTTCTGTTTCTGACCTTGTAGAAGCCAAAAATAGATGGAGGAAAATTAAAATTGCTCTAAGTTGCACAAACTAGTTTTATTGTGCAAAATAAACTCAAACTTGAGTTTTACTGTGCAAAATAAATGAACACATTTCTCCTATTTGATTTTAATAATTAAGACAAATAAGGAAATAATCAGTAACTTGAAGGTTGTGGTCATGAGGCTAACCTCCCTCGACCCTTGTTGCTGGTGGCAAAGCGTAACTCTTTAAAAATGAGGGATTCTGCCCTGTGAATCATTCCAGATTATTAACTGAAACTTCAAACCAAGCTACTATTACGTTTTCTACCAAGAAACTAAGTGGACTCTGTAAATATAAACTTACTGTCTCCCTGAAAGACATACGGATAATACAAATCATTCAAAAATCTCTCGGAAGTAAGGGAAATAGTTGCAACCAAAGAGGAAATGCCTCGTCTAGTGTTGTGTTACAGCCACTGATTGTTAAATTTTCAGAAATTTTGCAAAGCAGTTGAAATGTTGGTAGCCTGAAATTTGTAAGAGCAAAAGTCATGTTAATCTTTATCGTTCTAGTAATATCTCTGATAGCAGCTTTCATATTTTTAATAACTATATCATTAAGTGGCTATACTGCAGTTTAGTTAACTTTTCCCTTAGCTTAAACAGCATTTAAATTACTATGAGTGGAGGGGAGTATTTATAACACAGAAATTGGCAAATATTACCAATTAAGGTTTTCTCCCCCGAGAAAGCCAGTCATTAAACATTTATCACCACACTAATAGCTTCATTCCTCCCAAAACTGAACCAAACTTAAAAGAGAGACAAAATTTAGACCTCAGGCCATAAAAACAGTTGACAAGTTAATTTTCTCCATTGGTACATTGTAATCATATATACATATATACACATAAACATTATACATATATATATTTGATCAGTTTAATTGCAAAATTTTTGTTAGGTAAAACAATGTAAATTTTGCTTTGCAAAATTTCTGAAATCTAATTCATTAACTAAAGAATAAAAACATAAACAGCCATAAGCATTCACTGTAACAGAGCTCTAGACTTTGAAGATTTGACATGGAAAAAAATGAAAGGAATTCACATTCTGTTTTTAACTTGAATTTTGGAAGCATGAGCTACCATGTCAGTTTTAATCATTAGACTCTATAGAAATAAGTGTCTAATGTCAACAGAAATACTTAAGTTCTTTGACTCAGTAATTCCACTTTGAAGAAGCTATCCTAAGGAAATGATCTTAAATATTAAAAATTTATATTAATCATGATAGTCATTATAATAGTTAAAAGTTTCAAACAACTTACACGTTGTTCAAACTAAGAGAAAGATTAAGAAAATCACAGTGTACCTATAATGATAATATAATTATTAAAAACATACAAACCGCTCTTTCTGGTGTTTAGTGGTAGGGATACATATAGAAATTATTGTAGTTTTACTTTTTTTCCATTTCTAAATTTTTCTACTTGAGGTAACTTTGTAACGATAAAAAATTAATCTTTCTTTTAAAATTTCTGAATTGGGGGAGGAAGGACACAAATCCCAGCATGCTATGTTGGTTAATTTTGAGCTTCTAAGCCAATCTCTTTTGACTATGCATTGATAATTATTCTAGAGGAGCTTACTGGGTTCTAGACCTGGCTTTACCTCTTTTTCTGAAATGTTTGTTCTAGTAGCCTGCATGGTAAATCTCATTTGTGAACCAAAACACTTGCCTGAGGTGTGATTCCACACCAGAAATTAGAGTACAGGCCCCGAGACTCCAGCATGGGTGCCACAACGGTTTTGTTTTCTGCAATCATTAGATTGAGAGTCTGTGGATTAGTCAGGAAGTTGTCGACATCTACGAACTAAGAAAAGAAAAGGAAATGTCAAGTGCAAAGGCATTTTTCAGTAACGGCTTTAAGAATAATCCCACACATCTAAAGGATCCCAAGATGTTGGACCAGGATCTATCCTCCTTAGTGAAGCTCATTGCAGTTGGGTGGCTTTCACTCTATCAGAATACACTCAGTCTACCTTCAACATGCTCAGCTGTACACGAGCCACTGAGCAATGGACTGGTGCTGGCAAACTGGACACAGGTTCAACGAGGACCCAACCTAGGTAATGGTTTAAGTGAAAAACTTAAGTAAGGACAGCTTCCAAGTCCTTAATGATTCATTCAAAAATACTTACTGAGTGTCCACTATCCACATAGATGGCCAGATCTATTTACATATTCTGGGCCATTCTGGCCCAGAACAGACCCATACATGTTTTTTTAATATTACAAATAGAATTTTGTTTAAAGTACATTATATCAATCTGTATTAGCCAAATAGCACGAGTTCCTTAGCAGAAGTCCACATTAAATCTGATTCTCATTCTTAGCAGGAGCCCATATTAACATGGATTCACTTACGGAAGATGTGTAGTAACAGATTCTACCATAAGAAATAAATGATCAATGAAGTGTGCAGCTAACATGAAGGATTTTAAGTCATGTATCTTTCATCACAATTAAAAAATGATCAGAAGCATTCATTCCTATAAAAGTCAAAGTGCTCACCATAATATCTGTAGTTTGGCATTCATATATTTCAATAACATTTAAATAGCTCCGTATAATGCTAAATAATGTCAGTAAAATGTGAAAATTTCTAAGAAACATTTGTGTTGAAAATGTATGCAATAAATTGTTAGGCTGATATTTGGAGTGTCTGAGGACCGGAGATGGACATAGGCCAAAGGCATTCAGTCCCTTTAGGAATCACAGTTTAGTGAAAGCAGATGTCCATACACTTAATAAAAATGATTATTGGTGGTGTTTCTAGTATTACATTGCAAAACTTTTGGTCAAGAAACTTGTAGAGAAACAAATGTCTCTCAGGAAAGGGGGAGCCACTTTTTCTCTTAGTAAGCTTTCCTCCTTTCCCACTGAGACAGGTTTATTGAGAATGAGGATGTACTGATTTCCAATCATTATCAATTCCAGCATTTTTCTGGACCAAGGAAAAACAATGGAACCTCTCAATGTAGAGAATTTTGCACAAGAGCCCAGCAGAATTGGAAACAACCAGGGAGCCAAATCAGAGATTTCATTCTCCAAGTCACCAGGAGCAAAAGGGAATAAGGCTTCAGAGGTGTTCTGATATAATCATTTTCTCATATTCCTAAAATTCTTCCAAAAAGTTAAGACAATTTATATTGCTTTACCTAATAAAAAGACTCAAGAGTCTCTTATGCATATTACATAAACTAGACCAAATGGTTCAAGAATTTGGTCTATCAGGAGTGAGTCGGAGATGAAGTCTAGGCAACACCATACTAAGTTACCAGAATTTTCTTGTGAGCCTTTCACTGGGGAGATGGTGTCTAAACAAAGGCTGTTTTAATTATTCCCATGGCCCTGGTTTTTGGACAACTTCTTTGGATACATTCTGAATAACAGCTGACAAGAAATCAATCAATGGTTTTTTTACCAGAATGTAGTCTGACCATTTCTCCCTCGCAGTTCGAAGGGCCGCCTGTCGTAGTTTCATGACATGGGAAAACCGGGAGCTTGGCCAGTGCTTTGGCCCAATCTCATCAGGGTAAGACCTGAAAGCAGAATAGTATTAATAGTTTATAATTATTGCGGGCCTACAGGTACCAGGCTATGTCCTAAATGGTTACACATACTAACTCATTAGCAGTTAGCGACAAGTACAGTTACTGCTATCACCATTCCCGCATCACAGATAAGGAAACTGGAGCAATGAGAGATTAAGAAACTTACTGAACACAAGAGTCTGTGTATGAAGCATATCAGTGGGTTCTAGCAAGAGTCCTATGACCTGCTTACTCCCCATTTCACAGTTGAGGATATTGGTGTTGAGTAGATAACTCACCCAGTGCTATAATAAGAGGTACAATCAGAATTCAAATCCAGACAGCTCAGCCCCGATGCTCTTTGATGCTTTTTAAAATACATCCTGCCATCAAATAAATTTGATGCATATTGATATATATTTCAGTGTAAAAATATAAGTTTCTCAGGAAAAACAGAGATTAGTTTAGTTGGTGGAGTCTCAGGAAATGATTCCACGGAGCTTAACACATTGATTTATCCCTTGTAAAGTGAGGTCAGAGAACAGGGAACAGACATATCCATAGCACCCTGAAGGCTTCTTTTAATATCCACAAACCAGCCAGGCAGACCAAGACTTTTTCATTTTTGCACTGGAATTGAACCCAGGGCTTCGAGGGCAAGTAAGTGGTCAGTGTACCCTCCAGGTTCCTTCTGAAAACCCCAACTGGTATGGACACTGGTGCTGCCACGGTAGCCCCCAAACTGGCCACCACTTCAAGTTTTTGTAGCTGTGCTGGCTGTACATTTGCGATAATGAATGAACAATCACAATGGTGAGACTGCTGACACACAGCACAAATACTGCATTGTTTCTCTTATATGAGAGACCTGAAGTACAAATAATTTAATGAGCAAAATAAAAGACAGATAATATGAAATAAGAGATAAATCCTCTGAAAATGGGAAGAAGATCTAGAGGAGGAGGGAAAAGAGAAGGGAGGAAGGGAGGACAAGATGAATACAAAGCACTAAGATGTGTTATGTACATGTACCAATCTCCAGAATAATATAGTCATTATGTACAGCAAGTATGTTCTAATAAGCATAAAAATGAGACTGTAACTGAACAAGTAAGGTTAACAAAACTATGTATAGCACAAGAACTCTTTGGAATGTCCTCCCCAATTACTGCTCCAACAAAAATCAGTGAAATTCCTGTTTTTCTCAATATAGTGCCAAAAAATAATGCCTTCGCTAATATTTTTCACACTGACCTCGGCATACAATACATATAGTCACAATCTGGCCAGGTGTGGTGGTGCACGCCTGTAATCCCAGCACTCAGGAGGCTGAGGCAGGAGGATCACTGTGAGTTCGAGACCAGCCTGGGCTACACAGTGAGTTCCAGATCAGTCTCACTACATAAGTGAGACCCTGTCTCAAAAAAAAAACAAAAACAAAAAGGTCTGGTTTCAGAGAACATTATCAGAATGTAAGGTAGGCACACAAAGTCTTTCTATGCAGTTTTGTTAAAGAAAAAAGAAACCAAATTCCATTATAGGAAACTTAAAAGGAGTGTTTAAAATCTTTTATAATATTCAAACTTTATTGTTCAATGTTTAGTGTATCCATATGTTTGGATATACTAAATATATAGCGAGACTAAAGGACAATTTTGTCCTAAAATGACCTTTGCTACTTTTGCTAGTGTTACACAAATTTGGCTTTCAATAAATGACTTACACTGGGAAAAAATTAGGTAACTCATTTATTCTACTTCTACAGTTCCTTAAGGTGGAACTATAATAGTCTTGGGAACATTTACAATAAGTTCTAAATACATTCATTCTTCATCTTATCTACTCATTTGTTCATCCAAAAATATTAATTTAGCGCTTGCTGAGAATGTAGCGGGGGGGAATTATAAAGTGTGTACATGATCTAGCCCCTGCCAAATAACCTACAATTTATTTAGAATAAAATAAATTTATTTAGAATTCAAATCTGGGCAGCTCAGCCCTGATGCTCTTTGATGCTTTTTAAAATACATCCTGCTATCAAATAAATTTGATGCATATTGATATATATAATTATAAAATGCATACATTGCATAGTTATATATATAATTATAAAATACATAAATTGCATAGTTAATTAACAATTCTAGTTACGTATATTGTGTCAAAAAGGATCATATATGAAATAAGCAATCCAATTGTTGAAAGAAAGGTAAATCTTTTTAAGTGGCACGATTAGTTTTTTGTAGTACGTGTGATTCAGGCTAAGAGTTGGCTACAAAAAAAGGAAAGGCATATCTAGGACATGCATAAGCAAAAATTGGGGGCTTGACAATAAAAGGAACATTTGGGATAAAGCAGATTTTCTTTGGGGAAGAAACAGGAAATGTGAGAACTAAGCATTTGAACTCTTAAATATTAAAAGTCTTAGATATTTCATTTGTGATCTATAGTTACTTGATGTCCACTAGAGTTTTTATAATAGAAAATGAAACCACTTAATTTGTATTTTAGGTAGATGGGTTTGATACTATGATGGGTAGGATGACTTGGACATAGAAGTGACTAAGAAATTGCCATGATTAAGATGGAAATAAAGAAAAAAAAAAGGTTAGAAACAACCTAAATGCCCATCAGACTAAACAACTTTGGTATATCCATACAATGGATACTGGACAGATAAAAAATAAAACCCTTTAATTATTACTATATAATAATTACCAACGTATAAGAGAAACAAGCAAGGTGTATATAGAAAGTCCACAAACTTTTGACTATGATTCCTCAGGTATAAAAGCCTTATGCTCAAAATCTCAATAAACAATACCAATATATAAAAATATAAGCTGAGAACAACAGCGTACACTTGTAATGCCAGGTACTTGGGAGGCTAAGTTGAAAGGGTTGCAAGTTCAAGGTCATCCTGGGTAACTCAGCAAGACCCTGTCTCAAAGAATACAATGAGAAAAGCCCACAGATGTAGCTCAGGGATAGAGTGCTTGCCTAGCCCATGTGAGGCCCTGAATTCACTCATTACATGTACACATACAATACACAAATACATCTAAAACACTGCAGTAATATAGTTATGAACTAATGAAAACCCAAACTTGGCTGTCAGCTGTAGGAGTAAAGAGAAAGAGGGAACGATAAAGACTGGGGAAAATGGCAGATATTTTAAGTCCTTTGGATAGACAGATGCAAGGCCATGACATGAAAAGTCAAATGTGTCCTCAAGACCGGAAATCCAAGTGGCTGGAGAATTAGTTAAGGAGGAAAGAAAAATAATGAGTTCACAAAATTGGTTTTATTACTCACTCTGGTTCATCCATCGGCCTCCATTCCACATAGTGATAAAGTCTTTGTACATTTTTCAACCACTCCCTGAGTATTTCGGTTGTATTATCCACATTATGATCAGTGGCTGCCCTGCATGAAAAAAGGCACAGTATAGTTCAGGTGTGTCATCCAAAGAGAGGAGGAAATCCTTACTAAAAGTTCTGCAGGAAAACTGTATGTATGAAAAATTATTCCCTTGTGGTCTAAACTAGACAATGAGTTTTTGAACTGAGAGATACTGCTTAATATTACCTTTGTGTCATTAGGGCCTTCAACGGGGTGCACTTAATTGTAGAATCCACAAGTGGTTGTATTAATAAAGAGATGCATGAAAACACAAACAGCATATGCATAAAAATGAGCTAACCTAGATGAGTTAATAAATCTTGCAAATTTTGCTATTTTTTTCACTTTTTAATTATCCAAGCTGTACAATCTATCTTATAACTTCACTAACAATAACCTTCAAGTTAAGCAAAAATTCAGTTTTATCTTTAATCACATGTGTGAGAGGAGAAAACCGCATTAATATTTTCTCATATAAAACTTGAAATATAAGTTATCTTCCTCTCTCTATTTTGTAACAACTTTACTCTTATACAAAATAGGGTATCTTCAAAAGTCTTCAAATAACATATATGAAACTTGTTTCTGCGCTGCCTTGAAAGTTCAACAAATGAATTCACCTGTAAAGGGGTTTAACCTCAATAAATTATCTTCAAATCATATCACAAAGTGAAACCCAACTCCATGCTCTATATGAGATTTGCAACTTATTTGCACACATTGGACATTAAATAAAACTTTTAAAAAGAATTAAAAGGAAAGGCGTGAAAGAGGGAAAAAGAAAAGAAAGAGCCACGGGAAGATAGAAGTCTCTGAGATTTTATAAAGGGAGAAAAAAGTGCTGAGATCATCCTGACAGGTCAGCTGTTCCTGTGGGGAGGGAACGCTGCTGGGATTATCAGCAGCTGTGGTTCCTTGGGACATGGCTTGGAGAAGAGGAATGAAAAGATACGAACAGCGCGTACTTCTCCCATATATGGCCATGTCAGCACATAGGATTTTGTTAAACCCAGGCTATAACAGCTTTTTTTGTTCTCCTCACTTGGGCTTTCCTTCCAAAAGTAATTAAAATCTTTAAGAGGGAGGATGTTCAGAAATGTTTAAAAGGAAAAAAAAAAGTTAAGCAAAGCCCAGTAAAATTTAGATAAAGCATAAAGTTCTGTAAAACACCAAGTGACCTGTGACTAGGTAGCTTGGATCATAGGGACAGAAAAGTGGGGGCCAGAGGTATGGAACCAGTATTTGAAAATTTTATGTTGTAAAATAAATGCATGAATTAAAACTAGCCTTATTGAAAACATTATTCAAAAACAGAGATGACAGCAATGGCCAACTTTAAACTTCTTTCAAAGCTCTTTTGGAAATTGGATTAGAACCAGCTCCTCTCTTCACCAGGTCTAAAAGGGAGAGAGAGCCCTGGGGCCTCCTGGACGTCCCCCTACCTGGAGAGGGACAGAAATGACTTGTGAAGCTGGAGGTGTTGCAGGGCACCAGCTGAGGACCTTGGCACAAACACAGGGCATTAAGGGGCCCTGAGCAACTCAGAGACGGGAAAGTGCCCAGAAAGCAATGTGAAAGTGCTTGTCATTGTGCCAAGAAGTGCAACGTGCGTGCCTGCCAGCATCTCACCCCGAGACACGTGGCCACGTGGTGCAAATGCTGCCCAGCATAACAGGCCTCCACAAGGAGCACGGTGAGCATCAAGCCGCTGGTCTCGAGAAACGAAGCACAAATAAAGCAATTCCTCAACTTGAGCATTAGCACCAAGGCACATCATTCCTTACTCAAAATATCGTGAGTAAGGATAAATTAAAACAAAACTAAGTCTTGACTACACTGTTAGCCAAAAGTTATTAGCAGTCTACGTTATTTCTAAATTATTTGTAAGTAGCATTGGAAAATTTATTTATTTTCTTCGGTTGTTTCTGCATTGCATAGGACTTAAATTTTCTTTGCTCTCCCTATACACATTTCTAATCCTTTTGAAAAAGTTGGTCTTATTAATGAAATATATTTTCCTGGTCTACAAAGTACACAAATTCCCAAACCTGTAACAAACATCCTCAAAGATAAGCTCCTTGGAACATGTAGAGATAACATATGTCTAATTAAAAATAGAAGGCCAGATTTAAAATACTCCTATGAGGAAGTTAGAAGACTTCCTATCCATTAACTTCCCTGAATTGTTACAATTTTTTCTTTGTTCGCAGGCTTCCTCAAAAGCTGCAATCCGAGGGAAATCATCTCTGCTGGTCTCTGATGTCCTACAGTGTCCCAGAGGAAGAAAAGCAGCGCTGGGCCACCCCTGCCCACAGACAGAGCCTTGCATCCACACTGACAGCCCCTCCACCTCCCTTGGCAATAGGCAAATACACAGAAATCTGGGCAGACACTTCTAACTGCTGCCTTTTAATCCCTCTGACAAAGATGTGTTTCCACTTAAGCACATAATAATGCAAGCACACAGGCTCTGGCTGTTCAGAAGGCTGGAGAGAGCGACCCCCAAAGGCCAAGATGCAGACTCCGGGGAGGAAATGTGGGTGTGTATTAACAGTTCTGTCTTCGGAGCCCTGGAGAACAATGCAAATGAGGTGCTTGTCTGGCCACAAGACTTCACAAGTATTTGGACAAAGGAAACTCCATGGCTGAGTTGGATTTTCCTATCAAGCTAGGAAGCTGAGCACCTCATATGTGGGAACACCCTTAGGAGAAGCTGAGGCGTCCTGATCTGGCTCTCAGCCTGGAAGCTCCATCCAGTCCCAGTAGAAAATAAGTTCTGTCGCAGGCCTGTGGTACTTCTCTCTGTCAGACAGGAATGGCACCCAAAGGGAACAGATGTTGCTGATGGGTCCCATGGTGTGAACAGACACCTGGACACTGGGTCCCTGGGGAGGCACTCTGCAGAAGACTCAGCCACGAATCAACCTGGAAAAACCTGATCTGTGAAAACACAAATTTCAAGCTGCGGTCTGAATGTATCCCCCAAACTCCACATGTCCAAACTGAACCAATAATGTCAATGTGTTAAAAGGTAAGTATTTCAGGAGACTCAGTCATGTGGGCCAGGGACTTTATAAAGGAGGGTGAAGGGAGCACCCTACGCCTTGGGCTCCTGCTGCTAGATGTCAGAGCAGCAACAAGATGCCATTTATGGTGCTGGGATAGAATCTTTGCTGAACACCAAATGTGTCAGCACCTTGATTTTGTACTTACTTTCCAGGCTCCCAAACAAATTTCTATTGCTTGTAAATCATGCAGCCAGAAGTATTTTGTTGTAGCAGCTCAAAAAGACTAAGACATATGCTGGCTCAGAGACCATGCTCCTGAGAGTCTAAAACTAATCATTGTTTCCCTCAAATCTCCCAAGCAGAGTAGATTTCTATTTAGTTCCCCTCTTTCTCATTTTCTTGGGTCTAAATTGGAATAGGAAGTAAGGAGAGCTCAGATTTTGAGCTGTGTTTAATTTTCTCCAAAGAACATGTTGGGACAATGGTTTCCCTTTATCTCTGAGGAGCACCAGGTGCCTTTAGCACCGAGAGGAGGAGCTGTGACTGTGATATGGCTTCAGGGCTCACGGCTGGTTGGTCCCCTGTCTGTCCATCAGTCTCTGCTTGCCTTCTTTGGATTTGCAACCCGAAATGGAAGAGCTGGTCAAGACGGATACAGCATCTATGTGGCCTCAGAGGGTGGTATAGGCCATCACTTCCCCTAATGCCACCCATCTGCTCCCTCCCAGGACCTGTTTCTAGTTTTTGTGTTCTCTTCTTCTTCTTCTCCAGCTATGTAAGCTAGCAAAAGCCCATGGGCCTCAGCTTCAAAACCCTATTAGGAAAAAAAAGTAAATACACACTAGAAATGTGTAGAGACATCCTTGGTTGAAGTTCTACGCTAGCAGGTACATTGTCCCTGTTAGATATGTGGAAGAGAACACAGACAACCAATGAAGAAGCGTGTCTGCAAGATGATACAGCTTTACTAATGACTGAAAACTAAAAAATATTTTTTTTATCTGGCAATGTCTAAAAACACTGGCATTTCTCCTTGTTCCAGAAAGGCAGTTTTCATTCCTAAGTCTTGGCTCTTAAACTGGCTGCCAACTTGAAATTATTAAACTGACTCATTTGTTTTTACCACAAGTCCTACTGCAGTTGTTAGGGATAAGCACATATTGGTAAACACAGAGCCATAAGAACCATATTAAAGATGCAGGCTGCGTTCCCCAGCATATGGAACATGGGTATTGAGGCCATAGTACTCCTGAACTCTTCCATTTGCATTGACCCTCATGGATTGTTCTTGGCTTCCCTGCTGCCCCAGGAAGTCTAGACCTCTGGGATTAGAACAGAAAGGCTGCAGTTGATGGGGCAGGGAGAAGGTGCTAGTGGGTAGCAGCTGGTCTTTATTTGACTAAGAACCTGCAAAATTCACATGCCAGAGGTTCAAGGCAGTTGTGACAGAATGAATGGACAAAACATTAGTCACTAACTGGACAATTCCCACCATGACTAGTGAGTTGGCAAAAGTAAATTTTCCAACTAGAGACTTCAAACTCTGAATTACACTCTTACATGTTTCTTGTTTTTTTTCCAGCTGGGAATCTCATTGATGTTGAAAATAAAGAACTCCACCTAAAAATAAAATTCCACTTGTAGATGTAGCTGGTGAGACTCATTTTCAAGGAAGGTCATGTCATCAAGTCCCACCACCTACCTCAGTGTCTGAGGTCAGGAAAAGCCTCTTCAGCAGCAAGTTTCACAGGGAGAGAGACACAACCACTGGGCAACATATGCTGACTGATTCTGGTTGTCTAGTTACTAGGAAGGGTTCTAAAGACCTAGAACCCATCTGCTGGGTAGAAATTACATATGGATATGTTTAGGATATAAATATAGGTTAAGAATTGGGGATTTCTTTAGGGCCTACCAAATCAATAAGTTGCAATTTTTCTTAAAGAAATAAAAAAAAACTCCTTGTTGTCCTCCTCCTTCTTCTCCCACCCCCTCTTCCTCCTTTCCTTGTTCTTT